TAATAAGACAGCGACGCTTTTGTTCGCAATGCCACTGAAGCCGTTAAGGAATGTTTCCTCACACAAAATCGCTCGTTTTGCCTTTTTTATTTTTGCCAAGCAAACGAAAGGTGTGTGTCTAAACATAAAAAAAGGAGAAGCCGGAACAGTGTGGTCGATTTTCCCAATGGGTAGTCTGCAAAATAGCAGCGCTCCCAGCGGTTCAGGTGCACTCTGGGAGCAGGAGACTATCAATGGGTAGTTTTGTTTTCGATTCTGCCGGGTTGTGGATCTGTTTTCTGCTATTGTCTCCGCATCGCCATTGCTCACGCCGTCGTGGATTACTCCACGCTTACGCTCGATGCAGTAAGTACCTTTATCCAGCGGCGTAGACTTTCCATTTTCCCGTGGGGGGGCAGGCTGAGAAGTTCTCCGAAGGGGGGGGGGGGGGGGGGGGGGGTGCTTTTGCGCGGTAAAGCCCCCCCCGGAGGAATTTCTGTAGCAAACTAGAATACAACTATCAGCGCCACGTTGGGGCGCTGCACTTCAGCTATCATTGTAACAGCAGTGCTCTTGGTCCATTACTGTTTCTAATTTTTATTAACGATTTGCGAACTAATACTTTCTCACGCATGCGGCTCTTCGCGGACGACTGAGTCATCTATCGTTTCACTGGGCGCGTTAAGTTGTCACTCCACGACTCCGGTTCGGGTAACTCCGTCGGAGTCCCTACTCAACGGACTTTTGAAACAGCTCCGGATGGAGTAAGCGCCTTCTATAGAAACGTCCAGTTTTTTTTTTTTTTTTTTTTTTTTTTTTCTGGTGGGACATCGCAAAATGGCAGGCTACTGTGGAAGCAGACCAAGCGGACGTAAAAGTGATCGACGCCGCGTTACCTTCTCGCCAGAACTGGAGATTGAAGCTAACGAAAACGCGCTGCGATTCCATTTCCATGTATTTTGTCAATAAAGGCAACGTGGGCTTTATTTTGTCTACATGCCACTACTAGATGCTCGTTACATGGCACGTAAACAGCGTCTCGGTAAGGATCATGGCCCGGGGGGGGGGGGGGGCACGAGCCCCGATGCCCCCCCTAGTCTACGCCTATGCCTTTTTCTTCTCGTCGCTAAATATTAGACACAGCGAATAACGAAACAATTACGATTTTGCGGCCACCGGGAATGAGCGACAACGCCGCAACGGCGAAGTCAATTGAACGCAGATGGTCGTACGTCGAACGCAATGCAATCACACTTTGTGCATTTGTTTGCAACCTCGAAAACAGCCCCTGACACTTGTACTCCAGCTTTATAACAGCCTTGTTCCCGTGGCCAATTTCCTCGTAGCGATGTAGAAAAATGCATGTTTGCGCTTGAACGTATTCTTGTACAGTGAGGTTTGTCATGTAACGCGTTAGCCTGATTAAAATAGCGATCGGCGAAGCAAGGGTGTTATAAAACTGGCGTACTAGTTTTAGTGGTTGTTCTCTAGGTTGCAAGCAAATGTACGCATTGATCTGGCACAGAGTTCGGCGTACGTAGATCTGCGTTCACTTCGCCGTTGCAACGTTTAAGCTCGCGCAGCCCCCCCCCCCCCCCCCCCCCCCCGTGCCAGCAAGATTGTAATTGTTTTTATCATTCGCTGTGTCTGATACTTAGCGACGAGAAGAAAAGGGTACTTTCTGCATGGCACGTGGGTATGGAGATAGCCACGTCGACGTGGCTGTTGCCAATTCTTTTTTTTGCTTGTTTTGTTTACATTGCAATGGGACTATGCCTATGTAGAAGGGGTTCAGACCTAGTCAAGCTGTACCCTTGCGGCTTTTTGTCTGAGCTCCATCCGTCATTTGTTTAGTACTTTGTACTTGGTGATGTTAAATAAACTTTGATTTGAGACGTGTGCAATGGTGGTGCGGAGACGATCGCAAATTACAGTACATATGCAACACCCGGCAAAACGGCAACCGAAACTACCCGTTGACTGTCTCCTGCTTCAGACATGTACAAGTTACAAAAAAAGTAATTAAGTTAAGTTACTTAGTAGTGACCTCAAATGTAATTTGAACAGAGTAGAAATTACTCAAATTGCAAGTAATTGAGTTAATTACCAACTAGTAGCGAATTACTTTTGAAGTTACTTTTGTATGGTAACAAGAAAATACATAGGTTTTCATCCGTTAGCGAAATTCTGCCAGCCAAATATAAAGCGGCTTGCGTTTTCGCAGAAATGCTTTAACAGCTGGTTCTGCCTCTACGTTCCTAAAATCGTTTGTACTCTATTGTTTTTTTAGTCAATGATGTACTGCGGATGTATCATTTCTACTTTGAGATTTAGCACTGCGTGAGCCTTAATTTGGAGACAGGGTTTGGTTGTTTACAGTGTTGCGTAAAGTACATCTAAAAAGTGCTTGAAGTGAAGTACGAAGTAAATGAGAGGTCACCTTTGCGTTGTCCTTCAGCACGGGATTCTTCAAGCAAATTAGTAAGTACACCGGGTGCAATATGCTTAAAGTACTATAAATACAATGTACTTTCAAAGTAAAGACCAAGTACTTTTAACACAACCTTTCATGATGCCGTTCCATCTCTTATACAGTGTGCTTTTTTAAACTGGTACGCATTGCTTTAAGGGTAATTGGAGGTGCATCAGTTTTTTTTTCGGATGTGGTGGAAAATACTGAAAAAAGTGAAGTTGCCACAAAGTAGTTGTCTTACTCTCGCTGACAAGCTATTTAGCATAATCAACTTAGAAGGCACTTATTTGTATCGGTCTTATAGCCGCCATTACTTCACTCAGAGAAATGACCAGATCACGTCTCGAAAGTCGGTAGCGCGTTTTCACATGACGACGCCGTTTTTTTTTTTCCAAATTTGGGGTTTGTACGTTAAAGTTTGAAATCGGGAGTTGTACATTTCTCGGAAAGTACCAGAAAAATACTTTAGTAAAGCAAAACTAGATGATCAAAGAATGTACTTCACATAATGTACAATATTTCTAAATCTACTTGAAGTAGTACTTTAAGGACCCTGCAGATAAAGTATTTCCCAACACTGTTTGCTTATTATTTTTTATGCAGGAAAGTTGGCGTAATTACAAAGGTTTCTGGAACGATTTTGAGGTCTTGGAAGATTTGCATATTCTGAGTTTTGGGAAGAAAGGCAACGCAAAGAGGTCACCTTTACGTTGCCCTTCAGCACGGAATTCATCAAGTACAACACAAACTCCAGACGTACCAGATGAGCTTCAAAGCGGGTGCTTCATTTTGTTGCCTCTTTTGAGTGAGGATGCAATGTGTAAAACTCCCGTAGTAGGCGAAAGTTCCTACATTGTGGAGAAGCGGGGACAAGCCCTTTAGTCAAGTCTCCTTGAGCTTCGGGACACAAAGAAACGCCAGTCTTCGGCGCTATTCCCGCAGTTACTCGGCCTCACTTGCGACGTGCCTGTCCGCTCCCCGCGCGTCGTAGCAGGGTTGTTGCTGTGGGGGGCTCGTAAAAAGTTTAGAGGGTTTCGGAACCTTCAAACTAATCCCCCGCTCCCCCCCTCCCCCTGCCAACGCCACATGCTCCCCCCTCTTTGCAAATATCAGCTGATCTTCCAACGTCTTATCTTTTTTTCTGCATGAATGTTTGTTGATAAACAACCTACCACTAAAATTCGGAAGTAATTTGTAATTTAAGTAGAAGTTACTTGGAAAAAGTATTTAGACTAAACTAGTAATTACCGAAATAAAATGTAATTGAAAGTTACTAAAGTACTCAGAAAAGTAGTTAAACTACAGTAACTTGATTAAAGTAGTAGAACTACCTACAAGTCTATCCTGCTGCCAGTGTGCACCGGAACCGCTAAGAGCGCTGCTATTTTGCGTAGTGCCCATTGGGCCGTTGAATTCCTGCAGTATATAAGGGGATGCGGAAAGGGGGAGGGCATGATATTAATTCTGGTCGTTTACTTTTAAACGACTTTGTTTACGTGAAGTAGTTTAGTCGCAAGAGGAATATGTTATAGTCGCGATTTCAGTTGACACATTTTAAATATAAAATAACTAGCTGGTATTTTAACCTGCACTTTTGACGCAAAGGGCTGAGGGGTGATTCCAAAAAATGTTTCACACATCAAAAAGGTAACTCTTACTCCGGCCACATTCATACTGTAGAAAGAACTATTGTTTCAGGTACTTCTACTTTGAGCGAGAAACCTTGATCACGCGACCTCAAAACATTTTTGGTGTTTCATTGAAGGCACTGTATTTAGCATCAATTTAATCACGACTGCCCACAACGGATAGTATATGAAACAAAACCCGAGTCACCGATGGCAATGCGTGTAAGTCAACCCTGAACCACCGATATTTATGAGGGTACGGGAATATGAAACAAACATAAACAAAAAAAGAACCGTACCGGAAGTAAGTGCCGTAATATCAAAAACATATGTTAAGGTTTAGGGATGATTTAAAAAGCCCTCCTGTCTGTTTCGCTACTATACTAAAAGCGAGAAGCATACTTATTCTAAATAATGTTTTGCGCCAGCATTATACATCGAAAACCTTTTGCATAAACACCATGCCAACGCATCCTGACTAAAACTAAATTACGACAAAAGTAAAATAAGCTTGCAGACTTTCTAACAGGTCAATGATTTGTATGATATACTTACATTAATCGCACACACCCAAACTTACGACAAAAGAAGAAATAAGCACCCATGTATACAACAAAACCATAACCACTAAATTTTACGCTTCATTTGTTTTGACAAGAACGAACTACACTCGCAATGGCGGAATCACCACGAGTGCGCATATTGAAAAACACGTAGCGCTTACGAACGGATCTGGTTCATTCTTATCATTCTCAGATGTGTCGTGGGGCCTCGGATCATCAAAGACCTTCAAGGCCGAAGTATGCTGCAAGAATCAACAAAGCACGATAACGACGAGAGGTTTCGCGCGCCAGCTATCGTGACGTACAACTCGACCTCGCTGTTCCCTCTCTTTTCGGTTTCACTTTCCGGCGGCTCTCGCTAGTCAAGCTTGAGTTGCCTTGCTGCGGTGGACGGAAAAGGGAGTGCGAAGCGCCTGCTGCTCCCCGACGACATCTCTCCGGTAAACTGTGGCCGTTCCAAAGAAACCGTAAGAGAGCCCTGCCATGAGCGGATACGTGGGAGATCTCAGCGACCTGCAGCAGCAGGCCCTTGATCAGGTAGGTCGCCTCAACGGACACCGCTCAGCCAAAACCTTGTGACCATCCCTAAGCCAGCTGACGCGCCATCCGCGTTTCTTACTATCGGCTGATACGGACGGTATTAACGGTTGCAGGGGATACGGGGATCATTTTGTAGACTACGTGGGTATGCATTGAGAAATGCTGCTGATTTATGCGAATTCGGCCAAGAGATGATCGTGATGGGCCAACGACTCGCAGGAAGTATCTCGGAAACTGAGAAGCTCGCCGGGGGTTCGCGAGTTTCCGTCGTTAGTGCCTATCAAAAGTAAAAGAACGATTGCCAAACAGTAGACGGCGACGCGTTCCACGTCCACGCCTAATCACGGAATGTGATCGTCGGTGGCTTTCCCGCTTGAAGCAAAATAGCCGGCTACCGGCGGCTCAACCAACAGCTAGATGCAACGCATATCAAGGTACACGTGTTTTTGAGCACACAGTTCATCCGACTTTGTTTGATATCGGACTCCCCACCAGACGACTCTTGAAACTGTTTTGCTTGCCAAAGGTGAATCAACACGGCTTTAGGCAGGTGGTCGTGATGTTTTGGATGATCAGTGTAAATCTTCTGCAAAACGTGTGGTCATAGTTGAAAGTTTAAAATAAAACGGGGGATATTGATGGGTCGCAGAACAGCTCGTGAAAAGTGAATTTACATCGATGCAAGAGCGTATTATGTTGATACTGATTGAATGTTATTGTTCTACAAAAAAATTGTGGTTATTGCGAGTGCGTAACGCGGAAACGCTGCTGTTGCTGTCAATTTAGTGGTTTTTGAAGCCACGAACACAACTGACTAAATCAGAGGGAAGACATGCGAATATAATGTTCTATTCTCCTTCCTCGTATGCAAAAAAAAAAAATATTACGGTATCTCTGCTTACGGAATTTTCACTTAATTTCGCTTTGTGAAAAATAAATTTATCCGCATTTTTCCGTGGAATAAAATCCGGAAGCCCTAATTGTAGTAAGCATCATTCGTACTAAAAAAAGCGTTCGCTCCGGTCACCTATTCTTACTGCATTAACCTTTTGATATATTAGAGATACATATTTTTTCAAACTGCGTGACAAAAATAAGTACACAGGAATATAGTTTATTGCCTTAGTGGATTGAATACCGGTGCCCCAAGCACAATGGGTTCAAAGGTTGCATCAATTTGTAAGGCTGTCATAAACTAGGAATTAAAATGCATATGAATCAAAAGATAAACAACAGATTATGATGAAGACTTGTTATTTCTGTAAGTGTATTTATCGTCGTACTAATTTGTTTCTTGGTCTCTCGTTTTTATAATACTGAGATACACGCTTATTCTCACGTTCCTCCTCTCTCATTTGTGAACGCAGCAATCACGCTGATATGTGGCAACGTCGCGCTCAATTTCCTTGTCTAGTCTTGAGACGGCGTTGGCACCGTTCTACGATGTTGTTTTCGGAGCGCTGATAACAAAAACATCTCTACGCGGGGAGAAATAAAACCAACACGTCAAGAGTAACTCCTGTAAGCCGGACTTTCTCTCTGTGCGTTCACATTTCGAAAATGTTGATGTAGAAAGCTGTTTTAATTACAATAGGAATGTCTGGGGCTGGCTGGGGCAAGATAGGGCGTGTGGTTTTCTGACATGTCCACACTCCTCGAACAAGCGAAACTTTAGCAGATAAAAAACCAACAGTTGTAAAAAATAAAGAATATATATATATATATATATATAAATAGAGGTAGTGCATCCGCTGCACGCGCCACCACATTTTTTTTCCTGATAAACGTACAAAAACACGCTCGTACGTGTCGCGGACTTATATCCCGTGTGATATCTTAAGGTTGGTTTGCTAATATAGAACACAAAAAAGTTTATATTAGGCAAGGACCCTCGCTATATAACATCATAATAATTTTCTATCATGGCACCAATCGTCTAAAAGCTTAGAAGACAATGGTCTCGCTATCTGAACATAAAAAAAATGCATTAGGGGTGTGCAAATATCTCTTTAAATTAAATAGCACAGCGTCATCGTTGCTAGCTTCAACCATGTAAAGACAGGCGATATATGGTTGCGCTTCCTTGTGCTGTGAAGGCTGCGTATATATTGTACATAGTTTTTGGATTCCAACCACTATTAGCAGGACTTTAATATTTGCTCAATACGATTCAAAAGAACATTTATTTTTACAGAACAGTGTATACGATACCGGCAGATATGAGACCATAAAAAGCAAAAAAAAAAAAAAATGCAAGTTGTAGAGTTACAACTTTACAAAGCTCATGATCGTCAACCAAATGTTTCAACACAAAATACAATGGAGAATGCAGTAAATTTAAAATGATGTAGGCAAATTTGATGATATATTAATTACATTGAATATGAAGAGAAGGAAGGTACGCTTTAAGAACGAACCCCAAGTCAAACGAACCATGATATGCTGAGAACAATGTCAAATAAATATTCAAAATATTCGCTTGTTTTTCAGACGCATTCAACGTTTTCTTTTCTTCTTTTTTTGTGGCCGTATTCCTACCATGCAGATTCACATGCATAAGTGTGCCACAGAACGGCGGAGGTAAGTCGATGTACACTAGTTGAAACCTGATTTTGCAGGAGATGCCGTTACACTGATTCAGTTTCGCACCGTATGTGCGAACCGTCCTTAACTGTAAGAACACGGGAATTTATTTCCAAACACTTTTTAGTCACGAAAGAGAATTCAAATATTTGCCGGCAAACTGCAGTTACGGTAAGCCCTGACACATTTTTCAGCTCAAGGATCGCATACAAGACATCTGGAAGGAGGAATTCACGGATTATTTTCTTCTCCGATGGCTGAGAGGTGAGAGTCATTGTCACCTGGAATAACATGCGTGATCTTTGTTTTTCTTGAAAGAACTGCGTAGCTTAATACTTGCTCCCACAGGCAGCTCAGTGCTGTATGAGCTCTAATTCATCATTGAGAACGGTACAAATGTAACGCTTAGCAAGCTGTGATAAAGATTCTTTTTTTTTTGGTTTTGAATGTAGCGTGAAGAAGAATGCAGCGAAGAAAAAAAAAACAACAATTGTCAGTGCTGTCGATAGTTTCAGTGTTGTATTTTCGTGTTTCCTAAGTGCGGCGTTGCAGGAATATGTAAATGTGATTGGAGATCCATCTGACACATGTTTAAAGGTTAGACGCACCGTTTTTTCTAGCTTCAGAACTAGAGCGCTTGTACTGTCAGCACCAGGGTTCGATCCCTAGCATCGCCGCCATGCTAGAAGCGGGCAAATGACATATGATTATACAGTGCTACTGGCTACCACTATCACTATTCATGGCTAGCACATGACATCATCGTATCATCGTGTTGGCGGTCATTTCTGTCTGTTTTGAAGAAAAATGCAGCGAAAACAAAAATAACAATTGTCAGTGCTTTCGATCGTTTCACTGTTGCCTTTCCGTGTTTACTAACTGCGGCGTTGCAAGAATGTGTGACTGTGTTTGTGATCCATCTGACATATGTTTATATGATTATAAGGTTAGAATCACCGTTTTCCCTAGCTTTAGAACTAGAGCGTAGCATTTAGAAGTAGAGCGTAGCATTAGAACTAGAACCCTAGCATTACCGCCACGCTAGAAGCGAGAAAATGACATACCAATGTGCGGTGCTAGTGGCTGCCACTATCAGTATTCATGGCTAGCACATTATGTCATCTTATTATCGTGTTGATGGTCATTCTTGCCTGTTCTTGCAGAGTTAAAAAAAAGAACGAATTTGGTGGTGCGAAGTGTTTCCCGTAGAAGAAGGGTTGTGCAGCAATGCCAACAATTGGGCCGCTCATCTGACGTCAATAAAAATGACGTGGTGTTCCTTTCCGGCCGGCAGCGCAATATAAGATGACGGTTAGCTCAAACGTTTTCTTCGCGATATATGTTCCCGGTCTGCATCTGGTATGGCTGTACCGCTCACGGAATTACTGTGCGGTAACGCTACACTATTCCAAAACTCTCTGCCGAGAATTTTTCTGTAGATTTGCAGCGGGTATGTTTAAAGACAGCGGAGAGAGGAAGGCATACACTACTTGTAAAGTGGCAAATATTGTCGACAGACTGCCATGTGGGTGCAAAGTCAACTTTGATTCAGTGCTGCGCTAGTGCATTCTCTGTTCTGCACCGTACGTGAGAGTAAGCATTATTATGAGATTAAGAATAGTATATCACGAGGTTCGACCAAACAGTTGAGAGACTAGTTTTGTAGCGCAAATAGAAAGGGCAGCACAGTAATGTGCGGGCATCTGTGGAAGGCAGGGACCTTTATCGCTGGTTGTGCCAAAGGGCGTTGTCCTGTGAGGGATCGGAGCTGCTCTACACGAGTTTTTGGGACCACGTGCAGGGAGCACATCGGCGATTTTAGTATAAACTTCAGCCAGAGCGAAAAGCGAACATTATTCTGTGTCAAACTCGGACACCCTGGTGTGGACAGCTTAAAATGAGTTGGTAAGCTCATGGCGAAAAAGCACTGACTTGCTCGAGGTGTTTTCAGTGGCGCTCGTACTTCAAAAATGGCAGAAGAGCACTGGAACACGAATATAGGTGAGTTGACCGTCCCCGACCTGTCTTCGTCTTCCAACGTTCTGCCAATCTTAATGAGCGAGCACCATTCAAAAACCTTGCACGAGCCAGTGCGTTTCCGCCGTAAGTCTACAGATTCGTTTAAAGGTCTCTGTTTCAAATCTGTCAAATTTCGCTCAAAAGTAATATTCGCTCCTCGTTCTGGTTACAGCCTATGCCAAAATCGCCTATGTGCTGTTACAGGTGGTCTGAAATACTAGAGTAGAACAGCTTAAAATGCTCAGAGGCCGACACCCTGTGGCGTAATGACAGATGAAGATGCCTGCCTTCGACAGCTTTACGCGCTTCACCGTGCTACCCTCTTTCTACGCAACAAAACTTGTGTCACATGTTGTAGATCGCACCTCACATATCGTTGTCTTTCTGAGAATAGAGTATAAAAAGGTTATTTGTCACCAAACAAACGACAGTGTCGTCACTATACAAACTAAGCGTCCCAATTTCAAACATTTTTTTTTTTGTTATTGCCTATACTCGGCGACAACTTTTCTTCGCAATGCAGTGGAAGGTACAGGCCCGCGTCCCCTCTTCCATTTTGAGTGTACGCAGGCTCTCCTCCTCTCCCCGGAAATGGGGGAAGAGGAGAGCCTGCGTACACTCAAAATGGGAGAGGGGACGCGGGCCTGTACCTTCCACTGCATTGCCAAGAAAAGTTGTCGCCGAGTATAGCTATGAACACTACATATATTATAGCAACAGAATGCTGTCGCCTCTCGTCGTATGAACTTGAGAAACTGAAGGGCCTCACTTTCGAAGCTCCTGCCCCATTGTAGCCCAGAAGAAAAAAAGGTAAATATACAGTTGCGAACCCTCGATAAAGAGCAGTTAGCTCTGGTGATAATACTGCATTTCTTAACTTTATAGTTTCCCCATCTAACAGGCTCTTATACCTAGGAGTATGCGTGATTTCAATTGCTACTGCAAAGCGTGTTGGTGTGCAACTTGGCGGAGTCTGAAGTAATAGTAAATTGTGTGAGCTGGAATGGTGCATAATGGGTACTGAAGAAAACGTTTTCCCATGAAAAGTAAATACGGGTTGATTACGCCTAATTATGACAAAAATAAACAAACAACAAGCCAGGAAGCACAATAATTTCACATGTTTTTTAACGGTTCAGTAGTCATCTATTGTTTTCAATAACTGTGACTCTCCCGTACCGCTGTGGAAGGCAGGCATCTTCATCTGTCATTGCACCATAGGGTGCCGCGGTCTGTGAGCATTTTAAGCTGTTCTACACCAGCATTTCAGAACGCATGTAAGAGCACATCAGCGATTTTGCTATATAGGCTGCAACGAGGACGAGGAGCGAAGATGAATTACTTCGGCCTCAATCGATGACGTTGAGGTTTTAGTCCGCCATTGTGCAGGGATCTCACAGACGCCAACAGAGGGCAGTATTTCGAAAGGGGTCTATTTTCGCCAAGTAAATTTTAGTCAACAAAACTTTTAGAGAATTATGCGACTTATCGTGACGACTAACCCAATTATTATGAACCCACCCCCTTGCCATATTACTCAAGAGGACAAACAGGAATAGTGAAGCTTTCACGGCTTTTTTTTTAAAGAAATTTGTAAAGTTTAAGAAGAAGCACCCTTATATTAGGCCACACCCCGCGTTTCTTAAGGTGTCAAAGACTATAGACCAACACGCACAAGCAAGTCGGCGTTTGCCCACACCAAGTGGGCACTGCGGGCGAGCATTAAGCATGATTCTCGCAAAGTAAAGCGCTTGCGCATACGCAATGCCGGCGGTAGCACCACCGCGGTGCCGTGACGACAAGAATAATTTGATAAAAAAAAAAAAAAAAAAGATTGGAAAGTGTTTGTTTTTCGTATTTTAATGTTTGGCTCTCTGTGGATATATATCTTGACCGAGGCGCTGTGCGTTTATTCCGACACCGATCGGGTCGCTGTTTTCAACAAACAGGTTCCTGCGGCTGTATGAAGGACGACACGTGTGAACCTAGATGCGCTTCAACGATGGAAATTTCCATCTAGATGCATGCCCTCGCGCACGCGCCTCTGTCTCCGCGCGGCCATTGGGCGTCGCGGTTAGTATGCAGTGTTCGAACCGAGTCACCAGTGCCGAGCCGAGGGACAAAATAATCACAGTCAGTGAACCGCAACAGGTTTGGTGGAGGAAAATTATTCCGGTGAATACTCGTTGTCGGCACTCGCGCAACTAGACACACACACACACACACACACATACACACATAAAACTATGTTTTGTTTATTGTATGTTTATAACAGGGAGAGCAATAGAGAGAGAAATATATAGAGACGTGCAGATTAATTACCCCAGCTTTATACCCGTTTGATAATTCGCGATTTCAACCGAAAATCGTCCCAAAAATGGCTCGAAATTAACATCCTACGCAGAACTAGGGATTCGATCTGCGAAAAATAATTATTGATGTTAATAACCTAGAAACTCCTTTCTTCACGTAGTGACGGTCACAAAAAAAAAGAAAAGATAAACTAACAATGCTGATCCCCCAAACGCGCTGTCAGAACAGGAAATTACGTGAAAGGGCGCGTGCAGAACCTCATATATCTGTAGCGTTCGTCTTTTTCCGTCATTGCAGCGATTGCATGCAATGCACTACCCGAATGTTTGCGAAAGAATTGATTGTCACACGCCCAAGTCGAACACTCACGCAGTGCTTGTGTCCACTCTGTGAGCAGCATTCTTTTATCAACACAAATGGCAAATTAATTAATTAATTAATAACCCCAAGTAATTGATGAACTATAAAATAATTAATGAAAGTTTCTCTCCGGCAATCAATCAGTCAATAAGTCGACCAATCAACCGGTAAATTAGTCAATCAATCAATCAATCAACCAATTAATTATTCAATCAGTTATTCAGTCAATCAATCAATGAATCATTAAATCAGTGAGTCAATCACTCAATATTTGTTATTACGCTAAATACATGTTACATATTACTGGAAGACCATCTGGGCTCAGATCCAGTTAGGGTAGTTTCGGCCCATTTTAATAACTCATTAATAGGAGACACACTGATCATGAAAACTCTGAAAATATAAATCAAAGAAGGGTCAGGTTAAGCCAATAGCTGTAAAATGTAGGAAACGCCAGTTATAAAATAAATTAATGCCCTCATATTTTAGTGGTGACGAGAATTAATTACGTAATAATCAAATGAGCGTCAAGATAATGGGAGACATATCTTATCTGTGCGACCACGTCACCGAATATTCCGATGAAGATACCGAATGAAAAAGTCAATTTTTTCTTTGGAATTACATTACGACAGAAAAGCTTCTGGTTCAGTGGGTTTCCGTGCGAGTGCGCCTAGGTCACACTAATGCCAAAATGTTTTTGGTAAAAAGAGAAACATTTCAACCCAATATTGTTGCGTGGCCCCTTAAGACGAAGTTGAGGTGTGACCAATGCTTTGGTGGCATTTTCCCGCCAAAATATAATCATTTTCTTAGTTGCCGCCAACACACGATAAAAAAGAAGTCCTAACCTTGACTCAGACTTACATGGCAATGCTCCAACACAGAGTTAGCTGCAGTGCGTTGATCGCGAGGCAGATACTAAACTTCACCCTATGCGCCTTTTAACGTGAGAACCAGTTCTCCATTACCTAAAACCAGTTTAGAAGCAAGCGCCTGCAATGAAGGTCGAACTTCGAATAAAAGTCTCTCAGCTAACTCAGCGAACTACTGGATGAAAGACGTATGCTTCCCAAGATATATATTGAGAAGCGTATCAGATAGTGTCGCTAGTAAATGCGATAAAAAGGTCGTAAGTTCAGTTCTTAAAAAGTATTTTTTATTTATTTCACAGCCCGGGATTTTGACGTCAGCAAGGCGGAGAGCATGCTGCGCCAGGTACGCGAGATTGCTGTAGGGGCTTTTAGAAAGAAGTGCCGAAGTAAATATCTAACGTAACGTTTTGCTACAATAGCTGAAAAAATTTTTTTTTCTAAGGATAGTTCAATGAGCTAGAAGAAAATAACATTATAACTGTATCTTGGGGGACTCTACGCCTATCCTCATAATAAATCTTTCACATTTAAGCCAACCTTCAGCAGTCTGAATGATGGTTATAAATATACTTTCTGGATAATGGAATGAACCGGAAAAGAAATTAAGTGGAGAAGTTGCTCGTATATCAACTGACAACGTTGGTACGCTTGCTGTGTTAGCCAGTGTTCCTTTGTGCATAAATAGTTACGAAGTACGCTATGATAGCCAGACATGACGCCATTTATGCCTTCCTTTAGTTTTCGCACAGAAAATGTTGTCACTGAACTCAATCTGTTTCTGACCCTATGTCTAGTGGAGGTTGAGCAGGGACTTAGCGTTAATTCGGCAAATATTAAGCTCATGTATTCTAAATATAAGCCTCTCAATTGAGTAGTTAAACAAATGATAACACTATGTATTTTCAAACGTGGGATTTCCTTCCGACCCGTTCTGGCAATAACGATTCCCAAATATGATTTTTTTTGCAACAAAATAGACGCCCGAAATGATATTCCCATCCCATGTAAACTAGGAGCATATAATACCCGTCTCAATGACTTGCCCCTTTATGGCAAGGTTTTCCTCGGTTCGACATGGGAACTTGTAGAATTCTATGCGAATGCAAACTAGCAGCTAGACTTATGATTATGTGCATCCGTAAAATATCACGAGCGTCAAATACCACAAGTGTATCACAAACGTAAAATGTCACATCACTAATGTGTCGTTTTAAACGGCTCTATATACTTTAAAAAAAGTGTGGACTGGTGCTTGGCTTTCCATCCCTGAGGCATGGCTTTACATTCCTTAAACACAAACCCACTTTTACACATATTTTTTTTTTTCTTCCTATTTATTTTGATATCCGATTTCTTAACCTATCTCAATTCCAGAATTGATATTTAAAACTATAGTGAGGCTAACGATCTGATTTCGCATGACTCATTCGCCGTTTAGCTTGAAATGTGTCCACCCCTGAGAAATAACGGTTAAAATATTTCTGTAATATACAACATAAAAAGTTGTCGCTGAATTCCAGAATCAGAAGTGGAGACGCGAAAACAACATTGACTCCCTCTTGGAAACGTTCAAGATACCAGAGGTAAGCAAACATAATTTATGGTTATTACCAAAATCCCATAGAAGCCAATGATAAATTTTGTCCTCTGGGAAACACTTCAGGCTTTTTGGTAGCAACACACTATATATATACAGTTCTATTGACCGTTTCATTCTAATATATTTACTTTAAAGAAAAGCCGTCAAAGGTAGCAGAAACCTGCGGTCTGTACAGAAGTTCGATAGCCCGGGAACATCATAACGGGGGCTAATCGACAAGATAAGTGAACTAATAATTAAAATTTGTTATTTGACTTTTTGATCATAGTTAATGAACAAATTTGAGTTAATTATTTCACTTATTGCTACGATTAGAGTTCTAAATTATGTCCCTCTGGCCGTATAGCTCACCTACACCGACCGCTTTAGTGTAGCTGTCAAGGAATGTTCAAAGGACTGCCTACCCACGCATCCAGATGAGGCATTCTAAGTGACCGCTAAAATCGTCTTGGTGAAGAATCACGCTACAAATTACCACAGAAGTGGCCGAAGGTTGTGGAAGCATCACATCAAAATTAAAGAAAAAAGAACTTACCCGATAAAAGAGTTAAAAAAAACGATAACTGATTTTCGCTATCAACGGCACCCGTCGGCTGACCACGCACCTTCTTACTGGCGCAACAACAAACAAACGGCGGCGGCGACCCCAGCGCTAGCTGACTGCCAGTTCGCACCAAAAGCATACGTTTTTGAGTCAAAAACTGCACGCACTCAATAAAACGCATTCGCTAGAAAATAAAACAAAACATACTGATGGTTCGTCGAGTAATTTCAGCTACATATCGTCGGCTTTTGGCACGTGCGGGTGGTGAGCTTGTACGGGGGTCGCTGCCGCCATCTGTCGGTTAATTGCTGCGGTAGTCAGAGGGTGCGTGGACAGCAGACGGGCGCCGTAGGTTGGAAAAGTCAAGTACCGTTAATTTAATTTTTACTCTAGACACTTTGTTCTTCCAAATTTCCATGCGATGCTTCCACTCATACGGGCACATCTGTGATAAATCGTAGCGCGACACGTTACTAAGACGATTTATGCGGTCAAATTAAAGGCTTCATTTGGATTTGTGGCCACATTGCGGATCTGTTCGAATTAAAAGAAAACATCATTTTTACTAGAATTAACTCATCAAATCATAAAAGTTTTTCTTTGATTTTTACAATGTCAGTTCGAGGATGTCAGCATTTATTTCCAGAAGAGCATGGGTATGTTTTGTTGACCACGGGCCATATAATGCATTACCAAGCTCCCAGCGCACTGCATTTAGCAACTTGTAGTTAAAAAAAAAAAAACTCCCGCTTTTGAATCAGTCACAACCAGTTAAAATTCCTCTCTAACGTCTTTACGGTAGACGAGCGTCGTAGAGGCTTTTTTTTTTTTTTTTTTGCTCTCTATATCGCGTGATTCCCAAACAAAATGTGTGGGTTATCAGGTGTTGTGAACTAACCAGTTTATACCTTCCATCAGCAAAGGCACAAAGGATGCACCATTTCAAGATATAATAAATTAACGCTGCATACGAACCTATTCAACGAATGTTTTGTGCTTCCAGCAGTAAGCCTACAGCTTTCATTACTTCCACGAACAAACAAAAATATTAGCTTGGGCATAAAAGTCAAACTTGGAGGGTTTTACGTGTCAGACCAACAAAGGCCGTCCGGCACTGCACAGCAAAGGGTTGGAGATTGATTTCAACCACTTGGGGATATTTTCTACGTGAAAAGCGTAATTTCGGTTACACGTCAACTTCAACGCAACATGCCTCCGTCAGAGTGCGGGAATGCATGTAACCACTAAGCAAATGGTACAATCATACGGGTTACGTTGTAACTTCCCTAGTAAAGGGTACGAATTTCCAAATTTGTTCCATATACTAATGGTTACCCGATTAAGAGTGCACCTTGGCTGGGATCCGAAGCTGCCGTATGGGACTCCGCAGGGCCTTGATTTTCTTCGAAGTCACCGAAGCAGTGTGTTTGCGAGGTTTTGTTGCAGAGTTTAAGTGGGAAAAAGGGACTTGCAGGATTTTGTATAAAAACAAACAAACAAACTTATTATACATTTCAAGCTAAATATGTTCACTTGAGTGTCACCAATCCGACGAAAATAATGTAGCAACATACCGCAGCTCGGTGCACATCGAGCGGAATTTCGCACTGCAGAACCCAGCAATCTTGGGTTCAATCTCTATCCTGTTCCTTTCAATGTGGATGACCATCGTGGCGGCGAGTGTTTGTGTAATCTCTATTGCGTGATGTACGCTAAAGACCCCGGCCAGTAGGCATATTGAGGTTACCAAAGTTCTCATCTACAGCGCCCAATGAAGCACTTTTTGGTGTATAAGTGTGCATCCGATACTTTATTACTTTACTGTATCAAAGTGTAGACAGAGTTTGTTTGCTCACTACGTCTATCGGAATTAGTATTCGTTTTTGTGCGGGACCAAACCAACTTTGGCGATAACTATTGGTGTTGTACGATTACCTCTACGAATAAATTGCTGCAAGGTGCTGATTTCTAATTGCGACATAGTGCGCTGGCATGCTCCAATATGGAATATTTTTTCTTTCGTTTCGTGACTTCGTCTTTGGCGCGCGAGTTACCATACTAATTGCAGTATCAACTAGGGTGCCTTCATGTGCGTTTCGCTTAGGGTGGAGACATCTCGCCATTTTGTTACCCACTTTTATTTTTATTTTTTGTTCAGAAGCGCGTGAAAGGGCGTGCCCCTACACGCGTGTGGGGCGCTGACTGTGCTACGGCGACATTTTATTTTCGTCGATTTCTTTGTATTTTCCCCGTGAGCGCGTGCTGTCGGCATCGGGTACTACAAAGGGTGGCATCACTCTAAACAGAAGGACATTGAGGCACCCTAGTATCAACTAGACCGAAGGGGGGATCGGTGGCCGAGTGGGCTAAAGCGCACACCCAGCTCGATGCGCGTGGAGCGAAAGCTGGCGCTGCAGAACCCAGGGATCTTAGGCCCGAGCCCCACCCCTGCCCGTTTCGCTCTGGATGAGCATCGTACCGGCGTGCGGTCGTGTATCACTATGGCGTGAGCACGTTAAAGACCCCAGCTTAGCAGTCGTACTGCGCTGGCAAAATTGCTCATCTACAGTGTAAACCAGTGTCGCCTCATCTTGGCAGACCGACCTTACGCTGTATAAATCACTAAAACGTCCAATTTGACTTTGACTAGACCAACGTCCTGCTCTTTCGCAATATACCTCCATTCCACTTTACCCACCTGCTACCCTCCCTGGTTGTGGCACCATCCATAAAAAATGATGACCTGACCTTTCGTTTTATACACAATATGCAGCGTTGTCAAAGATACTGGTTCGAACTTGTGGTATGATCTACAATCTCAGCTGCACGTCCTCTAATGTGCCCCACTCACGCCCCACTCGTGCCAGTAGCTTTTGTAACGTTTCGCTTCGTACAAAACGAACTATAGTTTAGTTTTACTGCGCTATCTTCGACTAGAGTTTAATTTTTCAATATCATAAACTATTGTCTCATGCGAGTCGGTAAAGCGGTTATTTCTTTTGCAGGCTCTGAAGCCCTTTCTCTCTGGTGGGCTATGCAACCACGATCGAGATGGCCACCCAATTTTTATTGTGCGCATGGGCAACACCGACCTCAGAGGTGATCCGACGGCGCACCGCTAAAATTAGGCTTCAAACTATTTTCAATATATGTAAATGATCTAGCTCTCAATATTTCTAGCCGTGTGTGATTATATGCCGACGATTGCTGTGCATATCGCAATATTTCATGTGAGGCGGATTGTGAACTTTTGCAATATGACCTAGACTATATCTTATCGTGGTGTCAAACGTGGAATATGACTTTAAACTTTAATAAGTGCAATTTAGTCAGATGTATCAACAAAAGAAGTCCTATAATTATAAGTTATTTTATTGGTAGCAATATTTGAACTGTTGTAACAAAATTTAATATTTGGGCGTTTCGTTTTCCAGCTAGTTAGTATTTTGGAATGCTCATGTTAGTTATTTGTCCATTAAGGCTAGCTGCACGATGAACTTTCTAAAACATAATTTTACGCAGGTACTTGTACAGCTTAAAGCAACCTTATACATTAGCAACATTACAGATGTGCGTCTGATTTTAAAACACGCTTATACCGCCTGGGACCTTCCAACAAAGTATAGATTAGCTTCAACGCATAGAGAAATGAGCAACACGATTTGTCTTAGGGAACCATGATTTCTCTAAAAGGTCTTTTGCAATATGTGCTAAGTTAGGGTGGTCCTTGCTTGCAAACCGGCGGAAATATCTTAGATTATTTTCATTTTATAACATATGTTTTGACAGAAATGACTTGATAAAATACAATACATGAAAGAACCAACCTATGTGTCCCCCGTACATACCAAAACCTTAAAGTTCGGGAATGCATGTCCAGAAGTAACATATTTAAGTGCACCTTTTCTCTACGAACATTCGCTGAGTGAAATACCCTTACAGAAGAAAATGTATCTGCGTTTCCTTCCTCATTTTTTTACAGCACTGCAAAAACCTACCGTTCAACTAGTTGCTAGATTTGCTTCTGTAAATATTGTTTGTTCATATTTTGCTTTTTTTATATTGCAAAGTTGCTCTGCAAATTCTATTTTTGTATTTTGTTTACAATTTTGCATTTTCTACCCCCTACAATGATGTTCTGTTAAGGGCAATGTAGGTATTCGCATAAATAAATAAATAAAATAAATATACTACAACTTTTGGAGCGGCAATCCTCCATGGTCATTGCTGTTTTTAGTGTAATATCAAGTGCGTAAAGAATATATATGGTTTGCGAAGCTATTCAAGGGACGTATAAACACATATGTGAATAAGTCGACAGGGTCAGCTTCAAACAGAAATATGATCTGAAAGTGTGTGACTCCCGATTTTCTCTACGGTTGTAAATGCCTCAAAGGAATACCAGTGGAAAACAAATATTCGTTTCTAAAAGCCTGACATGCGACGGCCATTTCACGTTTATAAAATGCTGTGTCTATTAGCCATCACCTTCATGTACTCTATTTTTTGCTTTCTTTCTTCCCATAGGCCAGTATATAATATTGCCTTAATGGATAGCTTTAATATTTTGAGCAAACAAACTAAGGTTCACGAATGATTATTATATGGTGGCTAAAAATGAACCAATCGGCGAACAAAAAGTTTTGGGCATATGGTGATTTTTAACAGGCACCGACCTAAAACATTTTGATTGTATGTGGTCAGCTTAACATAGTTGTAAACATATATCGAAACATTCGCTATTTTACCAATTTAGTACTTGTAAATCAGGGATAAAAAAAACGTTTGTCATGGACGAAGATTTTATGAAGGAATTAATGACGCGGCTTACTACATTTACGTCAGTTCTTTCAGAGTTATTTAAAGAAAGTTTGAAGGATGGAGGAATCGAGATTAGAGGGGAGATGTTTAAAGCACAATTTGACTTGGCACTCCCGCAATCGGAACGCGAGTGTTCGTTTCTAGGCAAGCGAGGGATGGACAACGCCCATCCGTCGCTTGGCCGGTAGCGTTTCCTTGTTGGAGCAGGAGCCTATTCAATAAAAATTGGAAATCTTTATGTATAATTGAACGAAATATAGTATACGGTGTTCATTAGAAATATTTCGGGGCACTCTTCATTGATCCAAGATATATCTCTTTGAACAGTTAACAAGTTTTCAATATTTTTTCTTACGTCGTGCAAAAAACAACTACAACAACAAACTCATCTTTCTAAACCAATCACCTAGGACTGGAACCGAATTCACACTTCAGTCGCAACAATCCAACCCGATAACTTGCTAAAATAAGCTGTTACTAATACATTGAACAGTGCTGTATGTAAAGATGTGTTTTGCCTCTGTAGTTATGTTTATCTATTCTTTTTTTTATACATTCCACTTTACTCTGTAATGAAGATGGCCCCGAGGGTATAAAAAATATTTAACTAGATAAATTTGGAAGCACTAAACAGATTGTGACAGCATCTTCATGGGTTGAAAATAAAAATCCACACATTTGTTTTTTTTCATTGACAACAGGCGAAGTAACGTGTTGCGAAGTTTCAATCGAACAGCGCCTTGGTGATTAATTTCACTGGAATGCCTTCGAGGAAGTTGACTGTCATGTCGACAGAATGGGTTGTGATGTGATGCAGAAATATCATAGTCGCCATTTCTGATTTTACTAAGGAGTGCTAAAAAAAAGCTGTGGTATACCGTTGCAAGGTCCTTTCTCTTCCTTAGATTTTTGAAAGCCATCGTGGCTACTTGTTTACTGGTTGCGGAGTAGATTGCCACCATTTGCTTTCCAGTACATCTTAGCATTCACCTTCACGGATGAAATTTCTTCAGGGAAATCTTAAACGGATGACTAGAACTTTTCTCAGAAACAATACAGGTAGATTGAGGTTTAGTAGTCTCCCACCATTATGCCTACAATCCTAAAGCCACAACTTAAAAATTTGTGTGGCATATTTGGCACTATTCTACCAGCGCCTGCATTTGAGCTTCCGTCAAATTGTGTGGCACCTAGCGAGATGTCAGACGAAGGTGCTCTCAAAGAATTGTCGGAATACTTTGCGATCATTAGGGCCTCCTCGTCTTGTCGTTCTGTCTAAGGTGTGTTTCCTCGGCAGTGAGGATTTCTTCAGTCACGGCCGTTGATAATCTGCCAGTACGCTTACCGTTTTTCACATAAGTGTGGCCACGCTGAAATTAACTGAATAATCAAAAACAGGTATATTTGAAAATGAGCGCTCCCCAAAAAGCACGTTATTCAGACTCGTACCGAGTCATTAACATCGTTTCTAAAATTGTAAACCCTCTTCGCTTGGAAATCCCGTCTCTCGGCGTCCATGGCAAAAACCGAACGAAGTGGCACGTCGTAGGCTGTATTCCATATCTTACCCAAATGGATCCGAGTTACTCTGGCGGGTCGTGTCACGTGACAACACAGATTGAAAAGCGCTGGGCGCGGGTAGGTTTTGGAACGCCAAGGCACAAAACCCTTACCCTGGAGTATATAAGATCGAGTAAATTTTGAAACACGGCCGTAATTTATTCAAGTAAGCTGCTGACACCAGGCGGCGTTAATAGCCGATGGAGGAATAGTTTTGCTAGAAAAGGATGAGGCTTGTGTGGCGCCATACTTAATTTCGGCTGCCAACTTTTGTGTTTTTATTTTTGTTTGCCAAATTTTAAAACTTTTTAGTGACCGTCGTATACACATTGCCATTATTTAATATATTAAATATTGTTCATTGTTCTCTAGAAGTCTGACAAAACATTGACAGCTGAAACTTTTGAACTAACTCGACAAATTTTCATGCTGAATTTTTCACTACGTTGAGTGGCAGCGATTGTTGTGATCGATTTGCTCTGCGTCTCCAATGATCTCCAGGTCTGTTGCGATGCTTAACCAAGGAGCAGATGCTCATGGTGTCGCTGGTCTACCTTGAACAGTGCGACGCCGAAGCAAGAAGGCAAAGCGAAAAGGTAAGCAGAGCGATGACACATATCATCCGCGTTGGAGAGATTATGATATTTCTGTTTGCTGCCACTGGTACCCTATACTTTTAACATGCCGCTCATGCGAGTTTAAGTTCATGAATGCGAAAAGTTGACCCTTTCTGAGGTTATAATTCGAATATATTCATGATTTTGTCTGTCGAAATGTGAACTGCAAAAAAGGCACCTCTTAAAAAAAGCAAAAAAAAAAAAAAGCACCACATTTCGATGAATACGCAATGTGTCGAGGACAGACTTGTGTTCGTTACTCGAAAAGGTGCAATGTATGTAATACAATTGCAATTTACTGAGCCTCAAATGTAATAAATTAGCGTTGCAAATAACTTTCGCTGAAAAGTAACAGATTACTTTACTCGTTACGTTACAAACTACTTTCACGTTACTTTTTTCCGTACACTTATCCAGAAAACAATAGAAACAAGTTTTATATTTTTTTTAAATGTTCTGCAACAGAACTTTTCATTTTGCCTACGCCTGTATTATGGTCGTCCTTTTAAAATTGAAATATTGTATTTAAAAAAAAAAGCGTCTAGGTGCACTCCGTTCACTTATAAGCTGACAAGGCACCGAAAGCTGCTACCACACCCGCCATCCCGCTAGCTTACGGCCTCCTGAAATGATCCCTGGAATTGTGCAGAGAAAGCTAGACTCTGAGAAAGCAGAGACGCTGACACTGAGCATACTCAGTATCAGCGTCTGCCTTTGCTACGAGATTCGGAGCTAAAGAAGCGATCTACGATACCTCACTTTTGACTCGAGTATTTCGCCCGTTATCACAATAAAAAAATGGTTCTAACGTCACAATGTATAGCCAATGCAGAATTCAGGTCTCCCAGCTTACCTTCATGTGTTTCAGTAAATTAGACTTTGTTTTTCTTGTTGATGTCAGTGTATGTTCTTTTGGCAAACGAACTATGCACTAATAATTAAAATATGACAACTAACCGATACCTAAACATCTAGGAGCCCTACGTTTCAAAGCGACTTGGTTCCTCTTCAGGGGCGAGCGGCGTTTTTCGTTCTTCTTGTTCTTCTTTCAGGGATGTGGCGCATTTCTCGATCTTTTTATTTCACGAATATGGCGAAGCCCGTTTACGTACACTGTTGGTAAAGCACCAAGGCACCTATTTATGTTGCCTGGCGTCGTTGGAATGTGCCATGACTCGATAAAAAGCCTATCTTGGTTGTTAGCCTAATTATGTGTTTTTTGGGGGGGCTGAGACATATCTTTTGTTGTTGTTGTGAACGAACCTTCTTTTGTCTCTAATGAATTTACCTCTTTTTATGGAAACGTTGAAGTCCTTCAAAATGAACTATTTTAAAAAGTCATCGAAGCAACGCAAGTTGCTGGGAACGCGCAGAGTGGAGATCGCGAGTTGATTCGCTTACTTTTTGACTGAGTTCGTTTTAAAAGGTCTTATAAGCGCCTTTAAAATACGGCTATAAAGGTATTCCGCGGGAAAGTCAGGACAATAAAAAGAATTCCCAGAAAACGGAAAATCATTAGAAAAGGACAAAATAACTGGTGTGATCAGGTGGAGGATGCAAGGGCCAAATCAAGTGTAATTGAGTAGTAGCAAAGGTGAAACTCGTATGGGTGAAAAAAAAAAAAAAAAAAAACTCGAAAGAAAAACAAATCACAAAACTGAGTGTTTTTTTTTTGTTTTTGTTTTTTTGCTTTTGCGTTTTTTGCGTCTTTAGCCGGAAGTTTTCTTAGGGACCTTTATATAATCCGCGAACGTGAACAAAGCGTTCAGGCCTCGTCTTAGTAAGCTTCTGGTCGACTTAAACTAAAAAGAAGAGCAAACACACTGGTAAAAAAAGAAAACAACAAAAAACATTTTGACAAGTTCATTGCTGAGCGAGGTGTCTGCATGCTTTTCAAGTTTTGGCACAGAAAAGTTATCCTCTGGGGTTAGGAGCCAAAGGGGTCACTCCTCTAACCTGGAAGGTGACAAGGCGGAAGGAATAAAAACAAAGCATGCTGACACACTCGGATTCTGAACCGAAAAGGGATCTCTACTTGCCCGAAGGAGCCTTCGTGTGAATTGAACTGATGCGAAGTGTCTCGTCCACCTTCCAGGGGCGATAGATTGTTACATTTTAGACGAACGTTCTTACCACTAGATGCCTGCCTATTTATGCTGAAGAGGTAGTAATATTCGAAAAGGGAGAGGTCCCTTTTGGTTAAGTAGTTGTTGAAGAGACACGGCCGTTCTTCCCGCGAACGGGAATTTTTTTCGGAACAGTGACGGCCTACAGAGGGAAGGAGGGGGGGGGGGGGGGGCGGGTGAGCGAGAGATGGAGCCTTGTGGTGTATGAGGAACAGCGAGGAGACGAAGAGCAGTGCCTATGGTGTAGGGTGGGGTATTGCGTATGCACGGTAGCAGTTTTTGCAGGGAAGGGAAACCAAACAGCTACCGCTGTAAAACTTTATTTCGTTCCAAATGTCCCGATTTTAATATCCGGGCGGGGGTTATTTTGACTTCTTGTGCTTTTCAGAACGGTAAATGTGCCACTCCGGCAGAGTAAAGCGGACAAGTTCGTTTCGTTGAAACGTTTATTGAAACAGTGCTTTAGATTAACGCGGTAGGAGCGCCCTGGATAACCGCGTCAGCGGCTTCAAAAAGTGTATGCAGTGCAAAATAGACTTCTTGCATCACTAAACAGAGGCTCCTACACCTTGGTCTGAACATTGGTCATTGGGACTTGGTGTCTAAAGCAAATGAAGCTATTCAAATTCACACTGCCCCTTTTTGTGAGCAGATACATGACCGTATGCCACACTGTAAGACAACTACAACCATGCATATTACTGGGCGGAGATACATTAAATTTCAAATGAAATGTGTTGCGTGGCTTTGAGGCTTTTTTATCCAGTTAATTGAAAACTAACTGGTGTCTTTAAATCTTGGTGTGCCCCTTTTCCAATGATCCTCTGAGCCAGACATGTACGTAAAGCATTCCTAGTAACGGGTTACTTCTATCCAGTTACCTTTCTTTTTCATTAAGAGTAGCGTACTTATTCACTTCTTTTTTTCGAAAATGACCTAATAAAGTACTAAGTTACTTTAGCGGCCACGTAACAAGTGACGGTATTTCGCTACTTTTGAGGAGTAATGTGTACAGCACCATTAAAAACAACCTATTTTTGATTCTAACTTAAGTATGCGTCTATAGTGACAAAGAGAGATGAACAACTCCCCCCAAAAAACACACACCTAAACAGTTTTGATTGCAACGTTTATAGCGGCACACATCAGTCAAAAATTAGAGCTGGGAATGTCTTTCACCCAGCGAACACAATAAGGTTCGTTTGTTGAACCTTCTAGAATTATGTGCAGACTGAATGTAAACTCGGAGGTGGCCAACACGATGAGGACACAAAACTCCTTGTCATTTTCGACCTTTAGAATCATAAAGAACAAAAGAGAGAGGGTAATCTCAGATTCATCAGCTCTTCCTGAAGCACAACTCTGCCGTTCCTTCGAGCCTGTCGGTAGAACGACTCAAGCAGGGAAACATAACTGATGAAAAGTTCGAGAAACAACTACTGTGTGCCACAACTACAAAAGGAAAAAAATTATGAAACAGAAGCAGTTGTTTATTCGGTCGTCAAGGTAACGACAAAAGTAACGCGTTATTTGTGAGGTAAAGTAACACGTTCCTTTTGAAAATCAGTAACGAGTAACGTATTTAGTTACTTTTCGAGCGACTAGCGAGTAACGATATTTAGTTACTTTTTTAGGGTAATGTGTTCATGTCTGCCTCTGAGGAACCTCTCATTGCCGTAATTTTTTTAGACAAAGAACATGAGGCCAAAATATATAAATGTTGCCGCAGTGCTACATTTTGTTCTACTCTCGTTCAGACGCAACATTTACCTTTCTTTTCATGAATTAAAATTTAGACAAAAAGCAGATTTTTTAAATGTAAGTACCAAGCATATCTAACCGTAGGAACGATACAAACAAAAGAATGTGCACAGCGTGCGTTTTAGCTAAACACACTATAGATGTTTGGTTTCAATGTAAACATTTCGGCGGAACTCCGCCTGGTTAGGTAAGTAATAAGAAAAAGTACAACGTAGACTCTAACCAATTTCTTCAATGTGCCCGACGTTTCGAAGCCAGCTCGGCTCCTTGTTCACGGGTGACTGTATATGGGCCCAAAGGTAGCAACCTGTCGTCGTTTTCTTCTTTTCTCTCTTAGCTTTGTTTTCTTCTTCTGTTTCTGTGTGTGGCGCATTTTAGTCCGTGTATGTAGCTGCTTGGAAGCGTTCCGGTGGATCGGTTCAGGTTGTTGCTTGTATTTTGTATGTGCCAAGATTCTATTAAGAGCCGCTTCCTCCAGTTTCTTTCTGTGTCGAGGATGGAGCTGCAGTCAAAGCCAATGGCGTGGCCGGTTTTCTGAGCATGTTCCGCCAGCGCGCTGCCTTGGATGTCATTCTTCTTTACGTCATACTTATGACTACGCAGACGTTCGGGAAAGTTCTTTGTTTCCCCCACATAAGAGGCGTCGCATTCGGCACAAGGAATTTGGTAAATCAGGCCTTGAGCTTTTTCTTTTGGTGGACGATCCTTTGGAAGAGGAAGAAAATGGCCCAGAGTTGAGACAGGCTTATGCGTAACTGCAATGCCGTACGGTCTCAAAACGCGGGCTAGGACCTCGCTCGTGCCATGGAGGTACGGGACGCACATGCGGCTGGAGGTGTTTTCCGAGGTGCGAGACCTTCGGAAAAACAACTACCCCACGAGATTTGTCAACAAAATATACAAACAACTTCGTCACCCTCCTACATCCAAGGACAAAAACACCTCCAGCCGTATGTGCGTCCCGTACCTCCATGGCACGAGCGAGGTCCTAGCCCGCGTTTTGAGACCGTACGGCATTGCAGTTACGCATAAGCCTGTCTCAACTCTGGGCCATTTTCTTCCTCTTCCAAAGGATCGTCCACCAAAAGAAAAAGCTCAAGGCCTGATTTACCGAATTCCTTGTGCCGAATGCGACGCCTCTTATGTGGGGGAAACAAAGAACTTTCCCGAACGTCTGCGTAGACATAAGTATGACGTAAAGAAGAATGACATCCAAGGCAGCGCGCTGGCGGAACATGCTCAGAAAACCGGCCACGCCATTGGCTTTGACTGCAGCTCCATCCTCGACACAGAAAGAAAATGGAGGAAGCGGCTCTTAATAGAATCTTGGCACATACAAAATACAAGCAACAACCTGAACCGATCCACCGGAACGCTTCCAAGCAGCTACATACACGGACTAAAATGCGCCACACACAGAAACAGAAGAAGAAAACAAAGCTAAGAGAGAAAAGAAGAAAACGACGACAGGTTGCTACCTTTGGGCCCATATACAGTCACCCGTGAACAAGGAGCCGAGCTGGCTTCGAAACGTCGGGCACATTGAAGAAATTGGTTAGAGTCTACGTTGTACTTTTTCTTATGTTTGGTTTCGGCAGTGACTCCATCTAAATTTCAGGGCGACAATAAAAATATTTTTTGACTGTATGATTGAAAGTAATAAAACACTAAGAAAATATTGTTAGGCTTTATTTTTGATTCTACGTTTATGTCTTGATAAAAATAAATAAACAAAGGAGTTACAACGAGGAAAGAAAGTAACTAAACGCAAAAAAAAAGTATATTAATGTTATAAACAGTGTTGTACACGTTCCTCAAAACGAGGAACGGAAGCTCGTTCCTCGTTACTTTTGATTTTTGGAACGCGTTCCCGTTACAAGTTCCATCTGCGAAAAAGGAACTCGTTCTCGTTACAGTTTAAAAAAGGGAACGTATCGTTACATATACGTTACATTTCTATTTTGCTAATTACCATATTTAGTTAGATTAAACAAAGTTTTTTTTTCATCTATCCCATTATGGCAACATGCGAATTTGAATGCCGTGATGGAAGGACACCAGAAGAAATCAAGCGGAAGCAAGGTTTCATTTGTTGATGATTCACTTTTAAAAATCTCAGCGTTTTGCCATAGTCATGTTTGTGGTGGGCGATTCAGACGAGCCAAATGTACTGTTACTCCACATTGCACCCGCGTTTTACAACAACCTCACACGTTTCGATCTAACAAAGTCCCTTCTTCGAGCTTAACAATTGCTTCTCGCTGTTGCTGTCCGCAAGACGAGCAAGTGGAGAAGAGGGTAGGGCTTTCGGAAGATCAGTCTTAAAAACGATCAGTCCTTCCTTGTGAAGGTTGGATTCGTTGTTCAGTTAGAAGGTGGGAGAAGAAGAGAGGGAATGAAGGGTAATTTTTGTGCATCTAGCCAATGCTCGGGATACAAGAGTGCGTTCGATGTCTGGTAACCTGTTCTTTTGGTGTAGCTGTAGGTCTCTTTGTAGAACTTCAGTGATAGCTGTAGTCTTCCCTAGATTTCTGGGTGTATGAGGATTCAAGGAAGCAAAGAAAGAGGCCGAGTTTGAAAAGTCTCTTTTTCTGTTTTTTGTTTCAACTAAATATTTTGATTTCTGTACCGCAGTCTCGGGCACTGAAAAAAGAATCAATGCAGTAGCTCTCCTGCACCCGACTGTTACCAAGCGAGGACCCCACAAAATAAATCCTACGTAACAAAAAGTGAACGAGATCCTGCTGTTCGTAAATATATTGTTTTTATGCTTTTTTTAAAAAACTCCCCTGGAAGAAATAATAAAAAAAATACCTCACTGGACGAAGAAAAAGGAACGCCGTTCCTTTTTCCGTTCCCTTAAAAATGTAACGAGTTCCCGTTCCAGTTCCACCCAAGAAAAATGGAACGGCGGCGTTCCTTCGCTCGTCCTAAAGGGAACGCGTCCCAGGAACGCCGTTCCTTGGAACGCCGTTCCGTACAACACTGGTTTTAATAAAATAAAACAAAAAAACGAATGGTTTCTTTTTGTTTATGTTTGAGGTGTATTTCTTTTATGTTTTATTCGAATGGCTCACTTAAATTAGATCAGACTAGACTCTTTTTCTTTATAAGCTGTTCATCCGGGTAGGTTGATAATGTGGATGCTTGAGCTAGTTGGTAATTCATGCTTGGGTAAGACAGCGCGAATATACAGTCACACTCACAGGCACTCAAGAAGGAAAACAGCTCTGCGAGTCTGGTTCCGTCTCGCGTGCCTGTGAGTGCGACTTTATATCCGCGCTCTTCCACCCAATCCGGTTAGAAATACGGCTGTAGGTGTGAAAAAAAAAAACAAAAAAACATGTAAGACGTTATACACAGACGCATCAACTTAAGCGCTGAATTGATAGCCGGAGTCTAATAGCCGGAGTCTAATAGCCGGAGTCTAATGATCTCGGTTTTTGTTTCAGTTGGGAAGGTTTGTGGGAACCGGGACTGTCCTCGCCGACTATGAGCATCTAAGTATGAGCCAGGTGTGCAGCCTCGAAGGTAAATTTTGTGCTCGGATTTGGCGTGTTCTTGGTAGCTGATGAAAAACCATGGTTGTCCTTAAATTTCCAGTGATCGAGTTTTTGCGGAAGCTAATTGGTGTGTACGAGAGCAACTACCCCGAGACGCTCGAGCGATGTTTTATCGTCAATAGTAAGTTTCACATACAATTTTCCTTCATTTTAATTTTGTGCGCAAGGACCAAATCTTGCGATGTACAGAAATTTGTTATAATATTTTTTTGATAATTATTATTTTTTTCTATCTTTTTTCATTATTAAATGACGAAAAAAAAAACGAAATTGGAGATGTTGGTTGCCGTGAAAGTATGTCCGGCTACTCCATGTTATTATTTTATCTGCTCGGTCATTGAATATTTCGCCATATGAAGAACCACTCTTGACCTACGCATAAATATTGCACTTTGTATCGTGATTCATGTTTCCTGAATCATTGGCTTCTTTGCTAAAAGTAATTAATGAATCCAGAATAGTTCGCTGTGGTCCTCCAAATTCAACAAGTCGAGTTTTCGGAGAAAAGCTACGAATAGGCATAGTGTCGGTGGTGACCTTATCATGACCAGTGTATCATAATTTATTTCGAAGTAAGAATTAAAATTTAATTGCAAATCAAGTTTTGTGATTATGATTAGTTAAATCCCCAAGTAAAATCTATGAAATGGGCAAGACGGCAGAAAATTCAGTGTTTGTTTTGTGAGGAATACAATTTTTCATTGAAACGTTAAGTTTTTATTGAGAATCGTGCTCTGAGTTCGATGCTATCAAAATCCTCGCGTATATTGCGGTTCTTCATTTTAGTGGGCAGAAATGAAAGGTATTCGAAAGGTGGTGAACAAAACCCAGTGCAAAGATATGTCATGTCTAGGAATGTAAAGTGTACGTTCTTAAAGTCCAATTTTGTTATTAATATATTGTACTATTTTCGCCTATAATTCTTTTAGAGAATATAAAGCTATGTGTGGCTGTTTGACTGAAACAAGTATTAAAATAAAAGCTGAGTTGAGAAGAGCGGAAAAAAGGCACAAAGGAATAATGTCCTAGAATGATGGGGACGATATTCCTGAAACTAATAATTTATCGTGAATGTTTTTAGTGTGGTATTTATGGGTTAGTAGTACAAATACGGAAGTTGAATTCTCCAAAACCCTAACTTGCATCGGAGACATATATTAAGGTAATTAAAAATTCGATTGAAGTACTTACATGCAGTACTGTCTCAGAACGAATATACAGTCAGTGCGCGGGCGAGCAGGTGAAAGTTTACTATGGTGCGTTTAACCCGAGACTGGGGAAGAAGGAAGAAAACACTTTGACAGTGGGCGCTCTTTAAAACGTCCTCTGTCATTTCTAAAAAAATGTCTCAGGATATTTGAAAAAAAAAAAAAAAATTGGGAGGAACTAAACTTCCTGCTATATTGCTAAGTTGTTCGTATTTTTGTTAAAACAGAATAGTTTATAATGTAGTGCCTTTTCTTTAAACACCCCTGACTCTACTTTAATGCAGAAGCTGCTGTATTAGAAACTATCCATATCACAAGTTATCCAATTGCACAAATGCAAAAATATTATTATTAAAGGGGCCAAGAAGCGATTTCTCTACTTCCGCTAAATACTACTTAGAATCACTTCATAACGTTAAGAACTGAATAAACTTGCCTTAGTTTTTCTATCTAAGCAATGACAGTCGGCCGAAAAATTCGAGAAATATGAGCATCGTTCAACCCCTGAACTCTGAGGCAGGACAAGCGGCCATGAGGCGTGGTGCCTATTCTATGCCGCCAACGTTATTCATAGCCACGCTGAGGTTGGTAAAGTAGAAAACACATGCTAAGCTCCAGGCATTGTTTGAGTTCGGCTATTCCATCACCGCAGTGGTTGGACGGGAGCCACTACCTGAGTGCCCGCCGATTCACTGATTGCTACGAGCCGAAGTCGAGTGCTCACGCAGTTCTCGTGTCCAATCTATGAGCCGCGCTCGATTGTCGTCGGTTGAGTGTTTTCGATCCCAGAGTTAGGTCATGAAGCCTTGCGAATACAAGTCTAAAGGAAATAATCACCTTTTATTCTCGCAATTTAGCCGCGACCAAGAAGCTTTTGAATCAGTGGTGGTTTGTGCGAGATTAGGATCAGTACGCCTCTGCAAAGTCATGAACAATCCAACCCGATGTCGTTCCCTGATCCCCTATATTCCGAGAGGACTCAGTAATATTTATTTATATATTTAGAATGATGTAATTGAACACGTTCGCTAAAAACTGTCCAAATAGCCGTGCCTTTATTGTGTTAATATTTCCACGGTATTCCTGTGTTTTGTAATCAAGCTAAGTACTTGATTTATCTTTTCGAAGAGCGGTTTCTCATTAAGGTTTTTATATCTTAAAGTTTGAACTGACACGATTATAGTTTATTAGTAATGTACGTTCGGATAGATATCCACAGTAGTCTAAACAAAAAATACACTTCAAAGAATGTTGGTATTGATGGGGTTTTTACTTTTAATTTTCTGACACCTCCATGATACATCGAAACTAAGTTATTTGAATAGCGCTAATCCACAAACAAAATCTAATATGCACATTGTTTGCGAAAAAATAAAAAGCGAAAATTAAAAAAAAAAAAAAAAACAGCGTCAAGCAAGGCAGACGTTTTTCCGTCCAGAGGATTATGTTTCGAGCTGGAGTCCTACGCGTAGGCCTGTCATCAGTTTGAACATGAACATTCGACAGATATCATTTGTCTGTTAGGGGAAAACCTAATTAAAACGGGGGACATCCAACCAAGCCCTAACTAGGGACCCGACGCTTTGAGACTTACTCGGCCATTTCTGCAGGAGTGACTGTGGAGATTGCCGTTGAGGAGCAGTATTTTCGAAAATACTGTTCCTCAACGACCGCCGCTAGTCGCCCCAGAAGAAGTGGTCGAGTTTTTCATCAAAACGTTGGGTCTCGAGTTAGGGCATGGTGTAACTTTCTCTTTTCAAATAATCTTTGGTTTATTTACACAAAGAAGAAAGTGCCTTTTGAGTACGTTTTGACGCGATTATAGTGCGAATGTTTTTTTTTTTTTTTGGGCGTACTTCAAATAAATGCTTTGTTGAAGTTCAATGCTTGTCATGTCTATCGCCTGTCCCTGCCCTTGCCTATTGCGGGCTGTTTCGCCAATCTGTAATTTGTGAGCCATAGTATGGAGCTTCTCAAATGCTCGGGATTTGTTCTTAATCATTCGAAAAGCATGCTGTCCGCTTGATAAATATATTAAGGTGAACAAACATTTTAAACTCTATTTTCGCGTTTTACCACTCGTTCCCAGCTCCCAGCTTCTTCCCGTATGCGTGGAAGATACTGCGACCCTTTATGTCTGAAAAAACGGCAGGAAAAATGCAGATATTTTCTTACGGTAAGGAATGTTTTAATCTAAGTATGCTTGTCTGTGTGTGTGTCATTGTGTGTGCCCCTGCGCATGAGTTTGTTTGTGTATGTATAGGTTTTGCATGAAGTTGAGTTGTAAGGGGCATTGTGACTAGTTCCAACGAGGGGCAGCCAATGCCAGCGTTATTAATCTCAGCTGCTCTCCATTTTTCTCCTTTTCAATCCATAATTTTCTTTGCGTTTCAAATTAATATATAATGTCGGCGCAGATTAATTTATTATTAATCAGTTAATGCCATTCAGAATAGTCATTACACATATTTGCAGTTTGATCTTCAATAAGAATGTGAGCCCAGTTGATAGACATAAAATAACATTAATTTCATAGATGTGCTTCACAAGATATTTTTCCAGCAGCTTAGCTGACATATAGCTAATGACCCTAACCGCTTGATCTGGTATTTTAAGCGTAATTTTTCTCTGGTCCCTTTATTCTTAAAACTATTTATTATAAAACATAAGTGCGGTCAAAGCTTGAGTATGCCTGCATCTGTGATGCTGGCACCGCCTACCTTACTGACTTATTCGGATTAATTCAGAAGAGATCCGCGTGTTTTATTCTGGCTAATTATAATCCCATCGATAGGGTAACATCAATAAAAAAACACTTCCACCCAGTCTCGCACATTGCCGCGAAATTTCAAGTATTTGTTTTTTCTTGCATACTTTTTCATCACAACATTGTACTCAAGAATCAGGTGTCACCCCACCATCATTTGTTTCCGCACGCATGGATCACCGTCACAAAGTAGGCGTTCCATTTTTGCCATTATAACAAATATTTTGAACCATGCCTCTCTAAAGGTTCGAATGAATGGAATAGTCAACCTGCATCACTTACATCAATTGTTAATTGTGTTCTTTTTTGTTCGAATGTTTCAAAACCATGTCTTCCCAGTTGTTTATCTACTTTGAATTTTCCACTGTTATTCTGTTTGTTTTCTCGACATCACGCTGTGCAATGCCTCTGGCCCTGAAGGCAAAACAAATAAATAAGTAAAAAGTCCCAGGACACCTAAGCACTTCTTATGAGTTGTGAATGCAAAAGCATGAATGTCGTTCTTCCGCTCTCTTAGTTCGTCTGCGGCGTAGTGGTGTGGACAGTCACGCTTCGCTACTGCGGATGTTGCGGCCGACGGCCGAGCGCGCGCTTTCGTGAAGTGACCGCGCCGTGCTGAGCTCGGCCGTGCAGTCTCTGCAGAATCTGCCCGGACGAGCTCTGCGGTCAACGCTCCCTCTTCCGGGCGGCCGGGCCTCTGCGTGCCCTGCGCCGCCATAAGGAGGGCTTCTCCGGTAACGATTTTTAGAACTATGCCGCGCGAGAGCCAATGGGCGCCTCGTTCCTTAATGATACGCGCCAGGCAATGGGGAACCTATCCATCAGATCGCGGCGTTACTTCGCTCCATTGAGACAGGGGAGTTTAGGAGCCGTTTGGCGCGGCTTCAAAGCTGATGACGTCGATTGGGTCCAAAAAACAGTTAATACTTTCGCAATAATAAATTAACACATATTTCAGAAGGCTGGAAACCGGTATTATTCCAGTACGTGGACCCATCTGCGATACCGGTTCACTGGGGAGGAACGCTGATGGGACCCGGTGATGACCCGGAATGCACCCACATGGTATGACGGGAATTTCCATTCAGGGTGCAAGGGCGTCGAAGAAAAGAACGGAGCTCGGGTATATCCGGAAAAAATGCCGATTGGTTAGCGAATGTAGCGGCAAATCAAACATGCATGTAGACGAAGATTTAAAATTCCCTAGCCTGACCATTAAACATTTAAGAACGCTATTGGAACCGCGCAACACCCATTACATCTGCGGACAGCTTTAAGGCTCTCGCAGTATTGCGTATGAGGCACTCAGTATCTTTTAAATGCCAGCACCAATCTGAATTGTTCATTTCTACTATACACCTCATAAACATGTGTACGAGAAAATTTGCTCGACCTCCACCTGAGATGGAGCGCAATGGGCTCCCTCTAAGCGACTGGTGCGCCGCTGAAAACAATTCTCCCAGAACCGGCGTCGATACAGGGACGTCTCCATGGCTAGCGGTGCGCTCTGTTAACTGAGCTTACAAGACGATATCCATCAGTAGAGCAAGATGATGTTATCAGTTGCCACCAGTCTTGATTATGATACTGTGACGTGCTGGCACATATAAGTGAAGTGCTGAAAAAACGAACCGAGTTATAAGAGAAGATGTATTATAGAGGTCCAGACAGTTGACGTCAATGCCACTCCTACATTTCTAAAGATTCTTGCATTCAAGGATACCTAAAGAAAACTAAACCACAAAGCGAATCTAGGTTGAAAAATTGGTCGGTGCATAGGTGTACTATGTTGCATAAATTTCCGCAGAACCACGTGTGCCTGGCACAAGAAAGGAGTATGTGTAAGGGGGGGGGGGGGGGTAGGGTTTAACTCTTCGCCGAGTCTCGTTTAAGATTCACGTGACCTTCGCCGTTTTAATCAGACAGGAGCGCGTCGCGTTGAATCGAGCAAACATGCAAGCCAGCAGATGAGAAATTGCTGCAAAAACCACTATTGTTGGTTGTCTATAAATTGAGATAGCATTCGTCCAGTACCTCAAGGGCGACGTCTAAGAGGACCTATAGGACGACCCCTGGGGCGATCTCAAGGACGACCTCTAGGATGACGTATAGGAAAACGTCGAGGACGACGTCTAGAACAACCTCAGGGGGATCTGAAGGATGACCTCTAGGACAAAGTCGCTGCTGAAACAAAGTAGATAAATCTAGCAGAAAGGTCGACGGAAAACACTGCGCAGATGTCTTAATATTATTTTCAGGTAAACTATCAACCCTAAATAGGTCTTTGCGGAGGCCACGTGTGGAGGCTCAAATTTATTTTTCGTATCACAGATAATGCCGCTCGTATTTAATATAATCGTAAAGCTGTGTCCACGCTTTTTGCCTAGCTTCTAAGAAATAATCAACTGTCTGATTACTTTTAGAGTTTACTACCACCTAAATTACTTACCATAGGCTTATACCTGTAAATATTTTTTGAAAGTCGATTTTTGAACTCCACGTGGCTCGTATATTCGTGAATGAAAAACATTGTGGTGTTTGTTTTTTCACTGGAGCTGGTTATGCTTTCAAAGTCTGCCAGAATATAAAAAAAGTCACCGGCATGCAATGTCTCCAGCATACTCTAACATGTCGGAAGTGAAAATTTTGCGAATCAAAAAGACAAATTATAATCGATGCAGATCGGACGTGGGGGCCACGTTCCAGAGCATCTTTACCTAAAGAATCGATCGAGTGACTCTGAAGATTCCGATACTACGACCTGTATCCTTGAGCGAGGCCAGAACCTGGATGTCCCTGTCAAAGTTGAACGCGAGGGATCCGTCCTACGCTGGAAGTTTCAAACCGGCCCAGGACACGAAGTGGGCTTCGGTGTCACCTGGAGTCCAACCGGAGACACCATACCAACTCAGGAGATCCTGCAGCCCACCAGGGTGAAATGCGACCTGGTTCCCGAGATCGGAGAGCTGAGTTGTGCCAAGACCGGAACATGTACGGCCGGCTCGAGGGAGCACTTTATTTCTTTATTTCCTGACAAATAGATGTATGTAAATTTCTTGGTAGCCTGGTCATTGATAGAGCGTTAACAAGGCAAGGTTTTTATGCATGAAAAAAGTAGAAAGCCGACGCGTTGACTCAGTAATCTTGTATGTTATTGCTTACGTTAGTAACCAATGTGGTTGGTTTAAATTTTCGGTGGACAGATTGGACGATTAATATATGATAATCAATACTACCAAAAAACCTTAAAAGATAGAAAAAAGTTGTGTGTTTCGATGTTGGTATATTTGATTACTCAGAAAAAAATCAGAACCTATATCAATTTATTTGAAAAAAAAAGAAACCAACACCTTGCCCTGCTGTACTCATAAGGAACCGTAATTTGTCAGCAACTCGTCTTGAGGAGCTGCTGGATTTGGCAAAAATACCTTGTAAATTTTATCAACTTTGGTGGTCACAATAGGTCACATTCAGAATATGGACGTAGTTTTCAATACCTCTTGTTTTAGTTTTACTTAAAAGTGAGAAGGTCTCGCATACAACATTCTTTGCGACGAAGAATTTAAATTTGCTGTTGAAAAGGTCCTCAAAAAGGAGTTTAAATATATTTAATATCTAGTAAATAAAAATGCAAGTGAAAGGGACGCCTGCACTTAAAAAGTATTATCGGAAAGTTTCTTTAGCATTTGCATGGAGGCAGCCATGTTGCTGAGTGCTCCTGGTATTTACTTAACAGTGTATATTTCAAGTTTGCATATTGCTGCTATTATGAAAAACATTGAAACAGCGCGAAATTAGCGAAAGAGAAGAACAAGGAAGTGAACGATCACAACTTGAAGTTTATTCCTGCGAGGAACAGAAAGGAAAACATAAAAAGGATGCAAGATAGATAAAACATAATCTACCCTTTTGAGGCACGCCCAACACTTAAACAAATTTGCCGAATTTCTTGATAAAAGACACTTAGTCATTTGCCAAAGCCAAGGATTGGGCACTAACACACGTGTCCGCTCCGTATGTAGAAATAAAAAAAAAACACCTCATGAAGTTCTCTGGTCACTTCGTTTTGGTGACAAGCCAGAATCTTAATCTCCGTGAAAACTGGAAATTAAGATTTGCTTTTTGCACATTTCTCTTAGTGCATTAACTAGTCAAACTTCACGCCTTGTTGATGCTATTACGCTGTTTCTGTAACCCTAAGAAATAACCCCATGATTTGTTTTAGAATTACCAATACCACTCATATTTTCAAAATCTTCCTTTTGGGTTTTGCTTTTAGGACTTATTTTATTCATCCAGTTGAAGTTATTCAAAGTCAATTACTGTACTGCTTTTAGAAGGGCGATTCGGCAATTTTTTTATGGTCCCTGATTTGCCTCAAAATGGGCTCAACACACCGATAGACACGGCTGTACCAGTTCTCCAAGTACTGTGGGAAAAGAAAACAAATTCGCGAAGCTATTGAATTTTTGAGGTTCGCTTTCATCCGTTTTTTCAAAGCCCTTTTCTCACACTTCAATGTTGCCCCTACTGGCAACATTGAAGTGTGACGACAGAAATGGTACAAAGTGGGCAGTAAGCCATGTTCCCAACTGATTACAAACCGTTTGATGGCGAGAAAAGAGTGCTTGGTAGCTGATTCACAAAGAAGCACGCAAAAAGCACTCGACATACTCTTCTTAAGACTACCTGCGTGACCTGAAAGTATGTACCATTGGTGACGTCACACCTCTGGAGAGCACGTGGAAATTTGAATGTTGGTCTCGGCATCATCTTCATTTACGGTTTTCTCACTTACTGTTTTGAATTTTGATAAAATAAATAGCATACCGTGAAGAGTAAAGTCCGAGTAGTCAGAAAATGGAATTTTTTTGGTTAGCTCAAAAACCGGCTGGAGTACCCTTTTAAGGCTTTGATACAATCTTGCAACGCAAGTTTTCTAGCCAGAATCACGATTTATAAACCAATCCCTTAGACCATTGGTTTTCAACCATTCATGTCTCGTGGACCCCTTGTTGATCGGTGGAGAGGATGGAGGGCCCCGTCCGTGGTGAGAGGAAAGGAAAGGTACAGGTTAATTATGAGAATGAGTTTATAAGTGGATAAAACTAAGGGCTGGTGTGAAGTAGGCTTCTTTCATTGACATACGCACGGGAAAACTCACCCAAAAATTGAAACGATTCTTCTCAATCGGATAAAAGACAACATTTATTGCCGGGCTTAACTGACGAGACAGGGCTTTGCGGACCCATCGAATGCCTTCGCGGACCCCAAAGGGCCCGCGGACCCCCATTTGAGAACCACTGCCTTAGACAAGGAGAAATATAATAAGGGACAAGATGACACAAAACTCTCAAATTCAGCTAAGTTTATTCGCAATTGAACAACTTATAGCCGTTCAACCTGAACTCTAAAATCAAGGTCTGTAGTCTTATACCCTTTTGTCTTATATATAATACACCCAAAACTTCACTTGGACGTACAGGGCACTGACGTCGAACTGACGACTTCAACTTTTACGAGGGGCTTGTTTACGGGGCGATATGACTTATTAAACAGCTAAGGTAATTATCGAAATCTACATAAAAAACAATTTGGTTTTGCAGTAGGACCAACAAAACCTTGATTATTTGTTTGTAATCAGTAACACGTACATAAGCTATTTTATAAGTTATACCACTCGGTTATCACGGAAATTGTGTGAGCCAGCCTTCAATAGTTTAGAATGAACGCGCGAGAAAGTTCCTTCTTTTGTGAGCTTTTGTTGTTGTTGAGGGGTGGGTGGTCAAAGGGGGTAGTGCGGTCTTTTGCTGGGTCCACATGGTCTTGAGTGGGACTACCTTTTTGGGTAGCTTGACGGCGGATGTCTGTGGGTGGTGTGGTGTCTGGGTGGAGGTCAGTCAGTCAGGCCCAGTTCCGCCAAATTTGCGGAGGCATGCGTTTTTCTATTCTCTCTTTTCTGTCTGCGTGAACTTCTATTAATTGTTATTCCCTTGCGAATAAGCTCAGCTGTGTTTGAGATATTGTGTCGCCTTGTCCGTTATTTTATTTCTCCTTGTCCCAGGATTTTGATTGTGATGTTTCATTACAAGCTGGCCTGCATACTTTCGCTCTTTGCAACAAAATATGATTTTTTCCTTCCCTTTGTAGTAAGTGAAGGAATTTTATATAACACCTTTACACTAATTTCTACGAGAAGCAAAATAGTTTTCGATGATTCATCGTGGCGTGATTAATGCCTTTTTATAAACTTAGCGACGGCACCTTTGTTCTACACTCCCAAACTACGAACGAACTAAAATTAGTTTGACGTTTTAAGACAAACACCTTAATAAAAGGGCTAAAACATATTTTATGTTGAGCAACACTAAATTTTTGATACTATTTTAGAAGCCGAGGTTTATTTAAAGGCACCCTTGGATTGGTTCGCTTGAATTAAGACAATAATGATTAAAAGTTAGCATCTTCAATCTATGCTTAGCTCCTATGGAATTGCTAGCGCTTGGTTGAGTTTCTTTTAGACTGAATAAGACAAAAGTATCACAAGCCAAGGCAATATCAGCCAGTTGTGATTTTAGCGAATGGGTTAGCGGGTGTGAGCTAAAGACTAAAATTCGATAGTTAATATGAAGACAAATATAGGGAAATTAAATGTTCTTAATATATCAATCAATCATTTATCCACAAAAAAGCAGTTAAAGTCATTTTGAGTAGTATTCACTTTATTACCACTAAATATGTTTCCTCAGACACCCTGTATACCTTGTTTTGTTACCCCCACCTTCACATTTAAGTTGTGACTAGATTTTCTGTTCAGTCCTAGTATGGAATTGTTATAAATTTAATGACTTTTTATTAACTGAATGAAGTCGTTCCTTTCTTTTTCAGACATCTTCAGGTTTGACAACAGCTTCAGCTGGTTCACAAAAAAACAGATTTCTTATGCACTGCAAGTGATGAACCCTGAAGAAGCAGCTCGTATTGGCCACTGCTAAATGTTGCATCCTCTACCTTGTACTTTCCTTTGATTCTCCATGTAAGGCATCAACCGGAAACATGGCATGTGAATAATCTCAGGGAAGCTATAAATAGTGGGAGAGGTCACTAAAAGCGCTGAAGCGGTAAAGAACATCTGGTGCATTTGAGCCGCTTCCTGTACATATGTACACAGGTAGAAAGTAGGATTTTGTTTCGAGTTGTACGCATTTTGATATATTGTTAAATGTGAATAATAAACGATATCTGAGAAGCGTGTTTTTTTGTTCTAACGTGGTACTTGGCGACCGTTTCCTTCTATAATTGTGAACATCAGGAAAGTAAAGAATAATCACTGCACTTAATAATGAACATGCACAAGCGTTTTTGTCCTAATTACCATGTTTCTTAATTAGGCAAAAGTTATTTCACGTTCAATAAACTGCAAAATAATTATTCTGTCATGAGTGTGAGCAATACGTCTGGCTCCTTTAGAATCTAAAACGTAAAGCGAAGGTTATCTTTACATGGAACATGTTCAGTTACTTTCATCATGCGGAGATAGAAAACCTCAGTGCAGACAAGAGTCCCATGACATATAGATAAACAATGTGGCCGTTACCTTTTATTTAAAGAATTGCGTTACCATATTTCTTCGGCTGAATGCATGTATACTTTGTAAAACAACAAACAAGAACACGATATCGGCGTTTTTCGCTTTGAACTAAGACAATAAATCAACTATCACTTTGCCTCAAACTAGTCGGCTTGATAGCAACCCTTCGATTCTAATTAAATTCGATTGAAGTCCTTGTTCCTTCCCATGGACCGAAAATGAACTTTGGCGACAGCCGAGGCGTTGCACGTTCTACTCTACGAAGACTACACACTGTCACACTGCACACAAAAGTAGACGTCATGGGATGTCAAAGTTCTACGCGATGTCATGGCGTCCTGTGACTTAAACATATCTGTGTCATTACATCACTGTCGGATGCACGTCACTGTGTCCCGTGACATTAGGATGCCACCAACATTACTATACTACCTCAGTCGTGAACCTCCTTCGGAAGTGGGTACACCCCCCCCCCCCCCTCTCTCCGTCACTTCAGTCCGCTTCCTCCCGTTTAAAGCGCCATCTAGATTTTCGTTTCATAACTGCGTGTTCCATAGAGCTGAACTGAAACGTCATCTAGACGTTGTGCTTTGAAACGTACGTATTCCATGGAACACACTGCAGTTACCTTAGGAGCCGCCTCGCGTGTTGAACGAAGGAGGCGATCCGTGGTGGCAGAGGGGGGATACTGCTCGTGCAAGCAGCGTCTATGAGCAGTTCCGCAATTGGGCTAACCTAATAACCTTGGATGCCACGTCATCATGTTCCGTTACGTCATGCTGTGACGTGAGGTTCAGAATCACGCACTGTGTTGCCAGGTAAATAATGTTGCAATGCCACGGGAGACGGTGACACTTACTGAAGACATTTTTTCATTATATATGAGATAAATGTTTTAAACTAAAATTAGTGGATACATTTTTTTTGTTGAACATAAGGGGGAACTTTTTCAAATAAATCTAGCTGCGAAATGTCTCCGCCACGGATCATACAGGAAACACCCGGTGATCCACTGAAAAACCTCTGCCGTAACGGCCGTCGTCGTAAAACAAAACAAAAACAAATATCGGTGATCGCTTGTTTGTGTTAACCGTGTGGCCCTCTGTGCACATGTGATGTCATGCAATAATTCGTTATCTTGGCTAATCAAAGGTGCACCAGCGGAAGTACAATGCTGATTTAATACTCAAAGTTCGAGCGCGCGCAACATGTGCTTGTAAAAAAAAGAAAAAAAGCTCTTAGCAAGGTATGGTTATAATGAATTAATACTAAAGGCACGTTCACACTGCCTCGTTTCCTGAGGTTGTGTTATGTTATGGAAGCTTACGTCGGCGTATGTCGATAGTCACCAAGACATCGGTGTTTCCTATGAAACGTGGCAACCAGTTCAAGGAGCAGACTGGCAGGCGATATTTGACAAACGGATATGCCACCATAGCACGGGAGCTCTGCTGCAAGGAAACACAACGAAACGGTCCTGTGAGCATGTGCCTTCAGTCAAAATAAGAACGACAGGCTGTTTTTGTTTTTCTTTTCAAACACCGATCCTCCAGCATGAGGTCCATACCTTCCGCCGCTCTTTGGCAGCGCATTCGTGCTCGAAATACACGAGACGCCCAAGCGCTTTCGCAGGTAGGAGGCTCGCGCTGAAGGTTTACAGCTAAAGTCCCTCACTCCCGTTCTCACCTTGTCAGCGACGTCACACGATGTCGTTTTCCCAGGTAGAAACTCGACGACTCACCAGGTTCATATGAAACCCGTTACAGCATATAACGCTGCAACCTTCTAAAATTTATTCTTGAGAGCATAGTCCATGCAGTGTTGTCCGCATTTACCCAGGCGACGTCCCTTATTTACGTTTTGTTTTTTAAACGAATGCCTAAAATAAGCATGATGTGGTGTGAGCTGGGGTTAAACTTTATGTCTAGATTTTTTTCAAGGTACTGCCACTTTCTCGAAGATGTATCGTCGCCGAAGTAAATGGCTGTTATACTTGGTTGCATCACTCACCGTCAAGTGTTGACTGGCCATCTGTGCTAAAATAGCATGGTTTTATCAAAGACGTCACCTAATTCGTGCAGCTTGTTAGAACTTTGTCAGCGCGTATATTTCGTTAGTAGAACTAAAAAAAAAATCTCTTTCAATTTTTTTTTTGAGCAAGTATTTTGAGTAAGTATTTTGAGTAAGTACGTAGGCCCTTTAAGTTGTAATGTATCCTAACGTTTTTTTCTAAATTGCTGACGGGTAAAGGCACGAAGAACATTTAAAAATATGCTGAATTTTATTAGAAATAAGTGCAAAACACTGCAACGTTGTTATGAAGACATGATACAATTGATACGTCATCTGACCTTCCCAATGTCTCAGACACTACAAATGGTGACGTTAACATCCCGAGAGCATACACATTATTATTTATTTTATATCAATGCGCAGAATGAGGTGGTTTCGTAGCGTGATATCGGCATGAATGATGATTTTATTTCATGAACTGTCTTAAGAAACGAGAGATGGATGCCGTTTTATAATCCCGAAAGCAGAGGTCAGTCGCGAGAATGGAAGCACTGCGTTTCACCGCCACTGAAGTCTCGCGCTACCACCAGAGCGAAGGAGACAGTAGTGGCCACGTTCCGGGAGAGCGTCATTCTTACCCACTAGAGTGCCTTCATACACACGCGCGCTTTTGCTTGAGTGGTGACATCTCAGCCATTTTCACGCCCAATCGTTTTTTTTATGCATCTTGAAGTGCGCGCAATACGGTGTTACTCAGCTCGAGCCCGGAGCTTTGGCTAATGCATAGATGCCTTTTTATCGCCCAAGTCACGCACCGAGTGCGCGAGAGCATCACGCGCTGGCACATTCAGTGCAACAATGGATGTCTTCACCCTGAGACAGACAGACATGTAGGCACCCTATTACCCACTGGATTAAAGTGGTGACACTGGCGAGTTGGTTCATGACTACACTCCGTTTCATACTTAGTATGCAACGCTGTCCATGCTACTGGCGCGTGCGTGTCGCTTCATTTATAGTTTCGTATACAAAGTACACAAAGTATGAAACAGAGTATAAATGAAGCAAATACAGCGCACAGAAAAACAAAGACGGAGAGAAGAACATAGAACGTCCGCTGGTTCCGAAAGGCACGACTGTGTCGGCCGCTTCCTACAAAGATGTTACTAAAAATACAATAAAAAAACAATAAAAAAAACTATTCTTGCAGTAGAAGAAAAAAAGACAAAAAGGGGCCCTTCTATGATATTTCTTTACGACAACGCTCAATTTGTTGGCGACACGTTTTAAAAAAGCAATTTAGAAGAGAAGACAACAACCTTATATTGATTACTTATGGTCCCTGCTGTAATGACACAGCGAAGTGCGGCCGTTTCGGCCTATGGAAAATACTCTGTGTTGTCGAGTGTTTTTGAGGCACTCCGCTGTTGCGTTGGCAATATCTCAATGGTTTCGACAAACCCCCAGCTAAGTCTCCACAGCGGTCGCGCAGTCTTGGCATCGACGGTACCGAAAACATAAAACTTACACAGTAACTATGTACAATAGCGACGACAAAGTTCCTGCTTTCTGTTCTATGCACTTTTCAAACATTAAGAGACCCTAGAGCTTGAATTCTTATCGTATGTTTACGCAGCATCAGCAGAGTGAAAAATGGATTAATTAGTTTTAACAATGCACTGGCTCCACATACGACTTGGCGGTCTCCATACAATATGTTTACCATTTCAATCTCAGCTGTGTTTTTAATTACTGATTTCGTGTGTCCACATTTGAAAAGGGTACGTTTTTTTCTTGTGTATTTCCAACCTGAAAATGATAATCAAAATATGATTTGAAGAGACGTTGTTTTATTAGACATTTTCGTCTTCGGTTTGGTTATTTGGATGACAGGCAAACACTTCAGAACAAGTGTAAAGTTTGCTCAATCTAGGTCTTCTAGTGTAGAAAACCATTGGCTAGGTTGTAGAACATAAATCGCGCGCAATGGAGTGTGTGAGAACAAACTATAATATAATAATGCTTATTGGTAAAAAAATATTTCTGATCAATGACTACAGTTTGTTACCTCAACATGGATATAAGATAACGCCAGATCAAAGTATTTAATCTGGAGGCGTTAAATTCACGCTATATGTGCCCACAGCTTGTGTTGCTTTCACAAGTTGAGTTTTGCTCATCTCTTTATCACCCGAAGTTCAATGCGGAGCGCAAGTTGAACTTGAACTTTGAACTTTGAACTTTATTTCAGCAACATTAGGCCGAGGACACCGGACAAAAAGCTAACAGAAGCTAGCTTGACTGGGTCCGGTGCCCTTGCATGTACAGGGAACACAACCATATTTAAACAATCCTAAGTATTTCTTACAATATTCAAATCAAACAATTTAAAATTTTCCAATAAAATTTTAAAATCACGACATTAGAGAACATTTTTTTTTCTTAATTTAACAACACAAAAAAGTACGCAATGTTTTCTTAGTTATACAATGAATATCGATGCGGTTCATTACAATGTTGTTAAGCAATGTAGGTAGATTATGAGCAAGAGACTGCAGTGCATAATTTGTACGGAAATGGGGAACCTTCCAGAATTCTCTACGACAAACATCGAAGACTGATTCACGCTCAGTTAGGTTTGCTAGCTGTGACAAAAAAGCAATAAACTCCAAAGTTGAAAAGGCATAAGAAAATAGGAAACGGTAGTCATAAATACAAGAAACTTTCATGATATTGTTCGTCTGCTTCTTTTGCAGGGGTTGTGGTGACGGCAGAACGCCCAGCTCTGATTGACTCTTGTTGAAGGATAGTGAGTGGTTCTTAAGGCAGCTTGGTTTGAGGTCGACCCACTATTCTTTGATCAGAGCGAATCAAAGCTTGGCGTTCTCACGTCAACACAACCCCTTGAAAAGCTTTAGGTTTTGGATGTAGGAATGCAAACTTTGCTTAAGATAAAACTAGAATTTACTCTAGAAAAAAGTAAACTGAAAATTAAAAAAAAAATTCCGAGCAGATAAGATTATTTATAAAAATGGCATTCTCAGTTAAAGAAAATAAAAAAAAAACTTGAGATTGTGAAGTCTCATTGAGTAGTGGCAACAATTGCGCCTGCTAGACAAAATGCAAACCTGCAGTGTTGTGTCAGGGGAAGTAAGTTTTTATTTATATCTATGAGGGAGTTGTGCGCTTTCAATTTAAGTGTCTTAAAACTTCACAATTTTTTACCAAATATAACCTCTGCTGAGGTTATATTTGGTATCTGGGAAAATCTTGGGGTCTAGTGAATCAGGAAGGAGCACACCTGGGAGCTGCAAGACAGGGTGTCTGCCAGTCAAGATGCTTTAAAATCTCTAAAACAGGTTAGGGAATGTCATTGTTAATTTAAAAAGGACCGATAAATATAAACCGATTGATATATAGTTTCCGCCTGTGAAAATGCTTTAAAATCTTTCAAACAGATTTAGTGAATGTCATTGTTTTTGCAGAGGGCAAGCCGTCTGCTTCTTGCACAGAAGTGACGGTGAAGTCAGAACAACGTCGAGCTCTGATTGGCTTTGACTGGAAGGATAGTCGGTAGACCTGAATGCTAGATGCTTTGAGGTCTGCCCACTATTTTGTTTTAGTCAACCTTTAAGAGCTCGGCGTTCTGATATCATCGCCACCCCTATGCAAGGAGTAGACGAACTTTCGCTCCCCATTGAAAAGGACCGATAGATATACGCCGGTTGACATTTAAAAGAATTCGGGTAAACAAATGACTTTGATATGTCCAAGGCAGCCGTCAGAGTATTCCACAGAATGGTTCTGAACTTAGTCTAGGGTTCTAAAACTCAGACCAGTATGATGGCCGCTACGAGGGCCGGCTTTTGTGCATCCGATATTTCGGTGGCCGAATAGCCGACACGCCAGACAAAGTCGGACAGAGGAGTAGGGGCAAATGCGCAAAAATGTTTGCGAGAAACAACGCAACGTATATTCTCTGTTTTAATAGGTAACCTTCTGCTACTGCCGCATGTATACTTGCTTTTGCATTACGGCCGACCGCAGCCAACGGTACGATCCGATGGAGGGAATCCAGCAGCGCCCAAAGTGCATCGTCATGGCGCTTATATTTTTGTGCGTTTGAGGTCACTCGGTTCCTTGCTAAACCAAGAACAGAACGCCAAAAAGAAAAAAAACCGCAGGATCACGCTACTTTTTTTTTTTTTTGTGCGATTGTGTGAATAGTTTATCATGTCTTAGCAAACGCGCAAATACGACGAGCGCTATAACGGCACACTTTTAGCGCCGCGTGTGTCGCCCATTCGGATCGTGCCGCTAGTTGGGGTCGAACTTAACGTAAAATGGAGTAAAGACATTTCCTGGGGTTATCACCCTGGCGAAGAATGCTGACTCACGAGCTGTGGACGCATGCGCAGCATGTGATATGCTGCACAACAGAGCAACAGCGCCTGCTTGGAAGGCGTTGCACAGCTCAGCAGAAAAAGATGGGAGCGCGCAGGCGGTGTTTTCTCTGGAAAGGTCTATAGCTCTGGATTGGTTTCATGACTTCTGACGGTCCACACGTCCTGACAATGACAAGGTTTAGAATGGCGCCACCCCACAAAGAGCCGGGATGCTTTCGATAGCACCGGAAAACGCTCTATCTGTTGGCATGTTTGACGAGTCACTCAAATAACGCTGGAATTGAACGTTAAAAAAAAAAAAAAAACGTTTTGCACAAGAGCGAGTGTTTTCAGGACATTTTTTACAAAAGCAAATAAGAAAAAGTATCACTTTGACTTGTTGTGTAGTGGGCACCTTGGATATCATACACCGAACACACACACACAAAAAAAACAAGAAAACCGGAAAGCAAACAGCTCAATACAATACACAAAGTAATATATATATATACATATATATATATATATATATATATATATATATATATAGAGAGAGAGAGAGAGAGAGAGAGAGAGAGGGTGTTTCAGAAAACGCAGGCCAAATCGCTCCTGCAAAAACTACTTATCACAATGAAAAAAGGCTTGTGGCGTTTCGGAGGGGCCCATTTAAGAAAATGATTAAAGTCCCGGATAATTAACTTTTTAATTATTTTTGCGTAATTAACTTTTTTACTATTGTGTTTAAAGGCATGGTTCAAATTAGAAAATTGCTCAGCATCATCGAAAACCACTAAATCAACAAATTGCAGAACGATAGAAGGCACGCGAAGCATTTTACGGCTCTCTGAAAAACCGCACAAAAACTTCGGGTGTTTAATCGGTTTGCTATCGGAGCGCATCTCAGCCCCGGTGGCACCGCACCCCGTGGAGAGATAATGCAACCAACCTCTGCTGCGCTGTCATCGCGCGACGCAGCAGAGTCTGGTTGCACAATCTCTCCACCGGGCGCGGTGCTGCCGGGGCCGAGGGGCGCTCCAATAACGAACCGAAACTTAAAAACCCGTCCAATTTTGTGCGGTTTTTCAGAAAGCCGTAAAATGCTTCGCGTGCTTTCTATCGTTCTGCAATTTGTTGATTTAGTGGTTTTCGATGATGCTAAGCAATTTTCTAATTTAAACCACGCCCTTAAACACAATAATAAAAAAGTTAATTAGGCAAAAATAACTAACAAGTTAATTATCCCGGACTTTAATAATTTTCTTAAATGTGCCCCTGGCCCAGGATAACAACGCCACAAGCCTTTTTTCGTTGTGATGAGTGGTTTTCGCAGGAGCGATTTAGCCTGCGTTCTCTGAAACACCCTATATATATATATATATATATATATATATATATATATATATATATATATATATATATATATATATATATATATATATATATATATATATATTGAGATGCCAATAATTTATAAAAAGAAACCAACATTTTGAACGGTAATTTATGTCAACACATTTTCTGCATGGGTCTGAGAGAGTCGGACAATCGACGACCCCAAGCCCCAATGGCGCAAGTTATCACTGGCGCTCGACAGATAGGAAAGAGTACTCGCATCGGTGGAATGCTTGAGAGCTGGATTCAAACGAATTGAGGACGTGATACGGCTTGCCGGTCTTCCAATTTCTTCTTTTGATCTATCTTTGCTTTCATTTACTTTTCAATTGAGTTTTACGCGCTTGCGGGACATAAACCTGCTAGCATTGGTCTTATTTGAGAAAAATAAACCAGATTGAAGAACCCGTTTTTCGCCAAATAATAGCTGTATAAAGTCAGAAACACCAGTTAGAGGTAGCTTGCTTTGCTGCCAATGGAGTTTCGTTAGAAATTGGTTTTTCAACTGGGAGAAAAGTCACCGTATTCGAAGGATTCGAGAAACCAATGTTATCTCGCGGTCATCCAAGTTGAGCTTGAGTACGTAAACAACTTTCAAAGCGAGGCTGCATAATGACATTCAGGAAACTCCCGGCACGACGCGCGGGTACAGAGAGGGGTATTTCGTCATGCCAGCGCCGTAAACACGGGAATTAGACTCTCTAAGAAGACCGGTTCTGCACGGTTGCGTGTCACTTTCGCTGTTACTGGCCACCAGCATTGAAAACACCACTCAACGGTTTGTTCCTTCAAAAGTACAATACAGTCGTTTCAATAAAGTTTTCTTTGTTTTGCAGTGTGGGCTGAGTGGCAAAATGTTAGTTCTTTAAGTGTTTTTTCTTATGTAGAAATTATGATTACCTATGCCATGACAGTCGCGGCGGTGCCGCACCGCTGACTCTACAGACAACTTTCCTTCTCTATCCTTCGAGGACATCGACAACCGGTGTTGGGTAGCGTCTGTCTTCTGATTGGTTTGTTCTCCCCAAGTTTTATTTTCTTATTTTATTTCACCTTGAAGCTCACTGACTACTGTTCTTTCGCCGTCGCGTTATAAACACGTGCGCTAAACATTTCCTCTTTGACGATGCCGGAGTGCACACGCTGAGCGTATCCAGCGTGCACTGACGTTGTGAAACGCTGCTATGAGTGGATACCTCGGCGACTTGAATGAGAAGCAGGAGCAGGCTTTAAAGGAGGCAAGTGGCTTTATTTCTAAAATGACTTTCAGCCCAACACCTTCAGTGTAGTTCATCTAAACGTTTATCAGTTTTAGGTGGCGTAACTGTTGGCGAAATGTCGGTAGTCTGGACTATAAAACGCCAGTTGTCATAAAAGAAAGTAAGCCAAGGGAATCTTCGGAAGCTCGCACATTTAACGACCTCACTGTGCAGCAAGCTTGCGACTGTAAAAAAACATAAAACACAAAAAAAACGTCGTAAAAAAACCCAGTATTTGAGTTTCTATCTTGAGATTCCATTGCGTGAAATACAAACTGGAGTCTCTGGCTGTTGACGACGAAGTTGCATTACAGTTGGGGGCTCCCCGTGGAGTTTTGATTATCAGCGAATTGCCATATTCCAATAAAAATATGGCTTTGTATGGTATACAACTTGTTAATAAATCAAATGCCAAGATTATAGTATAATAACAGCCTGCCGAACCTAGACTTTTCTGTGTGTTCATGCATTAAAGTCCTTGTGACGAGGAAAATGTATGGCTTTGCAATTTTTGATGGTTCAAATTATAATACCTTCAATTTCATCTTCCATTACTGAAGCAAACAATACTCCCTGCATTGCTTATATCTATAAAGTTAGTTATATCAGCCGGTGAAAATGTGTCAACATTGGAGACTATCATGACGCTTTCATGAAGTTTCATTTGATGTATTGTCTTAAGTAATAGTGGAAAGAAGGCATAAGGAATCATTTAGCTTCTTAAAAATATTTTCTAAATTAACGTATAATTCGAGCCTACAGACTGGTAATAATATAACTTTGAGTCAGCCATTCTAACTCATAATGTGTTTGTTCAGAGGAACACCATTTATAACATTGTAGGGAGAGCTTAGGTGGAAACCAAACCTCGCCTACAAAAGTACCTCCCGCTACATTTACGTAATTCTAAACTATTTTTATTATTGTTCGTTACATACAATATAATTTTAATGATATATTTTTGTTGGAGCTTGCTAGAAAATTTTTATTTATCCGAGCTCTCCTCTGGGAGCATAAACGAAACCGGTTTTAAGAAGGCTTTTCTTAATGAGTAAAACCTTGGACGTGTCTCCGTTCAAGCAGCATTAAATGGGTACAAGGCTGGTGGGATGGTACGGCATCTAAACGGAAAATACGACGATGAATTTATAAATTCTGGGTTGGAGAACGAAGAATGACCTAGAGTATAGATAACCTTCCCTGATTGAACAGGGTCACCATGAAAAAAAATGTAGGTGAAGACCATCTGCAAAATGATGCAGATCTAGCCTCCAAGATCGGCGTTTCAAGTCAGACAATCTTCGAATAGGCAAGGTGAAATATCTCGATAAATGGGTAAGGCACGGGATATGAAGAGTCAACTAGTTTCAACTGCTAAACGAAGATGGATCTCTGGTGACTTTTTTCTCGACCGAATTTGGACGTTAGACCTAAAATAAAAATTCTGTGCTGGAAAGCTTCGGCGCAGTAGTCCTTATCGTACAGGTGTGCAAAAAGGTTAGCAACTTCAAAAGTGTCAGTGAAGGAAAGTACAATCACTCTCCGGTGGTCTACCATCTCAATTCATTTATATTTAGTACACTCTGGGAGAATTATTACTGCAGAATTGTACTGTGTGCAGCTACACAAATGCAAAGCCGTAAAACAAAAAAGAAAAAAAAAAACGAATCAAACGTGACATTGGAATTGGTGGCATTGGTCAATTGATAAATTACGATACTCCGGCTGCCCAAACCTCCGAGTCACCATGTCCCAGAAATAGAAGTGCAGAACCTGAGAATTTACGGTATTAAACGTTTTATTCACTGACAAGGTGAGAACGACAGGAAGGCTTCAGTTGTCCTGCCTCCGGCGGGAGCTTCCCAACTTCGATAGCGCTTCGGAATCTCGTGCATCTGGAGTGCATGCGCGCAGCCAAATCGCGACAGATGGCATGGAGCTTGTGCTGGAGGCGGGGTGTTAAGAAGACACACGCCCTGCCATTCTCAATTTGGCAGTGACTATAGCACACCTACGATACTTTCCCTACCTTAACCCAACTGGCTTAATTTTACCAGGACTATATTTTGAAGGAAATAACGTGCACCAACCTAGATAAGATGAAAAATAGCATAAAAGTTTTCATCAAATCTAGAGTCCAAAGTTAGATGGATAAACTTTCACCAGGTTTAAAAATACGTACAGTTCTTAATGGCGATTATTCAAAGTAGTTTTGTCGAATTACCGTAAAGGTAGAAAACGTAAACGATCAAATTCCGCCTATACATTCCGAATGACTTCATACAACATGGTTTGCTATTTTATTCCGAAATGAAAGGTTTGTCACGCACTTTCCTTCTCGTCATGTAAAACATAACGCTTTAGTAAAAACAAATAGACTTCTTAGATTAAATAATATTTTTTTTGAAAGTTCTATTGCACTAAAACGCCTTCATGTACTATAATATTTACGAACGGTCAGGTCCGCAGCTAAATATATAAAATTTTCTCAAATTGTACACTGCACACGTTATTTGCAGGAATCATATTTTCAGTCATAACCTTTAAAAACTTGGGATTTCTTTCTCATTTTTGCTACAGCTCAAGTCCCCCCTTTGCGACATCTGGAAGGATGACTTCACGGATGCATTCCTTCTTCGATGGCTCAGGGGTATGGTCTGACGCAACCTACTCAAGCTGGCACTTAAACTAATGTATTTATACATTTTTAAACTGAACCACATAAATGCGGATTTATTTTAAACATTATTTAGAGATAGTTCATTTTCATCATTAGCAATGGGGGATACGGACAAATATGTTTTTATTCATTTCAACAACACGAGCATACGAATAGAAAAAAGAACACTAACAAAACATGAGATCAAAGTCTACCTGATACAACTTTAGGTATATCATTTATGTTCAATGATGCGATATAATGTTGCAATATAAATTAATGCACTTTGAAGATGATGCAATATAAAAAAAAGTTAAGGAAACTTATGCTTTATTCTAGGACGTCGACAGTTAATTCATAAGCGGGGAATACGCTGTGGATATATCTTACGGGTTTCGAGAACTGAAACGTAAAAACAATGGCCAGCGAGGTTGAGATATCACCCAAATTTACCTTTCATGGCAGATCGGTTCGTTCATGACATTCGTTGGGAATAAATGTTTTCGTCAGTTATATATCATTTTTAAAATAGATGTAATGATAGGCAGGATCGAAGGATCATCAGCTAAGGATCAAAGATAGTTTCACTATAACGCTCTAAATATACCATTTGCTGCTTGATTCTGTTGCAATTGCCATAAAAATGAAAGAGACACGAACATATATAACATGCAGGCAAAATAGTTTTTTTTTAAAATAAAGTCACACATAGAAAATTGTATTTTTTCCCCTTCATCACCGAGAACTTTGTGCGCAGGATGTCTGATACCGACCCGCAGAACATTTGTAACTAATATCGGGAGATTTAATAAATACCTCCGGTATGTGTTCTTTCAAGCATCCGTCATTCAAGCTTAAATCAAAGTTCTATTTACGAAATAAAATCAAAAGTTGTTTTTTTGTAGCTGAGTAGACAAGCCAAAGATTAAAAACTTAAACGTATATTATTCTAAAATAGATTGTTTCCTGCATCTAATGAGTGAGTTAAATAATTTTGTTTTATATTTGTTATTTTCAAGCTAGTGATTTTTATTCTGAATGCGTGACTTTTTTTCCCTTTGAATAAATAATTACAATATTTTGGACGAGATTATATCTACTTATAAGCACAAAAACAAATATTGAGCATGTTCAATCAACATGCCAGTTTTCAAAGTTACACGCTTGATACGTTTGTAAGTTTAGTTGGAGGAGAGAGCAAGCTACTTCGTACCTGACCAATTGAACGGCGAAACATTTTACAACGATTTTATTCAGGATTTCGAACATTGAGGATGATCGAGCTTTCCTCGAGTCATTGTAATTTTATCGGCTCATTATACCATAGATATGCAGCATAATGCGGATATTCTCAATGTAATTTACTTTTAAGTGAATATTGGCAGTAAGGCCATGCGTTTTTTATAATTATTTCTTGAGCTGCACTTAAGAATTTAATGATTTACATCACGGTGACAAGGTTCCTGGATCAATGCTATTCGTGACATGTAGGAGGATGATAATCTTGATAAAAAAATGTATTTTCAAAATATACGCAAACAAAAGTATTTTGTGAGCTGTTATATTGGCACTGTCTTGAGTCGGCCCAGGAATTGTATCTTACAATTTAATTTCGTAAAATTTTGTTATCCACAGACCTCGCAACGCATTAGTTTATGATAATTATTTCTGCTAAAACAATACTCAGAAGGAAGTGCGAAGAGGATACTTGCCTATCATGCGAGCGTAGCGTGCTTAACTTTAGTATGACACGTAACATTTTGACTCCCACACTTAAAATTACAAGAAAAGGATCAAGATACGAGGAATATTTCAAGGTAGCTGTTAGATGATCATCTCACTTAAAAACACACACAAAAAACAGAAAAAGGTAGGCTCACATAAAAAAAGACACATTTGTACGTGCATTATTTTTTGGTCTCATGGCTTCTTTTTTATTGTTTGTGTCTGGATTGGAAGCAAAATCCTCTCTTTGGCTTTATTAAGCGGTGGTGGCGCATTTTGGGCATTTCACGTGCAAATTGTGGCAGGTGATTCTTGTAACAAAGCGCGTTGTATATGTGCAGTATGTTCAGCTATTACGTGACCATGCACTCGCATATAATCAACGAGTTGGTGTATACTTTGAAAAACAATGTTTCACTTTTAATACTCGCTTGGTCTTAAGCAGCCCCATATTTCCCTCGCCAAAGTATTGTGTTAATAAAAAAAGTTGTTACGTTTGCCTCAACTTACACGTTCACGCGATTCATGCATACGAAACGATAATAATTAGCACTGATGAGAGTTTATTATCAATTTCTTACCTTTATAGCAAGTTTACGGTTTTAAAGGTGGCGTACCTCAATCAACACGTTCGTTATTTTTGCGAAAATATTTAGAGCTCCGCCAAAAGGTAATGGACTGTGAGTTCATAGTTAGGTGTGAATTATGAGTTCGCAGTTTTGACGTTATGATTGCACTCCAATAGCTTGCATAGCTTTTTACCATAGCACAGAGGCTTATATTATAACACTGCGATTACTTACATCATTAGGCAAATATTATACTTTTCATTGTTTTGTACACAAAAAGTATGAGGCTGTCAAGAAATTGAAAATAAAGTCTTTGGTTTTTATAGAAAGCATTTCCGCGCTATCTTAAATAAAGTGCTCCATTATATAAACGAAGAAATTGCGCTGAATTTCGCTCTTCTATCTGTTGACCCCATATAGTGATGGTTTCTTTATCGCAGCTCGAGAGTTCGATGTCGTCAAGGCGGAAAAACTTCTCAGGGAGGTACGTAGATCATATAGCAATTATTTTGCCCCATTTGTATGGCCAAACTCCTGCTAGAGAAGTTTAATTGTTTACTTCGGCGTTTGGTGCGCTTTCGAGTCACAATTTGCAAACGTTTTTCGGCACAAAGAAATTTATGTATTATTCGTATCTTGGCTCCGTCAGCTTTGCGCCCGCAGCACTGGCGGTAGCTTTTTCTTAACACCACGGATCCCATGAACTCCAGTCGTTTCAAGTTTGACTGACTTAGTGATCACCGATGTCACCCAGCAAGTTTCTAATAAAAAAATGTTTCGTTTTATTAACGAGTTAATTATTCAAATCTTTACGAAGCTATTCATCGGATGCTTTTGTACCTCGAAAAATTAACCTCTTGTTAGTGTATATTATGACACCTATTTTTTTTCAGTGTTATGCAATGTTTTGGCAGAAAAAAATGTTGGCCGATGTTCGGTGAAACAAGAGGTGTAAAAGCGATACATTATAGGAGATGTGATATAAACACAGTATTGAAAAAAAAAGTTAACTGAACAACAAAGCAAACACATTACTAGATGACTAAATAGTCGTGAACGGCCCGACTTAAAATCAGCCGTTTGCAACCTGAATGTCGGGAACGCTTTAAACACGCAAAATAACAATAAAGCATGATATACTTTTTCTAAATACGATTCAGATTTAATTTATATTAACTACCGTAACAGCGATCGTTTTTGTCCTCATTGCAGAACTTGATTTGGCGACATGAGAACGGCATTGACACCCTGGTAACGACGTACCAATGTCCAGATGTAAGGTGTACAATTATATACCTTTTTTTAGGTTTTCAAGCGCTTCCGAGCGTAGAAAGCTCTGTAGATAGGTAGATATAAATAAAAAAAATATATGCGGTGCAACACATCGCCAATGCTGTTGTCTTAGAAATTTTGCCCTCATATATTGGTGGTATACTGAATGCAAAAAGGACCCACGCATAAAAGATAATAATTGCTGCCGTACTAGTGAGCAGTTACGGTAAAAAAAAAAACTGTTTTTTTAGACAACGGTATTTCGGATAATGAAGTCATTAATTATTGTTATAAAAACTGATTAGTAAAGTAGTTTTATGCATGTTCTAACTACAAACTTGCTGAGCGTCAAAAACAAAACAAAACAAAAAAACTTGAAATTAGTAAATTTGAGAAAAACCTGAAAAGCGTCATAAGCGGGTTGATAATAAAAAAACATTTTGCTACAGGTGCCAAGATTGGTTTAGTTCAAATTCAGATAAAAAGAAAGAAGAAACAACAACAATCACCACGATGTGTCAACGTTCTGTGTGCTTCAGAAAAAAAAAACAAAAAAAAACGACGCACGCTTTTCAAATTGTTTTAAAACTAACTGAACTAACTTTTTTGTTTTAGTCAATGAGCAGCGGGTATACAATCATCTTTGGTACGAAGGGAAGGTAGCCATGTAGATGCTAGATACGAAAACGAACGGATCTGTTTTTATGGTTTCCGTCTAAGTCTTAGGTTGAAAGGGTTTCTGGCATAATCATTGCTAAATTATCTTATTTCTAATTGTCTGCTCTAAAAACGTTTGGTTGTAAAAAAACAACAACAACAAAGAAAAATTGTGTATCCCTTCGACTTCAAGAGATAAAATTAATCCAACTCTTGTTTTAGGGTTCTAATGTTGACAGGAAAACGACGGCGTGTTTTCCCCATTCACAGGTGCTGAAGCGTTACTTCCCTGGCGGAATATTCAACCACGACAACGAAGGTCGGCCTCTCTGGATCCTGCCTACTGGCAATGCAGATTTTAAAGGTAGCATGATTTTAGCCTTTTTCATTTAGGAAATAACAATGAGAACCGCTGCAGTGTTCGGGATAACCATGTGGCTCTGGGTACACTACTGGAAAATTAAAGCAACAATAACGGATCTAGAAAAAAAAGAGCACAAATACTAACAATGAAAAATCCTAAGTTGTTTAGGGCTCTGTCGCAGCCTAGCAGCAAGACGATAAAGTGGTGTTAGCAGATTTGGGGGACGGTTAGACAGGCCGTGCTCTAGTTTGTTGTTAATATAATTGAGCAATCCGCCAAATCAGACTTCAGTATTTCAGTTTTTAATCTGGCACTTGATCGCGCCGTGTAAACGGCGCGATCAAGTGCCAGATAAAAACTGAAACACTGGGAAAACACCCTCGCGCTCAATACTTAAAAGTAAGATACTCTTAAATTATGAATCGTTAAAATACCTCTGAGGCTTCAATACTCTTGTGTCTGACGTCATCCTAACTTTCTACTTGGAATTAGAAAAAAAGTGAATTTCGAGGTTAACAGAATCGAAACACAGGTACAGTACTTTAAGAGGTACAAACGTCACTCGTCTGATGATAACTGATATTATCTTTCTAGAAACTCATGAAAATTGTTTTATCAATCATCTTTACGAACTCTAGTAGTTTCCGAATTATTTCAGATAAACAGAATAAACATTAAATTTATGTGTGGCAATAGTGGTAACAAAAATAGAAAGAGCTCATGTCAATTAATTCTCTCAAATGTTCGCGAGAATTTCTGGGAGGATTCACTAATAAACAATCAACCGTTCAAAATGAACAAGAGGTATGCTGATTTTCGAACGCAGGAATGTTGCAGTGCGTGCCCGTGGAAGTGATGGTGAGGCACGTAATATACCAGATTGAACTAAACGTGGAGGAGATGAAAAAGCAAACAGAAAAGGTAAGAAACACGAGTTCATAAAAGCGTGCCGTCAGAGGCATGCTACGTATGTGTTTTACTTGCAAAAACACAATTTTAAATTTTTGTTTAAAATTTTTTTTTAGGGCCTACAAACAACAGTAACGCCTTTTGTGTGGTGCACTCTCGGTTCGTGTTCCCAGCAACATTATTTAAAATACTAGCGTGCACAAAATTAGATACATTTTCAAGGACAGAAATACAAGTTTGCAGAGAAAAACCAACCTTACACTAACACTAAATTGAAAATAACAAAATCACGAAACATGTGTACGTCAAAATCGCATTCAATATTAAAGGCGGACTGCATACGACATAATGGCGATGATTGACAAATGCTAGTAGAATAAAATGTTCCAAAAGGGCGACTTGCTCGGGGGGGGCACGTAAAAGTCTATGTTCATAAGTAAACTTTCAGTTTTAACTGTACCATGCAGTACCTTATCAAGAAAATGAGTGCCTCAAACAGCCCTCCCCGTTGATAGCCTTTCAAGGCTAAATAAACACAGCAAGAAATTTTAGCTAAAAGACAGTTTCTGACCAATGTATCGGTCATAAATAATTAGCATAAATTTCTTCTGCACACGCGCAATCCTTTCAACTTGTGTTAAAAAATAGTGAATTCCAACTAATTGAAGCAGATTCAAGTTCTGAGCGTACAAGACTACAGAAGAGACACACTACAGCGAATAGGGAGGTGAAATAACTTGATAACCGAGTGATCATTCCCAACTTTCTTATCGCCGAATAAACGAGCTTAGAAACGTGCGAAGTAAATGATAGAGTACTATCAATATAGATGCCAAGGTCTCTTACAAGAGATGCATGATCTATCACATTTCCCTCAAGCACATAAGGCTGAAAGAAAGCGACCCGTTTTCTTGAGAAAGAAATCAATTTAGTTCTTTCTGTATTTAACGACAAAGCGTTTTTTCCTACATCACTCGGAAATTTCTCCAACATCAGTTTGCAGTAAAGTACAATCAGAATAGTCTTTAACATTCAAAAATAGTTTTATGTCGTCAGCAAAAAGAAAGACATTCCAGTGCTTGACGCATGATACTATATCGTTTACGAACGAACGAATAAACAACAACAAATAAACAACACTTCGAAAAAGCGTTGCCAACACGAACAGTTTTACAGCGTAAACTCAAGTAGCTCCTGAACTATTCGCAAAGCTTTGGGCACATGCCATAAACATGAAGTTTGCAAAGAGGTAAAGTATGATCTACCAGCTCAAAGGCATCGACATATCAAAATTTACGGCATCGATTTGTCCTCTGTTTGTGACTACTGGCACAGACAAATCTAGGAAAGGGCAAAAATTTGTTTCAACGAACTTTTCCTTTAAAGACCATGCTGAAAAAGACTAATTTTTTGACAGGTAATCCCAGATCCTGTTATGCATAACCATTTCAAAAACCTTCGCGAAACCACAAAATAACGAAATGGAACGATAGTTACTAACTAATGACGGATCACCAGCCTGGAATATGGGCACATATATGGAAGATTTCTTCAAATCAGGGAAAGTACCCTTCATGAGAGGTAGGTTAAATATGTGTTTCAAAAGGGGAGAAAGTTTATCAAAACAAGCTTTAATAATAAAATTAGGTATGCCGTTAATTCCTGTCGAGAACTTAGGTTTCCAGTTTTTATCTCCTCAAGAACTTCTCAAGAGCAAAAGTTTTACAGCGTAGTCAACAGTAAAAGCAGATAAAAAGTCTGTGTTGTTAATGTTGTCTGATGCACCGGCAGTTCTCAAACTAGAATAGCAGTAACTAAAGTAATCAGAGAAAGGATTAGCTACGTCAGTTGGCGAGGGCAAATAGCCAGTTAATTTACTTAAGCGTAAATTTTGTGCATTGTCGCGCATGTTTTTTTTTTTTTTTTACGTAGCGTCAAAACGTCCGATGTTCTCTAGTTAAGCTTTCAACGAGCGCAATAGTTCATCCTTCTATATACCTTTTCACCGGAGCGCGATAAACACTAAATTTATCGTACCAAGCGGTTAGCCCTGTTTTCTTATACTTCGAATAGAGTGAGATTTATTAAGAAATAGGCTTTTTAGCTGTCTAGAGAACCAGCTACGACACTTAGATTTATGTGCCTGCTGTTTCGGAAAAAAAAATTGCTCATTGCGGTGGACACTACCATAGTCAAGTTAGTAGTGGCTAAATCAGCATTTTGATCCAATAAAACATCTGACCAATTATGCTCAGCAAGTCTATCGTAGAAACCGTAATAATTTCCATTTCTATGACACAACGAAGATAACGGATAATTAGCACAGGGCCTACATGACCAGCAAAACAGAACTACAAAGGGAGGATGATATGCATCAGCTGACACCATAGGCATAACAGCCGGAACAATATATCCTATGGGTGCAATTAATAAGCATAAATCAAGCACAATATCAGCAGTGTGTTTTCGGAAGTTACACTGAGTAAACCCATATAAATATGAAATGGAAACTAACCATTCCGCTTTTTATAGAAGTAACAATATTCATATGCGACACCGTTCTAGTTGACCAATCAAGACCAGGAAAGTTAAATTACCCATTTATTTGTACCCTGTAATTAGACAAATCAACAGTATTACAGAGGGTCTCAAAATGGCCAATAAGCACAACGTCATCAAAAAGTAGAGGGAAATAATGTTTCCTATTACGTAGTGGAAACCATCGCTGGCAGGATTTTCTACCCAAACACACTCAGCATAGGTCTCGAAATCCGATTTTCGAAGTAACTGAACAGCACAGTCAGCATCTACCAAAACCCCACCTCGTAAGTTTTGACCCGTGTTCACATAGTCGCGATCTCTCTTGTGAACAACATAATTTGGAGGAAATTATTCAACACTGGATATTCTGTCACAGGAGCCACGTTTCAGTCAGACAAAATATGTCTATATCAGTTGAAAGAATATCCGTCATCACTTCCGCTCCTTTTTTTATTAAGCCACGAGCATTCTGATAAAAAAAATCTTAGAGCGTGGATGCATCATCGTCTAAGCTTTCTGTCTGAAATACATATAAACGAGTCATGTCAAGTTTGCCGTAAAACTTATGAAAAAGAGTACCCTCACTCCACATCTCAGGGAGCTTTAAACTCTCAAACAAAGAGTAGTCAAATTCGAGTTAAGAAGACGCATAAGAGTTGAATTTCAGTTGTAGCTGCGTGACGGTTAGATACCTGCCGCGAAGATGGGGCAGAACAAAATCCCTTACGTCATCCGCTGTCGTTCTCGGATGTAGTCTCGAGAGAAACAAGACCTCAGTTTAACGAGGAGCAGACGTCACCTTGAGTGTCTTGGCCGTTCCAAGCTTCGGTGGATTTCGCTTCTTTCTCGCTATCATAGTGAAACCGTCCTCCTCCGGCATATCAGGCGTTTCATGCCAGAAAGCAGGTGCAGCCTTAGACACAAAAACACCGTGGCTGTCACTTCCCTTGATAGAAGCAGGTTTCAGGCCGGAGATTACACTTGCTGTTGGTGGGTTGTGAACAACCGATGGAAGTTTCGAGGATGCCAGTGCCGCTGAGTATAAGCCGAGAGGAGCCGACACAGAAGGAAGACGATCGAACACCCACCTGTTCAGCAACGCCAACTCGGATCGCAATCGTCGATATTCAACCCTTAGGCATTTTACCTATCAACTTTACCTTACTCGTAATTAACTTCAAATATTCAAACCTTGGGCACCTTACCCGTGAACAAGAAGCCTGCTTGCTGCTTGTTCACGACGCATCACTCTGAAGGTGTTGATTGGCGCGTGTTTTGCCTCTTACTCTTAACATTGCTGTCGGATGTCGCCGAATACCAAACGTTGAAGCTGTAGGCACTGTTGTGTACCGGACTGTCACAACCCCGGAAGCTTAGCAGGCGTGAAGCTTGGAAGGTTCTCGTCAAGGCCGTGGAAAATACAACGCCGTCAGAGATGAATAAATGCCGTGAAACGTGTAAAATAATCATTGCGGTCACATTGCCTGACTTGAGGTGGATTTTTAAATATGATCTTTGACTCGATATTTATAATTAATATGCTTAAAGCCGGGCGTCGTCTTTGGATCCGATGTGATGACTCGCTCGAGCCAGATCTGTCCTTTGACGCTCTCACTGCTCTCTCCTCCACGGACACATCTTGCTCAAGCGACGTTTTTTTGATCGTTTAATCCTAATTAACAAAAACCAAAGTGAGCGACTTCTCCGCTTCGCTGGTTTGATAGAAGACTGTCGTTTGCGCTTTTAGCGTGATCGCGTAGCTGCCCGAGATGGTTGCTCTATTTCAACCTGTGTCTCTGCGGTTTTAACTTCGTCTTCGCTGCGAGAAAAGTACATTAAAAAAAATGCACGTACTCCACGAGAAAAGGTTATCCATGCGGCGTTTATGTTCTGTGAAAGAGAGAACAGCAGATTCAATCGCCGATAACACGCATGAGCTTGCGACGAGCAGCTGCGTATGACACAATTCAAACGATCTTGCACGAAAAACACAATCTTCGGATATCACAGTCGTCTTCAACACGATGACGAGGGGAAGGGAAACAAGTTGATCCCCGTCCCTGAAATGAGGTCAGCTATATATGTGGGGGGAGTTCACTTGAGAAAAAAGGGTAGGTGAGGGTGAGGGCGCTTTTAGTACTGCTTTTATGGAGGCGGGAAGCTGGACGAAGTTTTCGCTTTTGTATTTTCTAGCGCACGAAAACAACATAAAAAGCTGCCTTGTCTGCTTGCTTCACTTAAATTTGGTTGTAATATCAAGACGTTCAATCTTCTTTTGCTAGCTCCCGTTTTAGGTTGTCTCAACCTATCGGTAGAAGGCACGTACTAAAACACCCAAAGGTAGAACCACACTAACACACAACCACGCACACATTAATATATTTAACGTTTGATACATTTTAACAAAACTCGGCAGTGTAGTGCGCGACAAAGGAATGCTCGGAGTTGGTAATAACGCAATCTCGCATGGGTACGCCGGCGGCACTGCCGTTTTAGCTGTCCCAGTGTGGCACGGATGGTCAACCGACGGTCACGCTCTGGATCCCTGCCTAGCACCGATAAGCAGGGGTAGTAATTTTTGGTTGAATTCTCACTCACAACTGCCTCAAAATTTAAGAAAAGTTAGAAACTCACTCACTCTCAGCCTCGCGGCCGCACTCTCCTTCAAGCTTTCACTGACGAACTTATAAACTTATGAACTCACCCAACTCACGAACTCAGGCCCCTAACCGAACTCATGAGCACACCAAACTTACCGAACTCACGCCCCTCACCGAACTCGTGAACTCCAGCGAACTCATGATTAACCAAACTCACGGAACTCACGCCCCTCACCGAACTCATGAACTCACCAAACTCATGAACTCAATAAACTCTTGAACTCACGCCCCTCACCATATTCATGAACTCACCAAACCCATGAACCCACTGAACTCACAAACTCACGCTCCTCATCGAACTCATGCACTCACACACTCACCGACCTCACTCAGTAAGAAGTAGTTATCGCACTCACCGTAGTCGCGGCGCTGGCCGTCCTCCACCGCTCAGGGCTAGCTCTCACGTCGCCGAGAGAACAAATCTTTTGTCTTTCAGTTTGTTTCGCTTCGACTCCTTCGGCGGACCGGCCGAACGCTCCCGGAAGGCGCGCTTCGTTGGGATACATGGGCGCATCATGGCGAGCCATGTAAAGAAGTATTCTTTTATGTGCCCACTGTTTATCTCAAGCAATCTCTACAACTACGTGCAAGTCTGAATTGACCGTCTCACTCGCTGTTTATTCAGGCGTGAATTATTATTATTATTATTAATATTATAATTCCAATTCGCACTACCGTGGTGTGTATTTTGTTTATGCGTAGAATATTGCGAACTTCTCTTTTATGGTAAGACGGTTTTCTCGGGAATTCGTTGTTGAGTAGAACTATTTCGGAACGGTCTGTCCTTATATTTATCGTCGTTCAGAGAAATTATTTCACCTGAAATAACTGCCTGGTGAATATTTTTTTCTGGAAGAAGTGATCAAAGACCTTTGTGCGTACCATATTATTCTATATTTTTATTGCGTTTCTCGCTTTTTGTGTTACGCTACATATGCCAATTAAAACTGAAACGTTTTAATCTAGCTACTTTGTGACTCGCAAAATGTAATACTTTATGGATCTTGACATAAAATCGTGATCGTTGTCAAATCCCTTTGGTATGCTGGTTGCCCAGACAATGTGTTTGTGTTCAAACTTGTCAATATTTTTAATACAAATATTTACAAACTACATGTAGTAGGTTTTCTATTATAATCACTTATTAGTCTTTGATGGATGGAAAGTTTTAATGTCGTCACTAATTCGAATCAATACACTCGTTTAAGATCAAGTCATTTTAACTTCGACAGTCAAATTGCTTCACTTTTAACTATTGATAGCCTAATTCGGTTATTCACGCTATATTTGAGGAGAAGAGGGGCGCGGTACGGAACTTAAATAAACTATCCAGAAGTCTTCAAGATTTTATTTTCTATATAAATAAAGAATGGGGCACTCAATTTCTTCGCGCAGAGAAGGCTGCTTCAGTGCATGCAAGTGCATGCACGCACTTAAAATATATTTAATGACTTAGTTTTGGATCTTACCCTTTGTCCCGTTATTTACTCGTGTGATTATAAATCATGTTGCTAAAAAGTCAAATAGCCCTACTCCTAAGAGGCAGTGACGTGCATTGGTTGATAAATAGTATTATATAGGAATCATAACTAATATCTGAATACTAAAGGAGCTAGTGAGAAGACCCTTCTCCGGCACGCGAAACGTTTTCGGGGGCAGCCAGTATTCCGACCATGTTCAATGGGCCCCTTTTGAGCGACTAATGTGGAGTGGGATAGCAGGCTAGAACGTCGATTTGTTATCGCCAATATTAAGTGAAAGTGAACATTTTTCTGAATCTCTTTGAATGTATTTAGAAACTTGTCGTCTGCAATGTTTTTATAACAATACACAATCGAATAAACTTTTATATCCTAGGAAATAAATGTAGCAGCCTTTAAAACCAATGGCGAACAAGGCGGGCGTTTCCGGTGTACTCGAGCACAAAGACGTGGATACGTACTCTTTTTATAGAACTCCTGGCTCCGACTTGAACAAATAAGTATACCAGTGAATCGTGACAGCTCCCATCCGGCATCATTTTAATATTGGATTCAGAATTAGCGACCGTGTATGAAACGAGTGCACTCGAAATCGCAACACCTGCTTTCATGCGTACCGGCGTAGCGCCCGTTTGCCTCTTTCATGAAAGAACACAACGCCGCGCGTATAACGGTGCCTCGCAGTGTACACGAGAACGGCCGAGGCGAGCAGGAGAGGCCTGTCCCCTCTCGCCACCCCGTCACGAGACAGTCACCAGTGGCAAAATACCACGTGAAGCCGTGGGAAGCGAGCCGGAGGCAAAGAGCACAGACAAATCAATAGGCAATTCTGATTTTCCCATCACTCGTAGAGGACCAGACGAACGAGCTAACAGCGCCATTGCGAAGCAGACTTGTACCGTACGCATTACAAGTTATCAAATTACTTATAATCGATTACTTTCGTGAGTAATTTTGTAATCAGTTGATTACTTTCACTAGGCAGTAATCACAAGAGTAATCTGATTACTTTTTGAAGTAATCAAAATTACTTCTAACCGTTACTATTTTTCCACGGGATCCTCCCCCTCCCCTCCGCCGCACACACCTTTTTCTTCTGAAATGACAAAAAGAAAATTTGCTTTTTCCGGACAGAAAAAAAAGAAAAGATTTTTGCGAATCTGTAGGAAATGAGGTCAATCTTTTTGTATGTATAGTTTCTTTAGAATGTCCGTTTTTTTTTTCGAGCTGGGACTGGGATTGGGAAGCCTCAGGGAAGCCCCAGGGCATGACAAAGACCCTTCAGGGCGAGGTTTGAGGGAGCAGAATGTAACTTTGTAAGTCCTTTGTTCAAACTAGCCCCCTCAAGTACGCACACACAAATAAAAAAAAGGCAATTCTGCTTACGGTAGCTACTCGCAGCCCATAGGAGAACCAGAACCGAAGAATGCTTAAAGCGGATGCAAAATATAACAAAGCCAGTTCAAATACACGTCAAGATCCCGTATTTACCCTACGTGGTTTTTGTAACAAGCAAGCTTTCGAGGTTGGAAGCAGTTCATTACTATGAGCACTAAAGATGTCAGTTTTCACACAATAAAGTAATCGGAAAAGTTACGGTTACTTCTTAAAGTAATGTCGAATTACTTTTGCTGCCGAGTAATCAAGTAATATAATCGAATACTTTTTAGCCAAGAGTAATAGTAATTGTAATCGATTATTTTTTTAGTAACGTCTACAAGACTGTTGCGAAGCGAGTGTTGATTCAACTTCCCCGGAAATATACGGAAAAGTCACATGACCCGCCCTTCCTCGACGTCACCCCGAAAACCCTCATCAAACCCATGGCCCCTCAGGTACCTTATGCCTCGCCAAACTGATAAATTCATCGACCTCACGAACGCACGCCCCTCACCAAACTCATAAACTCATGCCCATCACCAAACTCACGAACTTATAGAACTCACAAACTGACCTCCCTCACCGAACTCATACACTCACCTAGCTCATAAACTCACGCCCCTCAGCGAATCCATGAACTCGCCAAACTCACCAACTCACGCCCTTAACCGAACTCATGAGCTCACCGAACTCGTGAACTCATTGAACTAATGAACTCACTGAACTCATAAACTCACTTAACTCATGAACTCACCAAACTAATGGACTCACTGAACTCACGCTCCTCACTCAACCTCAAACTGATGAGTTTTCGAGGCTTATGAGCTCACTCACAGTCACCTGAGGCCTGGTCGGTGAAGGTGAGTGAGGTGAGTGAGTACAGTCATGAGTGAGTTTTGTCGAGGTATGCTAATAAGGCAGTGCTCATTTCGAGAAGCAAAAAAAAAATACAGCAAACCAACCCCGGCACATTCTTCATCATATCTTTAAAATGATTTATCACCATAATTCCGTACTTTGCAAGCCGCTTTAGAAAATGCTTCTCCCACGTCTCTAGACCGCACCTTCCTTTCCAGCTTATGTTCATGGCCTATACTTGTGGTTTGTCTGTTGACGCCTATCATCATTCTATTTTTATTCAATTGCGCTAATATCGCTTTCTGTGCTACAAACATATCTTGAAGCGTACTGTTAGTATTAGAGTAATGATTGACGGTACCTAGGAACTCGCGAAACTGACACAAGTTCTTGCAAGCACTTCATTTGAGACTTCTTTACTGATATTTATTTATTTATTTATTTCAATACCCGCAGGGCCCGAGGGCATTACAGAGGGGAGGAGCAGGTACAAAACATAATACAACAATTAGAAGAACTACAAAAACTTAAGAAGACAAAAAGCAGTCAGGGGGCTTGCTGACAAAAATGGCTAATATACTCTTACGCCCTGATATACCGTTAAAACTAATATAATTAACCCTTGCAGGAATGTTGGTGACAAAACTGAAACCCGAGAAGATGCTACGCATCTAACAGGCCCTCGTTGCTTTTTGCAGGGCTGTGACTGTGCATGCGAGGTAGTTTTACCAATGGCGGAATGATCACTATCGAGGCGGAACATGTATTGGGTTTTTAACCTGTCGCCGACTGTATGTCCAATGAATCGGTGTTTTTCTTTTCAGGAAGGAATGCTCTATAATAAAAATTCCCGAAAATATGACCCAAGACGCATTAATTGAAACGAGAATTATCATGTTAAACATAACGTTGAATTTGATATTGCATAAATAACATCCTAACCTTAACCTCATTATTATGTTTCTAGTTAGGAAAACCCGTGGATACCTTCACCGTTGTTTCCGACTACGAGAATTTCAGTCTCAAGCAGGTCTATTGCTTTCAAGGTAGGGCAAATATATATATATATATATATATATATATATATATATATATTTTACAGTATGATGTCTTCTATACATTCACTCTAACCGTATCTGTGCAGTGATCGAGTTGATGCGACATCTTGTGGTTGTCTACGAGAACTACTACCCTGAATTACTCGAGCGATGTCTATTCATCAACGGTAAATAGCTTGCCAGTACGTGAGCACTGGTGTTTTGATTTGTCAAGTTTGATTTTTGCGTTTTCTGCATGACCTCTGGGATACGGTAAGAGACAACCTTTGAATCCTTGAGAACATCGATAATCTAGCTTTTTCATTTCGGTAATCAGCAGGACGAGAATGAATACAAAAAAAAATCAATAAAGTCAATCGTGAGAGTAGCTTCAATATAACTTAGAGAGTAGATATGTACAAAAAATGGATCTGGGAACAAACTTTTCTCCGTCGCCGATTGGTGACTATGTAGTATGTATCCCAAGATCGGAAGCAAATTGTTTTTAGTCCAGGAGAAGTTGGTCAACGTTCTGTGACGGGGCCGTTTCTCATATCCACAGCGAATTATTTTGAATGCGGACTGGATGGAAAACATTTAGAGAGATGGATGCTAAACAGCCCTCCCCCTGTGCCTTTCGATCTGAACAGGAATCGTACTGGCGTGCAGTCATACAATATAGCATTGGCCAATGCATGTTAAAGACCCCAGGATATACGTCGTACTGAATTTAATTAATTTCTCATCGTCAAAAAAGAAATCGTTTACTATGTTAGACTGACCTCATGCTGACTAAGCAGCTAACGTTTTAATCTTTTTTATGTTGCTGCTGAGGTCATGAAAGTACGATTCTGGCGTTCCCTTTAGGGCATTTCCACAGCGAGAACCCCGTCTCGTACACTATGAAAACTAGGAAATCATAATGTATAAAACTTTTCGCAGCGTCACACGTTAAGCTTGTTTCACATGCAGCGACTGCGAAAAAAAGCGGTGCGAGAGCCGACGCACAGTGTGCGATCGCAACGTTCTCCAACAACCGCGCGATTTCTGTCGGCGCAGCTAACGGTGGGCGCAGCCGGCTCTTCTGCCCAAGGTTAGTTGCAGTGGCCACGGACGCGACGCGTTTGACTTTGCCTAAAATACAACAAAAACGTCTTAATAAACACAAATGTTTTACGAATATGTGTCCTAGTTACGAATATGTAACTAGGAGTTTCTAATAATTAAGCACTAAACCAAAAGCTTTTATGTGTCTAAATTTATTTTCGAATACGCAGCTATCGCGGATAAAAGCTGGCTTACGACCGGTTGGTTGATGAGAAAGCGATTGCACCGACTCTGCGATAAAATACCAAGTTGGTGGAAACTAGTTGCAGAGCCGGTGCGATAGTGCGACTGTGATTTTAATTGCACCTTTACTGGAAATCGCACCGATTTCAGACGAGAATCGCAGCACGTGAAACAGCCTTTAGTGTTACTAAAGTTAGCATCAGAGTGCGTACAGCATTAGTACGTCTAACTTTCCGCACACACAACCAAATTGTTCAATAACATGTACTATGTGCAAGTTCACACTGAATCTGCACTGCAATTTTTCAACAGCTCCTAGCTTCTTTCCCGTGTTCTGGAGGCTTATCCGGCCCTTTTTCACGGAGAGAACAACAAAGAAGATAGAGATTTTTACACGTGGTAAGCACTTGTTCCTGTCGCGTAATCAGAAATAGCCATTACACGGACGTCAGTGCAGCAAGCCTTTCAAGCTCATATTCAAGCAGAATTACCATAAGACCCGATTTTATATCAGCCGAAAAATTCAAAAAGTGAAAGGTTGAAACACAACCAAGAATTCAGTATGGTCTTTGAGACGTAGACAATATTGTGAGCAGCGGCAGTGTCTTTATATACGAGAAATTTAATATTCCTTTAACCGATGTTATAGGTTAAAAAACGTTGTAAAAACACACATGGCAAGACAGCACTGAAGCTACTGCCAGACACCGTCGAGACTGATCTTGGAGGGGTGCCTCTGATGAATACTGCAGAAAATCAGTTTTCCAATCGCGACCTACTGGCGCTACACGTAAAAAAATGCAAGTGTACTTTTCTGCAGAACACAAGGGCAGCCAATCTCTGTAAATAAAATAAGGATCCTAGCCAACCACGAATATCAAAATACAATCAGACGTAAGAAATGCATAGTACTCAGGGACAGTGAGCCAGTGCACCTTCGTGCTAATTTTCTTTACGGATACAACATTTTTTGTTCTAATCGCGTTCTGAGCTTCGTCATAAGCTAAGTTTATTTTACTTATTTTCGTGAATGGATGTCTTCGTGTTCTGCAGGAATGCGAACCCACAGACGTTTTTGGAGTCTATATGGTCATCCGATATTCAGCCGGCCAGCAGAGCTCATAACGTTACCCTACCTTTTATAATTATATTGCTTATGCGTTTGGAATGCGGCTGTTGCCCGCCGACTTTCCAATCCTGGCTTAGTCTGCAACTGCATGAACAATTGGCTCTGATCAGAAATACATTGCAATCTTTTATATGGTAGTTTTTTCCCCGTAGTCTGCAAAGCTTTGATTCTGACATTTCGCGAATCGTTGCAGAAGGCTGGCAGCCCGTACTCCTCAAGTACGTGAATCCTTCGCAGCTACCGGTGCACTGGGGAGGACACCTTATGGGACCAAACGGAGATAAGAAGTGCAGCGATGTGGTATGTCAAGACGATTTGGTGGCCATAGTGTTACATGCTCTTTCTAAGGCCTAGTTGAAACGGTGGTATTAGCATGTGTCGGCAACATGGGCTGCTTAAAGTTATAGTAAAGTGGTAATTAGAGCTAGTTGGTACATCGCTAATATTACACAGCGCACAAAACGTCGGCGGAAGAGAAAAGCACAGTAGAACGAAAGAGCGCTGACTCCCAACTGATTTATTTAGACAGAAGAGAAAAGGAGACAGAAGAGAAAAGGAGAACACGTGGGGTTCAATTTTCGTGGCTTCTTTTTCCTCCTTTTCTCTTCTGTCTAAATAAATCAGTAGGGAGTCAGCACTCTTTCGTTCTACTTTCCTTTTCTCTTCCGGAGACGTTTTGTGCGCTGCGTAATATTAGTGCCTAAAGTTAATTCAAATTTAATATCGAGTCGCAAGTTTCGCCTGTGCCATATAGGTGCGCAGTTAAAGAAGTAGTGCAAGTTTGTTTAATGTAAAGAGGAAGTATAGTCGCGATTGGAAAACCGATTTTCTGCAGCATTCATCAACTCCTTATGTGTGCGCGTGTGCATGTGCCTGGATATGCACCACAAGAAAATAAAATATCAGGGTACTGTAATATGCGGGAGGCATAAAACAATTGGTGAATGCTGTAGCGCTTTCCTTGTTAAGGACGGAAGAGCTGGTGTGACCCACTCCGGGTTTAGGTGAAAACGCTTTGTTTATTCTCTCGTGCCGTTGACCTCGTATCAGCGAGTAACATCGTCATCTTCTATTGGTGGCGGCAGGTTGACGGACCGTCGCAAATGCTATTGACCACTGCAGAGGTGAAGGTTCGATTTTGAATTGAGAATACATTAATTATTTACTTCAATCAAACCTTTAACATTACAAGATCGTCATAGCTTCATTCTGCCTTAAAAATAAGCGGTAACTAACCTGGGGAAAAATAAGTGCAATCACATTTTGATTAGATCTATTAGGATAAAAACTTAAAGTGTAAGGGGTGTTTTTATGTCGGACAAAATACGCGCAAGAACAACGAAGGTACTACCACAAAGGCAAGACAATGTTCATTGCGGGAGCAGGATGTTTGGAACCGCGAGCCATACTGGGATCACCCAATACCTTTGGGTCTCGCGTTGGCAGCACTAACGTCTCGCGGATTGTGGAGTTCTCCGCGCTATTTTTACCCAGCATGACCGGTTCCAAAGTGTCTGTAGTCGCCACCGAATAGCACAGGAGCGGAACATTGTTTTTAACATCTAATAAACAAAACTTTCAAAATTCGAGTTTTTAGAGCCAAGGCAAACCACATAAGAGCTAAATATTTCAGTTAAGTAATTCATAAAAATATATAATTATATTTGTTTGTGACGTGAACCTCGTAAATAAGAGCATTCTGAAGACAATGTTGCCTTACTTGAGCTGCTTTTTTTAATCATGTGCAGTTCAGTACAACACCCTGCACATTAGAAAATAATATGAATATATTTTGAAATATTTACACATAAGCAATGCAATTTGTCAAGCACTTTTTCTATTGCTTTCATCTCAGAATGCAGCAAAACCCCTTTCCTTAGACATGCAAGTGTGAGTTTGTGAAATATGGAAAAACGTAAATTTATAAATTATTGATCATATTGTCACGCATTTAAAATGTAAATAATTAAGGTCCACCGATACATAGAAACATGTATATTTAAATAATGCGCAGTAATTTAATATATGTTACAACTAGTGTCGTGTATATTTCTAAAAACATCTGGGTGGTATTAAAAGGACAGGAGCATAATATAATAAAATCCCAAATAAAAATATTTTTGTACAGATTACACCCGGAGGCGAGGTGCCCATTCAGCTCTACCTGAAGAACTGTCCGAAAGTATCGGCGGATCCTGACGCCATCTTCTGTTGTTTGGCACGGGGACAAAAACTCGAGATTCCAGTGAACGTGGAAGGTGCCGGCTCCACTTTGAGTTGGAAGTTTCAGGTGGCCCAGGGTCACGACGTGGGCTTCGGTGTGGTGCACAAGCCCAAGGGAATCGCAAAGACCAAGGAGGTTCTGCAGGTCTCCAGGGCAAAATGCGACCAGGTTCCGCAATCCGGACAGCTCATCTCGGAGCCCGGAACATGTGAGACATCTATTCCTTTTTTGATGAATCAGCAAAGTCTGTCCTCGAGCTTTTTAAACTTCTAATTTATAAGTCATTCGCAATTTAATGATTTTATTGCGATAGAAAATGTTACATTAGTAGTGCCCCATCCAAAATAAATCACCGCTATTTATATATGCTGGAACCATTACCCGAAGACTAGCATCTAGATCCCGACTCCCGCCAAACACCCTGAAACTGACAATTTAATGCAAGCATGCGTGGAATCTTTGTTAACTCCTCTGACAACCTAATCTTGAAATAGCGCAACGCCACCCCACGAGAAGTTACTGCTCTAAAATCCCTTCAAAAAAGCACTGACCTCGTAATCAAGCGAGCCGACAAGGGAGGTGCCGTGGTGGCCTGGCGCAGGCATCTCTATTCCGAGGACGCTCTCGGACAGCTCTCCGTTTCTGATTTTGCGAACTCCTTACCTCCAACCGCCGCCTTCCAGGATAAAATTTCACCCACCGTAAAGCTCCTAATCAAAACCAACTTCCTTCCCTCCGCTGCATATCGCCTAATCGTTCGTAATTTCCTCGCAGCCTTATTCTATCTCCTTTCCAAAGTTTACAAAGCTGGATCCCCTGGCTGAACTATTGTGCCCTGCGATATATTGCCCCTCTTACATCATCTCCGCCTTTGTCGATTCTGTACTTCAACCCATTGTACAAAACCTGCAGAATTACGTTGAAGACACTACAGACATCTGCCAACAAAAAGCTTGGGCGTAAACGAGCTGGTTAAGGTTTAACATAATTTAAGACAAACCCCCGAGACTGGGAAAAATGCGAAGGACAGCGGAGCACGCATAGACTTTGTGTGTTTTGTTGTTCTTGGTCTTTTACCCTGTCACGGGGGTTTGTTTGAAATTATGATAATACTCCATTCCAACGCCTGTCTTATCTGACCTCGACCCCCGACACTAGCCTCTTTCAAATAAAGATCAACAATCTCTACACAGCAATTCCTCACTCCGAAAAACTACACGCTCTTTCACATTTTATTGACTACCGCCCTTCCCAAAACCCCCGTCTCATGCCATAATCCATTGAGAGCCACAGCTAGCTTCACTACTCCTCGAACCATCCTAGATCCCAAATCAGCTTTATTTCCTTATCACAATTCTTCCGCCTCCATAGTATATATAATTGCAGTGACGGCATTAATTTTCGTCATCAGCTTAAGACGATGACCACCTTCTTTGTTGAACGCAGTTACCCACTCGGCCTTCTGCGCAATGCGAGCAGTCCCGTCTCTAACATTTCTAGGCACGATGCACTATTTTCCCAACCAAGATCTAAACCACCGCGCAACCCCCTCATCTTAACGTTTAATCCCTTCATACCCAGGCTCGACGGAATAATCATCGATGCCACTTCCCATCTCGTAGACCCTAAAGTTATTTCTAAACCACCTGCCCTAACGTCTCGTCGACAACCCAACTTACACTCCCTACTAGTGCGCAGCATCTGGTTCAAAAAACCTCCAACTTTGCACCCCAGTACCACGCCGTGCGTCGCCCCGAAATGCCTTACTTGCAAACACTCCGGCCCTCCTCCCTGCTTGCTAATAGAATCCCAGACAATCGCACGTGTAGATCTTCTAATCTGGTATACATAATTTTCTGCACACTCTGTCCGACCTTTTTATATCGGTGAAACTGACCGGACGACTCCACGAACGCTCCCGAGAACACCGCAGGCTTGTCACACAAGAAGGAGCAAGCCAACTTAAACATGACCTCTCCACACACGTATCTAAACACTTCTCTTCCAGAAATCATTCCGAACTCAACATGAAAGTATGTGCAATCAAATCAGGCTACCACATACCTACCTCACGCAAAAGGGAGGACATCAGAGTACTTTTTAACCTAAAGACGGAATTTCCTTCCGGTCTAAACAAGAAACTTACTTTCGGATACTAGACATTCCCATTTCGCCTCCTCCTCTCCCTCTCTGGCTGCCTCCCTTTTTTTTGGTCAACGCGGACTTTTGGGTTGTCACGCGGGGTGCCTTAACTTTCCCCACACCCGTGTTCCTCCCATTATTGACTTACAGACCTCTTTCATCTTAATTGATAACTTACCCTCCCCTGTCTCTGACTTCATAATGTCACATCTGTCACGTGTTTCCTCCGTCTTTTGTATATACATTGTGTATATATATATCTTGATCAGTCATCTCTCCTCTTAGAATACCTGATGAAGACCGTTTGGTCGAAACGTCGTTCCCCTCCTTTCCACTTGCACTTCTCTTTCCCTTCATATCCCCACAGCAAAGATGAAGCAGACTTCTGCATTTATATTTTATACATCCATATACGTGAAGTTAGTAAGATAGCGCCATTGTTTGAATTTGGGGGTCTTTTCGTAAAAAATCAAGGAAGGGCATTTGGCACCTTCCAGCGGGAGACAGAATATTTATTTTGGGTCGCCTAAGGTGCATTTGACGTGCAACCGAAATATTGGTTCCACGGCGCATTTTGCTTAATCTACCTCTGTCACAGTGCGTGCACCTCGGCCGAGATTTGAACCTGCGACCTGAGAATCAGTAGGCTGGTGCTTTGCCTCGGAGCCATTTACGGGGCTAGATGACTGTGAAACTTCGTTCTGTTACTGTAAAAGTGCTGGTTTCTTGACTGGAGTATGCCACCTCAAACTACCCGGGAATTTGAGGTGCCGCATTTACGTCGGCGTCGTACTACCCAGATAATGAAAAAGCGCCCGGAACGTGCATGGTACTCTCCCATGCATCATTATGGCAGTAGGAAGCGGAGGGGGGGGGGGGGGAGAGAGAGAGGGGGGGGGGCCTTTTTAGGTTGTCAGTTTCAAACTCATTCAGAAAAGATGAAACACCCGATCGTTAAATAAGCGCTTAAACTTTGTTTAGCCTCTAATAATGACTGCCTTCAAACCAAGGATTGCAAAACGTCCCATTTAACCTTGAATAAAAAGTTGATGAACAATTTTTTGTAAACAGCCAAATACTATGACTGCTGTCACCCCATCTGCCCGCCGAGTCCCATAGACGCACAGTCAGGACGGCATTAGGATAACTGTCACCCTCTTTACAAAAACAAATATGTACATAACAAATGCATATGATTAATGAAGCTCGTGCTGTTGAAATAATAGTCGCGGTCGTACTCCGATCGCATTAATTCTAATTGGGTCTAAATAAACCGTTTGATCAAATGTCTATAGCTCCTTGTTAGCATAAGTGTCGTTAGTTCTATTTTATTTTACTTTCAGATATATTTACATTCGACAACAGCTACAGCTGGTTCACCAAGAAGCAGCTATTCTACGTCTTAGAAGTCAAGAACTCCGAAGGAATCTTGGGCTCCACCCTCCGATGATTCTGTTGCGGCCAGTTTAGATTGACAATAAACGTATATAAAACTGGCACCAAATCTCAGGTACAAGTGTTACAACACTTAAGCAAGAAAGAAACCGCACCACTTAACTTGCGTCCATGACTTTGTTTTGGTAAATCAAAGGCTGTGAATTAGGCCACTTTGTTCAAAACCACATCCTTTTTTCGCAATGTAAAGCTCAAGAAACGGTTAATTTCGCAATCTATACCCTGCCATTAGAGAGCTAGATATTCTTTTACTCAACACAGTGGCTTAGCATAAAAACAAGTTTGAGCAAGAAGGCAATGCAATCCATTTCTTCGTATGATCCTACTTGGAGTTGGTTGATAAAATAAAATTGATCAGTATGGTGTTAGTCCAGGGCCCAGTCGAAGCGATAGCTGCGACGAGTCAAGGCGGAGTCGTCAGGCACTGGCGTTTTGTTCACGCAACGTGGGGTGCGCGAACAAAAGCGTTAAGAACAAAATAAACATATGACCATTTTGTTCCCAACGCTTTTGTTTCTTTTTGTTTCGGGAGCGCGTGAAAGCGCGCCTCCTAACGGGAACGTTAGGCATTGACAATGCAGAACGGCATCTTGTTATCGTTTTTTTTTTGGAAACGCGTGTAGTAGGCATACGGTACTCCCAACCCCGAAGTATAGAGCGGCTTGATAACATCGTGGCATAGCTTGGTGGTGTTGTGTCCCGGGCTACGGGGACACTGCGAAGTGAGCAGCCAGTCTGGTCCGAGCGTTCTGATATACTGTTCTTTTATTAGATCGAGCCAATAGAAGCAAAGAAAGATGAAGAAGAGAAGCATGATGATAGCATCGAAATATTTACAACAATGCGAAGAAGATGAAGTGGAAATCGAAACTATGTGAACACAACATTCTCCCCCCTCCCATTGAATTTGGAAAATAAGAATGAAACATTGAACATAGTTAATAGAGAGAACCAAGAAGAGAAGAACATTTCAAGGAAATTACAAATTAAACCGGATCACTATACAGTACCAAAGGCATGTGAACAACAACAATTACACATATATACAACTGGCAATTTTTTTCGATGTACAATGCTAAGTTCGTTACGTTGAAACCAAGAACAATTTCGAAGGCATCGCTCAAGGTAACACGACCCATTTTCAGACTTATTTACAGCACATTCATTCCAATTCTACACGTTTAGTTATTTCTGACCAGGACTATAGACGTTAACACATACTACTACATGTACTCATTTTTAACCACTCACACATACAGGTTTCATGAGATAAACTATGACAGTTCGTTCCGTTTTATATAAATTCTACTGAATCGCTCTCGTGGTCGCCGGCTGCGCTGAGACCGTCCCGTAGCCCGGGACACTTTACAACAATGCGAAGAAGATGAAGTGGAAATCAAAACTAGGTGAACACAACAGGTGGTAATGCCTCCACTTCGCACGCAGCGGATGCATTACTATACTTCGATTCGCACGGTCGGCGGGCGATTTTTTTTCAAGGATTTGGCATCATCGACGGCGGACGTCCTACATCGCTAGCTACAACATCAACAACGACAAGTGCCCTATTAATAACTACTACAACTGCAACATCAATAAGGGACGTCATTTCATTGGTGGGAAGGGTCCCTAACAGCTGCCGCTGCAAAACGGAGGAAATACGAAATATGAAAGAACGTGACGTGTCTGCCATCGGACAAACCAACCATGGGTCGAGGAGAGCACGGCCGCGCGCTTTGAATGCCGGAAGTCGTCCCTATTTTCTGCCCAAAAATATGGCATCGGTGTTGATCGTCGACGTGGTCGGCGTGGTGGAAGCTCATCGTTCCGCGTGGAGCGCTATCCTTGACTGTGAATACACGTCGTGGGTGGCGATGATGAACCAACACGTCATAGAAGACCATCTACTCGTTCGGCGTTGCCGTGGCAGTACCCTCAAGATAGGAAAAACCCTTGTGCCGTCGTGTTTGTGAACCTCAACTCCAGTTGTCCTTCCTTAGCATTTGTGCCCTCGAACATCGCCCGGATTTCTTATTTTGCGTACTCCATTCGTGTGGTCATGTAGGATGTTACTGGTGCGTACTTGTTTTAAAGATGTCTTTGAAAGATGCAATTGTTCACGAGTTTTTATTATCTGAGAAGAGTGATTAGTGGTAGCATTTCTGAATGCTTGAAATTATTATTTGGTTTTGCAATCATATCTACACGTCGCTATATCGATGCTACAATAGCAGCGTTTTCCGTAATCGTTAAAACGCGTGTGGCGAGATTTGCAGTGTCGGTAAAGTTATGTATCCGTCGCGCCAGCTGTGCGCCGTGTGACGTCACTGCTCCTCGCGCTTGAGCGGCACGGCTCTTAGACGGCCACGCGAAACTGCTCAACCTCGGAAGGTGTAGCTCACGCTACAAAAGCCGCGACGCCCCAAGATATATGGCTCTGCCCCAAGACAGCTTCACACGCACTCGGCGGCAGCAGCGGTGGCGAGCGGTCTGCACGCAGCTAAATCCCTGCTGCTTTATGCCTTTCAGGTTGGTAGAACTACTTGTTTTTCCGTAAACCTTCGAACGTTTGCTATCGCTGATGCCACTGCATACACTGCTGTAATTATTTCTAAAATTTTAATACCATCGCTCGTACAAAAGAGGAATTGGGCCAAAGGCGAACGATGTCGGAGAAGAAAGATTTCTGCTTTCCTTGTAAACAGTCCTTATCGAGTGAAACGTGTATGATTTGATCAGGATGAAGCTTCGGTTATCACCTGAGGGAATGCTCAGGAATAAGCAAAACTGCATTGAATAAAAATGACTGAAGAAAGAAAAAAATCATGGCAGTGTCCAAAAAGTCAAACTGCAACAACAAAAAATGCACTCTCTAGTTCAGGAAAAGCCTGACAAAGCTGAAAAGTCTGAGACACAAATGGCAAAGATGATAATGAAACTGGTCACCTTTCTTGCTATGAAAGCAACCGTAGATAGGATCGAGCAGTCCGTGCAGCACATATCTGATTAGTACGATGAAGTACTTGCAGAAATAAAAAAAAGAATATCAAGATATCAGAGAGCTGAATGAACACGTGGAAAAGATCGAAAACAGTGGGACACAAAGGGAAATCGAAGAACTATGGCAACAAGTGAACGAGCTACAGCAGTACAGTCGGAGGCGGAGCCTAGACGTGCATGGTGTCCCATTCTTATCAAATGAAAACCTGTTGGATAAACTATTGGAGGTAGCAAAGCGGCTAGACGTTGCTGAGGTCACTAAATGAGACATTGAGGCCATCCTTAGACTCCCGGGAAACCAGATAAAGTTCCCCCAGTCCTTATTCGTTTTGAATTCAGAATGACTCGAGACCGCTGCTTTAAAAATATGACGTTTCTCAAGCAGATCAATTCTGTTGTTTGCTTGATGGAAGACCTGACCGCTCAAACCAAAAGACTGCACTGAATTGCAAAAACAAAGGCCGGCGAAATGCATTTATGTGGCAAAAGGTTGTTAAGATTTTTGTTAGAAAGCAGTCTGGTGACCTACCTATCAGCATAAAAAATGAAAGCGATCTCGCCAAAATCCGTTAAGGGTGTTATGCTCGTCTAAAGTGTTGGGAATATCGAGCTATCTATGGCGGCTTCAGGGCATGAAGGATGCTTACTATGACGTGACGTCTTTCCAAAGCTGTGTAAATAAAAACTTCACGAATTGTAACATGTGAATAATGAAAAGTAAAATGTCGTACCGCGTACTCTCTGAATTCACTTGTTTAACCGTTGATTTCGAATGTTAATTTAGTGACGAGGCGTGGAAGTGTCATAATTGCTGTGATTTATCAATGTTTTTCTGAAAGTTTTTGGAGGAGTTACTAGAATACGTTACATCAACAAATATGCAAATAGCTATAATAGGTTACCTAAATATTGATCTGCTAAAAATAAATAAATAAAAATGTATTTTTTTAGAAATCGTTTAATTAAATGGATGGGGGAATATTATCAATGTTCTAACTCGTATAACCAAATGTACGGAAACCTTGATCGATAAGTACCGATGTTTTCGCCGGAGTACTAGGTGCAGGTCTAAGCGATCATTTGCTCGTTTTTCCGTAAAAACAATTTAACACAATAACCAACAACAATAAAATATTTTGTAGGATTATAAATCAAAACTCCTTAGTAAGATTCCACAACCACATATCCTTAGAGACATAGAATGACATATTAATTAAAACAAATCCAGGGAAAGCCTACAATTCTTTTAAAACAAAATGACAAGTGTATTAGAAAAAGCCCTTATCATTACTTCAAGTAGGAAATACAAAAAGTCAAGTAAACCTTGGTTTACACGGGAGCACTACGAACTAATAGTAGCGCCCGATAAAATGTTAGCCAAGTTTATCAGAACTAAAGATAGTAACTTCCTGAGTGACTATAAAAATATGGGAACAAGCTTGAACTGGATATTAAAAAAATAAATAAAAATATTATTTTATCAAAAATTTTCAGAAATGTATAGGAACCCTACTATAATTTTGAACACTATGAAAGAGATGTAATTAAATCATGTTGCTATTGCAGGAGAGTTAGAAATTGGCGGTGACACATACGCCGGGAGCTCAGTGACAGACAAGTTTAATGAAAAGTTTTGTCGTCTGGTGCCTGTGCATCATCAGGAGAATTTTCGAATTAATGTCGTTTAATAATAGTTATGAATGTGTAATGACAATATCAAGGCTATTACAATTAAAGCGATAATAGACTTAATATTACTCCATTTAGTTTATATATGTAATCAAATTATTGTTTCGGGTATTTCTCCAGATATAATGAAAATTGCAAAAGTCTGCATTATCCAGAAAGGTGGTACATTTGAAAATCTCATGAACTATGGATCCATATATCTGTATAGCCTCATTTCTCGAAAGTTGCGGGAAAAGTTATCAACCTAAGGTTGTATACTGTGCCAGCAATAAACTGATAACTTATCACCAGTTTGGTTTTCAGATGGAACAAACAACTGACTCGGCCCTGAAAAGTATAATTCTACATTAGAATATTCTTAAACTTTAAAAATAAATTTCATTAAATTAAGCACCAAGATCTACTACGAAAATTGGAGACATTTGGAATCAGAGTGAATGCGCTGGAAATAATTCGTAGTTATTTATCATCCCGTTTTCAGTATACAACACTACATGTTTCCAAATCAGAGTTGGCAACCATTAAATGCGGTGTTCCGCAAGGCTCTATCCTTGGGCCTTCATTATATCTTTTATTTGTAAGCGACATGGTGACTAAAAACATAGTCACGCCATATCATCTTATATGCTGACGATACAAACGTCGTAGTTTTAAGCAGAGATCTGCTTCACCTCGAGCAAGCCTCCAATAACTAAATGGAAACTTTATCTGTGTGGCTAAAATATAATAATTGCTTCTTAACCCCAGTAAAACAAAATATATTGCTTATAGATAAAATAATAAACCAATTTTATACGACTTAAATATTTATTTCGAAGGATTAAAACTTGAGCGCGTTAGAACACACATATGTTTAGGTTTTTTTGGAAGAAATATTCAATTGGACTCCCCGCATTGAGAAAATGAGATGTTGTTTATCCAGAGCAATATGATCATTAAATAAACTCCGCAAACACTTAACAAAGTGGTTAAAGTTACAACTCTATTATGCACTCATGTATTTACGACTGAAATATTATTTACGGGTATGGAGTACAACCATAAAAAACAATATAAGCAAGTTATTTATAGTGCAAAAAATGCCGTTGGATTTATTGGAAACCTTCTGAAATATTATCACTCAATGACACTTTTTCGGGAGTACAAGATATTGACTGAACACAGATCCAAAATTACCAGGATACTACAGTCTACGATGTGGTATCTGTGTAAAAAGCAAATATTGTACAAATTATGGCTTCCAGCAACTTGCATATCTCCTTACAGACACCCACAATACACAACCTACCGTAGCTCAAATGGTGCAAAACAACGGTTCCTTTCGGACATTCAAAGATAACCTTGTAACATTTATATTAAGTCTTTCATGATCCGCAGTTCGTATCCCGGTTTTAATTTGCATTCAATTGATATTTTACATATGCCCGTTGGCAATAGAATTAATTTATTTTTTGTTTTGCTTTCTTATGAGTGCTGTAAAAACTAGAGACTGGGGTTATGTCAGAAGACAAGCTTGTCATTTTTTATCACAGGCCCCAAGACCTCTTTTTCTATACTTGTTAGTACGTAAAGACAGGGGACACTTTTTGTCGTAGATTTTGGTGCTTAATTTAATCAAAGGTATTTTTAAAGTTTGAGAATATTCCAATTGTAGAATTATACTTTTTTATATCTCAAATTATTTTGTCTTTAATCTGCATCAGGGCCGAGTCAGTTGTTTGTTCGTTCGTTCGTTCGTTCGTTCGAAATAAAGACTACATACGTACATACATGCATTTGCTGATGCTCTCTTTGTGTTTCAGTTACTCCCTCTCTTAAATATAAGCTCTCTAATTACGCACTTTCTCTACGTGAAAACTATCAAAGCCTGGCGTGCGTGCCAAACACGGATGTGAAAAGGAGCACGAGCGAAATTTGTCGACCATACAGATGGTGTGGTTTATCGCATTCCGTTGTCCTGTGGAAGGCACTACGTCGGCGGACGGGGCGCTGCCTAAATGATCGCCTTCGCGAGCACAGTAACAACGTGCAAAAACAAAACGGTGGCTTTCTTGACTTAACATTGCAAGACATGCGGTTGTACCCCACTGTTTCATGGATACGCAAAATTTTAAATTACAAGTCAACGTTAACACACGAAATTGTGGAAGCCGAACCCATTAATTATTTAGGAGACACATGTGTTGCTATGCCTTCGATTGCATCATCGAAGAAGGAACTGGTTTTTCTAAGAACAAGATAGTGTTTTTTTTTTCAATCACGCTCTGTGATGGTTGTTTCTTTGTTCTTGTTCTTTTCGTCGCGATGGTTTGGATTACAGGTACTCGAGGACGAATTCAATAAAAATCAGTTGAGAGTTGCACTTCGTTGTGTCTTCTCCTTTTTGTTTGTCTTTGCTGGGTACAAGACTGCATAAGATGTCAAACTACCCCAAACAACCATTCTTCGTGTCTACGTCGTCTGCTTTGGCTGCCACTGGCTGCCTCGGTCCGTTTTGCGTTGGGACTCGACGTTGGACGTCGTCTCCCTGCGCTTTGCCGCAAATATTTGTTAAAATGGCCTTCTGTTCCGTCTTGGCTGACATTGATTGAAGAGAAAAGTTGTATTGCTGCGATCCTATCAGAAAGCTAGACACCGAATGCGACGTTGTGCAACACTAAGGTATCCGGCGAGCCCAAAAGAAATGCTGACTGCCTCTCACGGAATAGTGGAACGTTTAAACATCAAATAGGTCAATCAGAGCGCCAGACGTTCCTCATGGTCACACGCTTTTTTCGAAACTGCGTGTGGTACTGCACTAATGTATTCGGAAAAGCCAAAACGGATTGATGAACGCATGGCATGCATCTATCTATCCAGCCAAACAACCCTGTTTCGGTGGCTCGCCTAGCTGCAAAACGTTGAACTTGTGACGACAGCGGCTTATTCTTTTCCGACTTCTTTGCCAGGCACTGAAAGTATGGAAGGGGCACTGGAACGGTTAAACTCCTCGTGTTGCGAACGACACAGCCGTTCGGCAGCTCGTTGTTTGAACCGGTTGCATTCGTTCGCTGTCATAGCGGTGGCTCTGAACCCAAATGTGTGCACTGGCCTTTGATTAGAGTACATAAGCAACCATTTAAGCGATGATAGAAATTGACGTCCAAGAAGCTACCAACGTGACGTGAGAGTAGAGCGTTCCTTCATTCTATCCGCGCTGACAACGCGGGCCTTCCGCAAGGAAGACCGGTTGTGGGCATTTGCGTGCCACTCTCTTATTAGAGGAGGTCGGTCTGGCAAAATCAGGATTGAAAAAATACTATAAAACATTCAACAAAAACCGTTCTCTCGCTTAACATTGCAATACAATCGGAATTATATTATTTAGTTGTTTTTTTTCCGGCGAAGGCTCAGTGACGTCATGTTGATTTGTTTGTTTTGCTTGTTTAGAAATTGAAACGAGCATTACCGAGGTCACGACCATTGCAGCTGCGTCGCAGCGCTGACTCTCCAAGGCGACTTTGCTTCGTACCTTCTGAGGTAATGGAGAACCGGTTTCGGCTTCCGCCTGCTCTCCGATTGGACCATCGACCCGAGTGGCTTTTTGTGATGTTTCACCTTGAAGCAACGTTGCCTTGAAGCTAGCTGGGCCGCGAAGGTTCTTTCGTCACCGCGTTATGCATGCGCGTGCTAAATAATCAACGTGTCTTCGAGGGCGCCGCCGGTACGCAGACTGTGCAGTTCTCTGCGTCGGAGTTATTGGGAAACGCTGCTATGAGCGGATACGTCGGGGACCTGAATGAAAAGCAAGAACAGGGCTTGAAGGAGGCAAGTGACCCGATTTTTTTGTAAATATTTATCCAGATAAATATTATTGTGGTGAAACGTTTGGGAAACTAGGTGTGAAATGAAAACAGTTTCAACACGAAAATCGTTAAAAAAACGTGCATGCAAAAAGTGTCCGTGCAACCTCGCGCAGTTAACTGGTGCGGTATTTTAAAAAAAAACTGGCTAGTATAAAAGCTAGTCATTAAATACCTCGGTACTTGAATTCCTATGTTGAGCTTCCATTGTTTATAAACAAAATCTCGTCATTGGGTGTTGACGACGAATAGCGATTTGAGTTAGGGGTTCCGCATCATACGTTTGATTGATAATATGTGTATTGCCACATTCTGTTGTAATTATTCAGGGGAATGTTATGTAAACGGTTGTTTCATCGAACTCGGAAGGGTAAATGAAAACAGGCTGCGGGTCATAGGCTCTCTGTTTATATAGCACTTGTGTCCTTGTGGTATCGAGATAATAAATGAATGCTTCGCCATTTGTGATTCTTTTTTAACTAGTAACAAAGTTTCACCAGTTACTTGATCGGAGAAGTTTTCACGTGTATTGCTTTGGTCTTATAAAGGTACTACTCGGAAACGATAGGAAGTAAAAAAAAAAGACATTTGAGGCTTCCAGTATGTTCTATTTTATTAATGCATTCACTAAACACAGAATTAAAGAGGTTATATATATAGGTTGTCAAAGACATGGTTTAAATTAGCGTATTCTCTGAACATTCAGCTTACTGTCAATACGACTTCGCCTAAACAATAGCTCAAAATGTGTAATCTTTATTTCAAGGACCTTTTTAATAATCAAAACATGGTTTCAAATTTGTCGATTGTAGAATATTTTCAACACAATTACTTTCTTTTGTAGTGTTTCCTAAAGTTTAGGTAAATCGAAAAATTTTATTTCCATGCTATTGCATCAATTTTTAACTGTATTTATGTTAACAACTTTCTACGTGTGATATTTTCACGCACAGAATTAATGTGATTACACATCCTCTATAACTCAAAGGTATTAAATAATGACCGAAAGTGCCGTTATATAAACGAACGGTCGACCCCGGTGCTAAAGATGAGGGGGAGGGAGGGGGAGGAGGAGTGGAGGAGCTTGAAGGAGGGGGGTGAAGGAGAAGGGAGGAGGGGTATACCCTCCCCTCAATACCTTTCCCTCCTTCTCCTCAAGAGTTGCGCTCCAATTCGACGTCACAGGGTGTTGTAAACGTCTTTTATTTTTTTTTTATTACTGGCTGCAGCTCAAGTGCCGTCTTTCCGACATCTGGAAGGATGAGTTTACGGATCCATTGCTCCTTCGGTGGCTAAGAGGTAATATCTAATGCTACAGAAACAAACTTTCACTTAACCAAATGTTTATATACTTTTTTTTTTTGTCACCTGAACTATTTCGAAGCACGCTTGGTTGTGGTTGTGGCTTCCTTAAAAATAAGAAAACCAGCAATTGCAGTACACAGACTGCAATAAAGAAGTCCGAGGCACGTTGTATAAATCACAATTCCTTACTCATAATCAGCGAAAAATCTGTCAGGGAGTCTAGTAACGCAGCGACATAATTCATTGACATTGTCGGGATATTTAATAAACAATTGCGTGATTTGTTATCCCAAGACCATGTTTAAATTTTTTTTTTAGAATTAATGTAAAAATTAGCATTCGTTCATTGCTTCCTGCTAGGCACGAAGATTTTATCAGCTTTGAAGTTGATCAGATAGACAGAAAGCCTTCTCCACATTTGAAGAGTAGGTAAAAGAAATATTTTTGTTTGTTTGGTATTTTGATGCTAGCGTTTTGTGTGCAGACTTGAAACTTTGTGCTTCAGGTATAGACAATTTAGATTTAATAGTCTTATACCAATTTCTGATGTCACACGATTAAAAAATGCAGATTCCAAAGAGGGTGAAAGCAATCTGGTGGCGGGTATATTTAATGGCAAAACAGGCTCCGATAATTTTGTCAAGAAATGGTAGAGCGGGGTTCCCCTGACCTTGCCACTTTTTCGGATTTTTACATCCCAGTTGTGCGAGCTCAGGTCACTATTCTAGAATGAATGTGGTATCAAGGAAATTGTGCCAATTTTGAGTAATGGTTTATTTAGTTGTGAAATTTTTTAGAGGACCTTAGTCGTATTTTCACACGAGTTACTGCGAAGTGACAATAGCATTTGACTAATTCTATTCACTACATGGCGAAGGATTTAAATCAATGATGAATCCAATTGTTAAAAAAGAGGCGGCGAGGACCAGAACAGCGTGTAAGCCATTATTTTAGCACAATTTATCACCAATGTGTTGACGTAAAAGTAGGGAAACAATGCAACGTTTAATAGCTCGCATGAGCCTAAGATTTAAGCGAGCTATATAATCGGTTGTGAATTGCTTGAACTTACGGCTCAAGCCATTTACCTCATTAAAGGGGTAATGCAACGATATTACCCTGGCGTGTTTTTCATTTTACACGAGCGTACTGGCACTACTGGAAACCTAGTATACTGGCACGCAACTCCATTAAACAAGAAACCTCTTTGTTACGGTGGAATTTTAAGAATAAAAGCGAGCATATTTTTAACAATATTTTCCTCGCTACGTTTGATGGCATAGTTTAGAGGTCACAGTGTTGGAATAGTCCCCCAGCAAGGATGTTTGAATGCGGCTCATTACCTGGACCCAAGCATGGCGTGAGCACTCAATTTGGGTTCACGATAATCAATAGCTCGACAAGAATTCGGGTAAAGGCTAGTGCCCAATCGCTAGAATGATGAAAATAACCGACCCTAACAATGTCGGGAGCTCAGAGCGTGTCCTGTGCTTTGCCGACCCCAGCGCGCGGATATGGTAAACATTGGCGGTATGTATTCGGCTCCAGATCACGCGGCTACTTATACTGGCTTCGAGTTCAAATGAATAACGCTGTTCATTTTTATTCAACCTTTTTTGCGACTACTACTGATCCAGGATTAAAATTAATGCGTGTTTCGGAGGTCATAAACGTCAGGAATTTTCTATAAGTGATATTTAGGCAAATTTTAAAAAAATCGTTGCACCGCCCCTTTAAGGTCATGTGCTCTCAATCAGAGCATCATGTCAGATGAATTATGAATAGGTTTATTTAGTATTTGCCTCAAAGTCCATGTACAGGATGCATGCGGAGCTCCAATAATCCTCAAGCATGAGCGTCCTCCCTTCCCCCCCCCCCCCCCCTAAAATGTGTTATGTTCATGACAAGCCTACAGTCTTGAACCTACACTCTAAAAATATGCCGTATCTACTTTCCTGCAAAACACTTGGCAAAGCCAATGACTGAAATATGCGAAGTTAACTCGGCGAATGACAAGGCTCATAATATGTTTAGATGAAAAAAATATTAATCTGCGCTCTGAAACTGGTCATGGCGTTTCACCATACCCAGTGCCTGAACGCATATTGTTTGTTTAGGTCTGGACATGTCATTAGGCTCGTCATACGCCGAGCTCCGGAGCCTTCGCAGATTTGCTTTCTCAAAGATTCTGCGGGAAAGTTGAAGCTCATTAATTTTTGAGTCCGGTAGTTAGATTAGGTAATTTCCGCTGGAAGCTGACATCATCAGGCCGCGATTTATTGTAATATTATGGCATTTCAATTACTTTTTCAGTGTGCGCAAAGGCAGTATACAATTCACAAGAGCGAGTGAACTTTGTTTTACGTTGAAGATATCGGCGCACTATCTGGAAACATGGTCCTCAATTCTGAAAACGAAGGAAGACTGCACTTGAAACCGCGCATGTACGAGTTAAAACGTAGCATAACGTTTTTATTTTTTATTCGCAGCTCGGGAGTTTGATGTCGCCAAGGCAGAGAAACTTCTTAGAGAGGTACGCAGAACACATTACACTTTTTAACGTACTCTACGACAAAACGCAAGTTTGATATGTTTTTTTTTGTTTCTGCGTTTTTATTGGTTAAAATTCGCACTTTGAAAACATTACTCATCAGACAGGAATTCATGTTCTGAGGATACTTCTTATTTACTAATATGTAGATTTGTGTTCAAGAAAAAAAAAAAAAAAAAAGACAACTACCAAAATACAATATACGCCTCGGTAATTATAATCAAGAGCAGTTGAACCCACCTTTTTATCCGTCATTACCTGAAGATTGTTAATTGAACAAGAAACGAAAATACAATGTGAGCTGGTCCTTCATTTATATAATATCCATATTCTTTATACTGCATAAGATATGAGAATAATTGCAAACCATTAAATGAGAGCGAATGCATTTATTCCACGAGGTTGACTCAATTAAATTGAACAATGTATTAAAATAACCTAATAGTGAAAAATTAGAAGCGAAGGCCACAGTGTAAAATTTACCGTTCAGAATGTGACGGATGAAAGGGTTTCGAAATCAACAAACAAAAACAAAAATGAAATAAAAAAAACTCGTTGCTTTCAAATTGTATCTAGATTGAAGTTAAACGAGTTGCTACAAGGCGTACATTTCATGTTCAAATTACAGAACTCACTTTGGCGAAACAAGAACGGCATTGACTCCCTGGTAGAGACGTATGAATGCCCAGATGTGAGTTGTACGATTTGTCACTCTTTTACCGGTGACATTCTAGCTTTCTCGGGAGCTCGAACATTCTGTCTAAAACGTTTGTATGGTTTTACAAAAAAGAAAAATGGCGGCTTAGTAGGTTAGAGTAGCCGTCGTGCTAGTAATGTCGGGCCAGCACGTATAAGCAGTTATATGATATAGTCGCATATCAATCGATTTTGTGGCTTGTCCTGGTTCTAATCCTCTACACTTCTGTAACGTAAATGCATACCTGTATGAAGTCGCGGTTATAAGCAGATACACTAAAAATTGCAGAAATTCAAAACAAGTAGTGATATGAACTGCCGACATACGTTTCGAACAGGGATATCTTGAGTTTTATACGGAGCGCAAGCTCGTCTGCTCCTTGCGGTGACGTCAGAACGCCGGGCTCTGAACTGCTCCGAATGAATCGATAGTGGGCAGACCTTGAGGCAGCTAGCATTGAGGTCTACCCACTATCCTTCCAAACAGAGCCAATCAGAAATCGGTAGTGATTTGATGTCACGGCAAACCCTGCACGAGAATCAGACGAACTTGTGCTCCGGGTAATCTCAAAGATAAGGACCTAGATCAATAGCCAACTCGCCAATACCGCTCAAGTTAAGCGGGAGGGTGGTTCGCAGTTACTCGAGGTAAGGGTTTTGGGGAGATGCACTTGCAGCGATCAGGAAGAAAACGTGCGGCTTGTCTTTCCGATCAGGTTCTGAACTTCTGATAGCAACCACCTGGAGGCTATTCATGCCACATCGGTTGTCAAACGTTTAATTTTTGAATTCATATAAAGCGCAGAAGAAAGTTCTTCTTTTGTACCTAAAGGATATAGGTATACGTAAATCCTAGGGTAGAAAACCGAGGGCTGTTTTAAATGCTAGTTTTATACGTTTTATGTGTTCGCGTTCAAGTCTCAGGTCCAAAGTGTTAGAGGTACAGCAGTTATCCTGTAATGCTCGCCATTCATGGCCTATTGCGGGGACATTCCGTGGAATAAAAGGTTTTTTAAGGAAATATAAAAATTCGAATTGATTGGTGTTCTATGGCACCCAGGCAATTACAGTCCTGGGGAACAACACTACGATTTTTTTTGTCAAGAGGAACAGAAATTGATCATTTTGTGAAGGCAATCCAAAGGATTTATTGCAAAGAAAATTGTATAGCCGTGGAATTAAAACTGTACATGTCCATTAGTTTAATTACTGCTTATTGAAATTTTATGATTGTCATTTAAAATATACCCGGGACACATTTTAACGTTTTTTCTTCAGATGAAATTATAATTTTAATGCATGCGCCAAGGCGTTGATGTCCAAGAAAGTTGGGAATGACACCTGTTTTAACCTCTGCCTGCCCTAAAAATTCTGCGGTGGCGAAAACACATCTTGTGTATTCTATCAACATCAAGGCCGTAGCAGGAAAATAACTCAAATAATGTAATTAAGGTGTAACAGCATGGGAACAATGAGCAAATTTCCCTGCGTTCACAGGTGTTGAAGCGTTACTTTCCTGGAGGTATGTGCAACCATGACAAGGAAGGACGACCTTTATGGATTATGCCTACCGGCAATGGAGACTTTAAAGGTGATGGCAATATTATCCTGTTTCATTAAAATTAATACTACGCAAAATGCAATAAACGGAGTATTCGTGTTACTGGTATCGGCCTGGCATATGAATATTGCGACTAAAGTAAAAAAAAAGAACTTGTTTTACCAGAAGTTTGTTGCGGCTTAGAGCTGATAAAACTAGGGTTGAAAATTTAGAATGAGTGTTAGTCGGGATTTGCCTTAAGTGAGTGGTCTATATAAGCAAGCGACGAGCCAGGCCAACACCTCCAGATTTGAAGGCCTTATTATAATGCCTGGAACCCGTCTCCAAAGCGGTGAAGCAGCCGTAGCGTCTTAACTAACTGATCGGAATTGCTCCTGCGACAAAGCCAGTCGCACGTTTTGCGGTATCGGAAAACGAGCTTTGTGTCACACGATCGACATGTACCTGACCACAGGGGTTGCCATCATGCACGAGCCGGTAGTTTCTGTTTCGCCGTAGACCCCCGAAAGAAAACCTCGAGATAGGATTTCTACAAACTTACACAAGGGATCGAAAAAAAAATACATTTGGTAATTCAATGAGACTTCTTCCTTAAAAACCGTCGTAACCTTAAGATTGAGAAAATGTACCGTAATTATCCTTTAAAGGAAGGGTCAGCTGAGAGCTAAACTGCTACAACAAGTGTGGGGTGGTCTTCCAAGAGCCATTTTTTATCTTTTTATGTACCCTTAATGATATATTTATGTCTTTTGTTAGCCAATAGCTTAAAAACTCATTCTAGCACACAAACACAACAGTCAGTATTCTGCGAAAACGCTTCGATTGTTTCCAAAATATTCTGGGGAGATAAATTTGCAGCGAACGTAAAGCTGTCGATTTTCGAACGCAGGAATGCTGCAGTGCGTGTCTGTGGATGCAATGGTGAAGCACGTTACATACCAGGTTGAACTAATCGCGGCAGAGATGAAAAAGCAAACGGAGAAGGTAAGGAGCACTACAACCTAAAGCATATCAGCTTCGGCGGCATACTATATATACGAATTTTATTTATGAAAAGTTGAGCGCATGCTGAGAGGCTCACACTGATTTATATTTAGAAAATTTATCTTGTAAACTTCCAATATGATTGGCAAATTTGTATTCGAGGGTAACGCAAACGCCTTGCCATTAATGGGATCAAGAAATTCGGTATGTTTACAGAAAAGATAAGCGCTGGATCACACATTTTCTTTTGAGAGTGATGGAGAGCGCTGCGTTCTCTTGTAAGCTCTAATGACGAGAACACACTGATACACTAGTGCAATCTATCTGGTAGTCCTGGAACGCTACCAAAGTGAGTATAATTTGTATAATTTTTCCAAATCATTTTTACGCCGTAGACTTGACCGAATTCTCACAATGTCAGAAGCAACCGTTCCTTATTGATACTGCGTAGATTCGATGTAGCAAATGCTACAAAACTTTCATTGTAGTCATAAAGAGATGGGAGGTTTTCCAGGCTTACGTCATAGATGGCGCTAGTTTGCCAGTGTTTTAAATACAGGTGTTTTACGTGTGTTCACTCGGTCGCCAGCCGTTACAAGAGAATGCTAAGCACTCGATCACACTCAAACAAAAATGTGTGAACCAGCACTTAAGGAGATAAATATAGGTGACTGGACAGCTCTTTACAACTCGTGACGAACAATTGCTGAGAATTCAAAATGTATAAACTTGTAAAGGAAGTTGAATGAAGATGTGAAGAACCAAAAGGAGAAGAACGTGTGAAAATAAAAGAGAATTTTACCCCTAAGTCTTGAAAAGCAAACTCTGGGGTAGCAATCTGCTGTGCCGGAGACAGCAGATTGTAGCTTTTGACTTAAAGGGATACTACAACAAAATTTCGGGGCTCAGTTTTTGGTCTGTATGTGTTCAAAAAAGCAGCATCACATCGAACGTACCAATATCTTGTTAAAAAAGTCACGAAAATGAATTTTGAAACGAATTAAACGATCAGCAAAGAGCACCTGGTGGATGTCGCTAACGCCTCGCTTGTAATGCCCGTCTAGGAACCTTGACAGCTAGTGACGGAGGTTGTCTCGTCTCCGGCCACGTCGAGAGAAGAGGGGCAGGAGGAACTCCTCTCTTCCCGAGAATGCCTTTTGTGTGTCGCAGAAGTCGCTATTGTCCCTCTACAAGATTACAGAAGATTATCCCGTCACTCAAAATTCGTACAAAAGCAGCAGCTTCGGTGGCTGGAACGACTAGGCCATCCTCTCGACGTCAGCCTCGCCGTAGCTTTGCTCGTCTTGAGACAACCTACGTCACGATTGCGTTGGATGTCACGTGGTCTCCACTGGGCCTTCTCCGAGCGCTTGCCAGAGTGGGCCGTTTATAACGAAAAATACAGCCACCAGGCTCAAAATACAAACGCGCGATTGTCATTTACGGATATTGTGGATCATATTCAACCTATTTTTGAACACGACGGAAATATTTCAAATTTCGTTGAAGTATCCCTTTAAGATGATTAATCCTGTGCTCAATAAGCTGATGGATTCCATGCGGACTTTCTCTTTACAATTGTGCATTGAAATTGCCTCACTCATTTCGCGTAGACATCTGTCTCTGCCGATTCTGCTTGTAGCACGAAACTTAACGAAACATTTCTTGCGTTACCTGCATTCTCCTGTCATCAAGTCATTACCACATTTATTCTATGTAACGGACGCTAGGTAATTATAGAAAATCGAATCAACACACTCTTTGCCTCAAGATTTTTTTTTTATCTGCTGTCAGAACAGGAATAATAAATGTATAGAAGTGACTCATTTGAACTGGCAAAATAGATGACTTTGGTAATAATGCCGAGTGCCAGATATCTTGGATGATGCGGAATATGCCGTATGCACGAATGAAAGACAACCGAGAAGGAGAGGGTTTGGTTTATTTGATATATTTAGGAAGCTTTTGACGTTCGGCAAAATTTTTTTTTTTTTTTCACATTTCTCCGCTTTAAACTTTTTCATATATAAGGCATTACCTGGAATATAAGACATGTAACTCCTCGACACGATAAAAAAAACAGTGCACACAGGATAGGACAACAGGAAAGAAACAAAGAAAACACACAAGCGCTGACCCGCCACTGATATTTATGAGAAGAAGAGGAAAAAGACGTTCATACATAAAAAAAAGAGAGAGAGAGAGAGATAAAAAAGGACGAAGCGCAATACATTGAATGAATATTTACAAAAATAATAAGAAACTAAGAAAACTACAAAGACACACGTGTAGGGCAGATAACAGGATCACGTAACACTTGGTCGTTAAAATATCCGTCTAGGAAGAGCACTTCCTTCTCATACAGCGTTATTGATGACTTGCTAACACAGCATGTCGTCTCAACACCAGCTAGCCCAACTCACCAGATTGCTGTAACTAATCGGTTCAATCCATCGTAAACTGTTTGACGTCCCAGTGTCTGTACAGGAGCGTCTACCTAAACTATGAGCGTAGATTCAAATTTTTTAAATAATATGTCTTGAAGTATGGATTGCACCTTTCACTAAAAAAGAAATCGTATCTAATTACTTTGATATTCATAACAATAGAAATGGCAGCTGCATAGTCTGTGAATAAAAACATAGCCTTAACATCAGTAAAGTGGAGATTTGGGCCAGTTGGTTCATTGCAAGCAACATCAGTTGAGAGTGCGCCTTGTCCTGTTTCCCTTCGTCTGTGTCCCTGTATTTTTTCGGCGCTTTTTGCTTAACATCAGCCTTATCTTCCTAGTTGGGAAAACTCGTGGACACCTTCACCATTGTGGTCGACTACGAGAATTTCAGTCTCAAGCAGATCTATTGCCTTCAAGGTAGAGCTAGAGAATCTTGGTTATTTTTTATAGCAATTGTGCTTGACATATATTCATTCTAACCGTCGGTTTTCAGTGATCGAGGTGACGCGACGTCTACTGGTGCTGTACGAGAACCACTACCCAGAAACGCTTGAGCGATGTATAATCATCAATGGTAAATAGCATCTGGCAGTGCGTGAGGACTGCCATCTTCATTTTTCTACTTCGGCTACTTGCTGCTTGACTCATCAGGAAAAAAAAAGATTACCGCTGGATACATTAAAGTATTTAAGCCTCGTTTGTGTTGTTTTACATGTTTTGTCTCAAGCAAGACGAGAAAAAGAAAAAAAGAACGAAGCAAGACAATATACGAAGTTCGTTTTGGTTTGCCACTAGGCACCAAAGATTATGGAAAGGGGTAACAAAAACTACAGGAGGACGCTTAAGCTTCGTATTTGAAAGTGGGACGCAATAGCTACACATATAAAATCTGCGCGTTCCCAAGCCGTGCAAGCGGGTCTGCGTGGACTAGTTGGTAGCGTGTCTAGCTCGCAACCATAGAGTCATGGGTTCGAATACATCCTGCGCCTAAATTTATTCTAATTGTTTCTTTAAGGAAAATTAATCACTCTACAAAGTGAAATCATTTGAGACATGCAGTGACCTTTAATACGCATTACATGTCATGTTTCACTTCCATTCCATGTGTGACGTTTCACGCGGGCTTTGTGGGTTGTTTAAAATTCCCGTGCGAGGTCATACGGTTGTTACGTCATAGCGCTATCTACCAATCAAGGTTTTCGCGGCTTTTCTGGGCAGCCACCGGCTTTTCTGGCATGCCACTGAGGCCGGCGCGACACAAACCCCTCAAAGCTAACGTTTGAAAAAATAAATAAATAAAGATAGAGGGATTGTACACAAGGTTCAGGAAACAGATATATCTAAAAACTGTGCGAACAAACTTATCTGTATTCGCGAAACAAAATGATGATAGGAATTGCATAGTCTACGACGAAATTCCGCGAAGGCACCTTTGTTTCAGGAAAGCATTACGAGTAAGATATTTACCTATGTTTTTTTTATGTTGCTTAGTTGTTTATTCCACAGCAAAATAGCTCTCAAGAAGTGCCGGAGTTCATCTTAAAGCGTAATCACTGACTGCAGAAGAAGGCGACATTTCAACTGAAAGTGCGACTGCGGCACGCTTACCATGCTCCTGGTTAGCCGTCTCCACGAATGTGCACAGTGCTAACACCTTGAATTATACACTATAATAACTGCAGATATTTTACTGTAGGTCAATAATATATAACTTGCGGACTGGCCAGCTTAATCTTTTCTTTGTGCCACTAAGCAGCAGATACGTTTCCATCTGGATAGATCGTAATATTAAAAAAGGTATACAATACGGAAGATCAGCTAACTTACCGCGGCACATGTTAATGTTGTGTAGCCTGACACTTTCGTCGTGACGCAGGATACCTCTTCCGGATACACAAGGGGGCTAACAACGACATAAACATTTGTTCCCATTCCCGCCGCGTTTCATGTGAGCCACGTGAACCAACTTCTTTCGCGTTGAGGACAACAGGTTTGCAATTTTTCGAACGCGGATATCGGCCAGACGTCACACGAAAGGTCACTAAAAAGATTTCATCATGTGAAACGAGTTTATTTAAGCTATTGGTCTCAAACACTTACTGTTGCTCCCAGTCTCACTAGATACAGCAAAACTGTCTATTTTTCCTTAACACAAACGTCGATGGCCACGGACCCCAGTAAAAATATCCGGCAGTAGGCTTCTCGTTTTGATTCGAAGGAGCATCGCACTGGAATGCGGTGATGCACTACTACCACGTGCTGCATACTAAAAAAAAAAACAAAAAAAAAAAACAACAGGAAAGCAGTTTCATTACGCGGCCGCAATTTTCATATACAGCGAGAACCACATTACCATGGTAGACCGCACTCAAGCTACTAAATAGTTACCGCATGTGTTTTCTTTTATATTGCTAAGCTTATGAGATTACTTTCCTGGCGTCAATTCCAGAGCGTGAACCCTCAGACTCCTGCTTTATAAAAACTATTATATTTTAGGAACACACCTTTTATCAGTGTAAACGTTTGCGGCAATTAAAGGTTATAATAGCTACTGGAGGAGCAGTCGGTACGACTGGTCTTTCATCAAATACGACCACAAGCCATTCAAGGCTCTTTCAAGTAGAAAAACCCGCACCGAATGTGCGCTTATGTGTTAACAAATATAAACCTTCTGCAGAGTAGCACTAAACTTTCCACGTGCCCGGCGATTTGTCCACAGCTCCAAGCTTCTTTCCGGTGTTCTGGAGGCTCATCCGGCCCTTTCTGACGGAGAGGACAGGAAATAAAATAGAAATTTTCAGAAGTGGTAAGCACTTTCCTTTTGGTCTGGGAGGAAATAGTTTTGACACAACTAATAAATTTGGAAACTTTTGAAGCTTCTATAGAGGAAGAATCAACATTGTATCCCACTCTGTACCGCTTAAAATAATGCAGACAAATGATGACTTATACCAACGCCGCCTGAAAACAAGGACGTAGTGCTGACATTTTTGCGTCACCAGAGAACGCCAACGGTGGAGAGAGATTGGAAACGATTGCTCCGTCAGTGATCGGCTTCGAGTCAGGTTTGAGCAGAACACGGACGCAATCGTTGTGTCCAATCTGCGCCCAGCGTTGGCCTTCTCCGATGACGCCATCTCATTCAGCAGTACAGCTTTGTTACCTAGGAGGTGTTGCTTAAGGCCCGTTCACACTCTTGCGACTGCTTGCGACCTCTTAAACCTGGGTTCCTTAAAACTTCTTAAACCAGAGAACACACTGGCGCCATCTATTGGGAAGCAGTGTAAACTCGGCGGTCCGGCATGTTTTTTTTTATTTCTCGCGCAATATCCTTTCTTTTTTTGGCTCGAAAAACTTTTGTCAATGTTATAAACGAGCCTTTCTATGGGTATTACGCACATTTGACCTCGGAAATCCCGCAAAACGTTCGCTTTTGTGAAATGCAGTTCTAGGGTCACCGCATAGATGGCGCCACAATGTCAGTGTGTTCCCTCATTCTAGAAACATTTAAGAAGTTGTAAGAGATCTCGTCTCTCTCAGTCGTACTCGGTCGCAAGAGTGTGAACGGGACTTTATACCACTGCCATACGGCAAAGTATATGTCATTTTTATCAAATTACATAATGTGATTGGCGAATCAGCTCGCGGTCCTGACTACGAAAGTCGCCCTAGCGTCGCGCGTGCACCGAGCTCCGCCAGAAGCAACGCCCTCTGATTTGCCTGTCAGATAATATCACTCGATGGAAACTACATTCGCTTTGCCGTGTGGCGGAGTTATAAGACCACCCCAAGATTTTATTGAGCTATGTATCGCTGGTTAAGGTCAGTTTTTATAACGCAAGGTCGGTAGCAGGGTTAGGATGCGAGTCGGGAGAAAACCCAAAGTGTATTAATCCAATTCCGCGTACGTAAGTTTATTTGTACGTTACCCAGGTGCGCACATTTATAGAACCCTCTTGACTTTCTTGATTATTAAATTCTTAATTTTTAGTATCATTTTACACAAAATAATAAACATTTAATAATAAAGATTTCGAGTACCGAATCTTAAAACTAATTCCAAATAAGGTTGCTTTAATATGAAGTGTTTGTCTCTTTCGTTTAAATTTATGACGTTTGAGGACTCAACCAGCAATACAGTGTACGGACGGCATGGTCATATGGTTTAAACATAAGCAATTTAAATTTCCTTTTTGGATGTCATAAAACTCTTTCGGAACATAAAAAAAAACGGTTGAGAAGACATCGCTTTAATGGACACGCCGTCGAAACTTCCTTTCTTGGAGTGTCAAAACCATTGGGTATTGTAAGGCCCATTGCTAAAAACAACATTGGTTATTCGAGCACGACCTGCTGGCCGCTGTGGTCATTCGATATTCAGAATCCCAGTAAAACCAATATAAGCAATTTAAGCATTTTTGATTGTAGTGCACGAGTTGTTATAGGATCGTAGCTTGCAATCTTGACAATCCTTGTCTGGATGGAAACTCCATGAACGCTAAGTTTTGATTCAAACGTCCAGTATTGGGCAGAATATAAACGGTGTTCTATCACCGACAAAATTAACTACGTATTGCCGAATGTTCAGTCTCTGTGCAATTATAGCACGAGCGTGTGGAGCAGATGATATTCCTGTACTAATCGTTTCAAGATTTGTGTGCTATAAGGAATTTCGTGAAATTTTATATGATTGAATGGCCTTTAACGAATCTGGAAAACGGTTGGAAATGAACAGTGTCTGACAGGGGGAAGAAACCTAAGTTTTCAAGTGCAAATTTTTCAAAATAGCTTATAACTATCAAGTTTACTGACATCTGGTCTGAGCATACGACAGTGCGTAGTTTGTTTTTGCGGTGGTTAAAGCAGAATTATTTGTTTCTTTAAACACCCAGTACATTGATATCTATTATATCTCTGATTTGTCTTCATGGTTTGTAAATGTTTAATTCTTGAATTACATGAATCGCTGCAGAAGGCTGGCATCCTGTAATAATCAAGCACGTGGATCCACCGCAGTTACCTGTTCATTGGGGAGGACACCTTCTGGGGCCCAACGGGGATAAAAGATGCACCCATATGGTATGGCGAGAAAATGTTGAGGTCATACATAGTGACACATCATATGTGTACATAAGCTAATGATGGGGCATTTTTAACCCATACCTTCTACATTTGCTGTTCAATATTAACTTGAATTTGATGTTGCTTGTCCTCTCAAAACATTTTCAATTGATGGTAGACTCCAAGTTTCATTTCATTTATTTCTCCTTAAGGACGATGCATATTCTAGTTTTGGGCGGACAAATATTATGCAGGCCAGTTTTCTTAGGGGAGAGGGTGCTGATTTCAGGTGGCGTTTTAAGTATCCGAGGGTGCGTGATGCGTCAGCTCTAATAATGTGGATTTATTTATTTTACTTTTATTTATTCTTTTACAAGATACTGCAGGCCAGTAATCCGGCCCGAGCAGGAGTGGATGTGGTTTTTCTTTCACATAATATCCAGAATTTATACATCAAAAGAAAAGGAGGGGTGATTAAAAACATAAACAACATAAAACACAAATTACACTTCAAAGAGGTGTTCAATTAATCGTAGAACATTGCCCGAAATAAAAATTTCGGGAGGCAAGGAGTTCCGATTTGTTACACTTCTGGGGAAAATTGAGTACTTGAAAGCATTTGTTCATGCGAATATGGGAGTTATTTTTTGTGTATGGTCATGTCAAGTCTGTCTAGTAGATTATGGCTTAATTTAGGATGAAGACTCAAGGCGAAGTTTGTGATTCCAAAGCTGAAAAATGAATTTTAATCTAGCTAGCTTTCTGCAGGATTCTAGAGGAATGATGTTGTTAGTTCTAATTAATACGGTAGGAGAGTCAGGCTGGTGATAACGATTATATATCAAACGAACAGCTAGTCTCTGGACCTGCTCAAGCCTGTTAATGTCTATCTTCGTAAAAGGATCCCATAAAGTGCACGTGTACTCAAACCTAGACTTTATTAGTGTGTTATAGGCCTGAAGTTTCACATGAGAGGGTACGTATTTAAGCTTGTGCCTCACTGGGCCTTGTTTACGACGTGCAGATGCACAGATTCGTTCACTGTGTGAGGACCAAGAGAGGTTGTTAGTAATTGTAACGCCAAGGTACCTAAAATTGTCTGTTTGAGAAATGATTGAATTGCCAATAGAATAATCAAACACATGGTGAATCTATGAAAGCGAAGGCACCAAATAAACACCAAGGTGTTTATTTTGTTTATTACAACGCCACTTAGATAGAAGGGATGAGTAATAGTAGATTTTTCCGAATGAATAATATGTTTGCTTTTCTCGTGGTTAAAAGGCATAAGCCATTTATCAAACCAAGCGCTAATTCGTGTTAGGTCGCTCTGTAGCGTAAGAGGATCAGAGACATTTGAAACCAGATGATAAATGACGCAGTCGCCAGCGAACAGTCTGATTTTTGAATTGATGCCAAGCGGAAGGTTGTTTATGTACATAAGAAATAAAAGTGCGGAAAGTCCTGCGGCCTGGGGAACACTTACATTACGTTTGCAAGGGGTGATTTATGATTATTAGCTATTGTGAACTGTACAGGGAAAGTGAAAATTCATGCATCCAGGAAATGATGACTCTGTCAAGGCTAAGCACCAAAAGCGTAGAGAGAAGACGGCTATATGGCACTCGATCGAAGGCCTTGAAAAATTCATGAGTATGGCATCTGTGTGATAGTTGTTATACATATTGACATGGAAGTTATGAGTAAATTCAGAAAGTTGGGGTTTGCTAGAGACATTTTTTTAAAGCCACCTTGATGAGGGTAAAAAAAAAAGTATAGATTTAAACTATTAGATTAGTAGCTCTTATTACGCTCCGGGAATATACAAGCGCCGTCGGAAAAACAACTGAACCCGTCCAGGCAGATGGTGGATCACAAACTCGAGTGAATACCCGTGATGCCGTGACTCATCAGCGCCTTTTCGAGTTTCGACATTGTTCCGACTGTCGCATGGCGTCTGGGGCGTCACGGCTCGATTTTGCACCCAGGGATTATTACTTGTTCGAGGCTAAGAAGAAAAGAACCACTACGAAATCGCCAATTCGCTGTTATTATTGATCTCGAAGCTTCTGTCTAGTCGTGGGTGCGATGCACTTCCAAAAAGTGCTTTTGGCAGGGCATATGAGCATACTGCCAAACTTGTCGCTCTGATGCATTCGGCACCAGGGGTGTATGCAGTCTTGTACACGTTACTACAAAAAAGTAATCGATTACAATTACTATTACTCTTGGTTAAAAAGTATTCGATTAGATTACTTGATTACTCGACGGCAAAAGTAATTGGACATTACTTAAAGAAGTAATCGTTACTTTTCCGATTACTTTATTGTGTGAAGACACATCTTTAGCGCTCATAACAATGAACTACTTCCAACCTATATTTCACATTTGCACAACTATTGAAGAAGAAAAACTGGCTCCCTCTTTGTGGTCGTTGCACCTTCACAATGCGGACACAAGCATAGAATTCGTTTGAAGACGTTTAAGGATTTGGGCGTTCGCCGGTGTGTGTGTGTGTGTGGGGGGGGGGGGGGCGGAGGGGGTTCTAGATCTTGTTAAGCTTGGGCAAGGGTTGTCGCTCAAAGTTTGCGCCGCTCATTTTATTATTCACATTTGAATGAGCTCGCATGTTATACAAAAGAGCAGCAGCTCCAGGATTTGAAACGGATCATGTGTAGTATCCATTAGCGGAAGAGATCGCCCCGACCACTTCTCAGCTCGAAACATCGCTTGTCACAAAGACCACGTAGGGGAAATGGGGAAATATTTCAACTGCCTTTGTTATATTTTGCATCCGCTTTAGGCATTCTTCGATTCTGGTTCTCCTATGGGCTGCGAGTAGATACCCTAAGCAGGATTTTTTTTATTTTTTTTTTATTTCTGTGTGTGTGTGTACGTGAGGAGGCTAGTTTGAACGAAGGACTCACAAAGCTGCATTCTGCTTCCTCAAACTTCTCCCTGAATGGCCTTTGTCACGCAGTCTGGCTTCCCTGGGGCTTCCCACTCCCAGTCCCAGCTCGAAAAAAAAAAACGGACATTCCACAGAAACTGTACATAGAACGAGATTGACCTCGTTTCCTACAGCTCCGCAAAAATCTTTTTTTTTTTTTTCCGTTTGAAAAAAAAAAAAAAAAAAAAAGCAAATTTTATTTTTGTTATTTTATAAAAAAAAGGCGTGTGCCGGGGTTGGGGGGGGGGGGGGGGCGGGGGAGGGTTCCCGTGTACAAATTGTAACGGTTACAAGTAATTTTATTACTTCAAAAAGTAATCAGATTACTCTTGTGATTACTGCCTAATAAAAGTAATCAACTGATTACAAAATTACTCCTAAAAGTAATCGATTACAAGTAATTTGATTACTTGTAATGCGTACGGTACAAGTCTGGGTGTATGTCCCTCGACCTAGAGGTCCGTGGACATATCCATTGACCTCTAGGTCTCGATTACCTGCAGCAAAAACTAATGTGTAAATCAATATTATACGCCCCTTCTATATGCTTACGCATTTGGCCTTGTTCCTAAATGCTGAATTTATTCAGAAGCGCAACGCCCATGGTATCCACATATATAAAATCAGAGAGCGGAGTCCTGTTATACGCCCGGGATGCAAACAAAGCTCAGTGAATGTGATCGAACACGTCATCGACCACCGTCACACTAGTGGACTTGAGACCACAAGTGTGACATGGTAATTCTTAATCTCATTACGTAAAATAAATGATTTACACAGGCCTTACGAAGCCGTCTTCGCTCGTGCCTTCCAATGCTGTAAAAGCCTTAAAACGAGCCAATAAAACTGCATTTTTATAAAAATAACAAAATTAGAATTCGCCCGATTCAGGAGCTAATTAAAATTGTGAAGTGCAAGTTTTGATGCCGGAGCCTGGAACGTTCCTGCAACGTGCCTCTAACTGGCGTGTTTACCACGCTCCCTCATTTTCGGTACCTCAATTTCCGCCTGATGGCGTCATAATGCTGTAGTGCTTTTACCTGCCGTTATCCTGGCGGTGGCACAACGGCGGCAGTGGACACGTCACACGCCTGTTCTGCCATTTGATTCTCCACACCTTGACAGCCAAATGCAGCATCAGAAACCCAGAAATGGAACTCCGTTATACGCAACAGCAGCGGTTGTGGTCGCTCGTATTATCTGCCGGAACTTCTATTGGCGATGAGATGTTCCGCTGGCGCCCTTCTATGGTTACAATCGTCGACTTCACGACCAAGGTTATTAGTAGTGAGCGACACGTTTGATACTGCGTAAAAACCGCAATGGAAGCCTAGTCATTACGTTACTACATTAACACCGTCAAAGTTGAGAGTCTGAATTTGCTTTTATTTCCGTCTATGAGAGAGCCGAAATGATCCGACTCAAGACGTCATAGTGGGCGTTTGGCCAATCGTGGAAGCCCGATCAAAGAGACGCTTTCGGTCGCGCACGTTGCCAATACCCCATTTCACTTTGCGATAGACCACCGAGAACACTACGAGCGAACAAGGCCAATACAATGCCGAGTGAGTGTCACGTGTCTTTTGGGAAGGGGCACATTCAAGGCCTTGCGCTTTCAGTAACGGGACACGTTCAGAATGCCAGATGGGTTGGAGTGGCTCGTAACGTCCGCTGCGTTCCATCAAAAGTTGGAATGGAGAGTACCACCAAACAACCAGAATTGCGACATCTAGCAGAATCACATAGCGCCGGCACGCCGGATAAATAATGTCACGTATCCAGGTCCGAAATATGTAGGTAGACGCACGAGGTTGACACATCGTGATAATCAAGAAACCAGGAAAAATGTTTATTTCTTTTCCTCCGTAGATTAACCCTGGGGGCGAGGTGCCTATTGAGCTGTACCTGAAGAACTGTCCAAAAGTGTCGGCGGATCCTGACGCCATTCCCTGCTGTTTGGCACGCGGACAAAAGGTTGAAATCCCCGTGACTGTAGAAGGTGCCGGCACCACATTGTGCTGGAAGTTCCAGACAATCCAGGGTCACGACGTGGGCTTCGGTGTGGCGCACAAGCCTAAGGGAATCGCCAAGACAAAAGAGGTTCTGCAGCTCTCCAGAGTGAAATGCGATCAAGTTCCGCAAACCGGACAGCTCCTCTCGGAGCCCGGAACATGTGAGACAGCTATTTTTTTTTTATGAACGAGTAACATGCGTTTTTGAGCACCTAGGTTAGATTTGTTATTTACATTAAATTTGCTATTTTATATTTTATTAACTTCGTTGTCTTCTACTCCTCGCACACAAACACACACGCACGCGCACACACACATACGCACACACACACCACACACACACACACACTCCATCATTACAATCAAACTAACAATTGTAGGTGCGTTTTGATATTTTTTGTTTTATGTACGGTAGAATTTCCTTAAGTCACTACTCTGAAACATCCTGGTCGTCATATCGAAAAGCATGCGCAAAGGCGGGAAATCGAGGTACATGTACTGTTGTTCTCTCCTTATTTCGCGAATGCGCGGGTGGTGGATCGAGAAGATCGTTTAATGTGCCGCAGTCTTCGCAATAGAGAGTTTTCGTAGATCGCGTTTCCTCCTCCGCAAAGCCCTTCACAAGGAAGAAGCCGCTGCTACGCCTGCGCGCCGATAGCCTTGACTGTAGAGTTCCGGGTATCATAGCGGGTTGCGGAGTGTGTTGCGGGACGGCGAAAACTATCTTCGAAAACTCCTTTATACCTCGCAAGAGGAAAGAGTGTTTAAAAGAGGACATAGGTTAACAGAAGAGACAAAGTGCTGAGTGTGACTGTGCTCGATGAGCTAAAGAGACGTCGGAGGAAACAGTGCGACGCTCGGCTGGGGATAGAAAAAAAAATAAAAAAAAATGTTGGCTTGGCTTGTTATGGTGCGATGGAAGGTCGTGTGGAGAAAGGAGGAGCCTACGCAATATTGTACATAGCTACCCGGTTTAGGGTTCGTCGAAATCCAATCAGTGGAATTTAGACTTCATAGAACACAGCATATACTGCATTTCGACGTAGTCTGCAGCAAAGCACCGCAGAAACAAAGCCCCGTCTTAAATATCAATATATCTGTCAGCTTCGTGATATGGCACTATTGGCTATCGAATTCAATCTCCAAGATTATATAAGGGGGAGGCTGCTGGTTTCTAGCCAGAAGTCCGTCACGCGAAACTGATCTGGCAGTTTGACCTGCTGCACCTTTGGAACAAAATCCAAGAATAGTTCTGGAATGTGAAAAGACATTTTACGTTTTTGCGCCCATAAAGTCGGGGATGGAAGTGAGCATGAGTGCCTACTCAGTTTTTTTTTTCGTATACAAGAAGTCATGTTAATAATCCCCACGAGAGTTGCACTGTGGAATCACGACGGGTTCAATTGCGGTATCAAATTGTATGGCTTCAAATGCTGGCCGAGGTACCCGCAAGCTGACCGATGCGTGGTTGGGGGTCCAGGCCTTAATATTTTGAGAATTTGGGGTTGCTTAAAGTAGTCCCCAGTTATTTACTCGGACGTGCCTCATTTGCTTTTTGGTTTGCACACCTAATTCAAAACAACGTTTTCCTTAATTATTTAATATATAACTTGGAGCCAAATGACGTGAAGTTAAAAATGTTCCCATAGATTTACTAGATGCAGACATAGCCTGAGCTGTACGCGATAAATTTGTTTATGTAACATGAAAAAGACGGTTTGCCATGATGGCAAAAACAGAAAATAATTGCAAACTTGTGATTATACTTCTGTTCGCACTTCGGTCCTGGGAAGTGTAATTGGGCATACATGTATAAACCGATTAATCTAGTGCCTACGCTATTTTTATTATGAATGTCGCTGGGGTTTATTATTATTTGTTTTTATTTTCAGATACATTTACGTTCGACAACAGCTACAGCTGGTTCACCAAGAAGCATCTATTCTACGTCCTAGAAGTAAAGGACTACCACGGACCCTTGAGCCCCACCACCTGATGTCTCCTCTGCGGTCATTTTAAGTTGGCAATAAACTTCTATCAAAAGCGAGTGGTATCAAATTTCAGTTACCGGCACTACAGCAATTAAGAAACAGAAAAATCGCACAGATTCTCTTGGGTTTGAGCCGTTAACCTGGTAAATGCATGGCGACGGATAGTGTCACTTTGGACGAAACGATATTTTTTTGTATTTACACTGGCAATGAAAATATTGTTTAATGACGTGTCTACAGTGCGGCCGCGTACTTAAGAAGCGCTATGGTACGAGGGATGGGAAGGGGAGGCGTAAGGGGGGATGGGCTTCCCAAATATGGCCGAGAGCCGAGTATATGATGGTCGTTCGGCGCAGTGGAGTGTCGATAGAATGAATACTCCAGCGTCCTAGGTCTGGTCGACAGAGGGTACCTACCATTAAAGAACCAGTTTATTTGCTATGAAGAATGGCACAGCTGAAAAGGGCAAACAGCAGCTTGTACAATACGAATCTTTTTCTATACCGCTTCAGAAGTTCGTGATTTACAAAGCAAAAAAAAAAAAAATATATATATATATAAAAGAAAGCGATGCTTCCTTCCTTTGAATGTGTTTCGACGCGAAACAATTCTATAGGCTTAAACTTCAGGTAAAAGCCACTAGAGACGCGGATTATCTGCCTTTGAAAATATGGGCCAAATAATGGTTACTGCAACGCTCTAAGGTCCTTAGAGCGTTGCCAAATGTATGAAAGAGGAAAATGGTATACCCTATGTAGCACTTACTACGCCAAGGAATTTCTTTACTGATGGTTAATTTCATTAGCTCTCACCTTGAGGCATTTACACATTTCTCACTTTGAGGCATTTACACATTTCTCACTTTGAGGCGGTCACATTTATAAAATATCCCGCAATAATCTATTGATGCATTTTTCACTGACTACATTATAACGCATTAATTATACGAAAGTAGAGCTTTCCACCCGCTTCCGTGTTGCTTAAAAAAGTTCTTAGTTTAACTGGACTCGTACAAACCAGTGAACTCAGTGCATTCGATAAATGTAAGTTACCTTGCTTCACATTTTTGAAAAACCGGAGACGACGGGCAAAAAAGGAGTGTGTTGTCCTACTTTTCGTCCGCCGTCTCCGGTTTTTCAAGAATCTGTAACCTCAACCAGCTCGCCTACCTACTCACTTTATCTTCAATTACTTTGTTTGCACAACTTTCAGTATCAGACGCAACTAAGTGGCCAGTAGAGGTTAATCTGATGTCTCTATGTATCGTTATTTACCATAGTAGGAAAAACAGAATGTGAAGCACAATTTATGTTGACGATGCCCTCTAAACATTGTTCCGTAAATCCCACTTTTTTCATTTACTTGAATCGTGACTGGCAACTAGACTACAAAACGTGTGTACATTTCCTTTTATGTAAACATTTGACAGAAGTCTGTCTGGTTGGGGAATGATTATTAAAATACGACGACCAACCAATCCCTAAATCAGGGGCCCAACGTTTCGAAGCCGGTTCGGCTTCTTCTTCAGGGGCGACTATGGAGGAAAGGAGCCGCAATCTTCCGTTTTCTCTATGACGGAGGCGAATGTGCATGATCCCATCTTCTTCCTCTTTGATCGTTTTTTGAACACAACTGGTGGAGTCCGTTCACATACACAGATGGCAGTGCACCAAGAGACCTATTAATGTTTGTTGGCGTGGTCTGAATGTGCCAAGATTCAAGGAAGAGCCTCCGGCGAGGATTAGTTTCAATGTCCAGGATACGTGTGTTAAGAAAGTCAATGCGGTGGTCATTTTTTTCACAGTGTTCAGCAACCGCGCTGCGCTCTTGATTGAAGTTGCGCACATCAGCCTTGTGTTGACAAATCCGTTCATGATAGTTCTTTGTTTCCCCGATGTACGAGGACGGGCACTCCGCGCTGGGAATCTCGTACACCAAACCTTGCGCTTTCTCTTTAGGGGGCCGATCTTTTGGTCGTTTCATAAAGCGTCCAAGGGTTGAAATTGGCTTGTGGGCCATCTGAATGCCCTCCTTTGCTAGCACCCGTGCCAGCGCTTTACTTGTTCCCTTGATGTATGGGACGCTGATGCGCGTGGTTGGCCGGCGTTTCGTATCAACCTGCGACTGGTGGTGTTGTCGGCTGCGGTTTTGACGACGGGCAATGCGGTGTATGAAGCTGCCCGTGTATCCGTTCTTCTTGAAGTCGCAAATGATGGTTTCTTCTTCTTTTTGTCGGTCAGAATCAGTTGAGCAAAGGTTCTTTGCCCTTGATAGGAGTGTGTTTACCACCGATACTTTATGGGGTGTTGGGTGGTTGGAGTCAAATTGTAAGTACCTTCCGGTGTGCGTTGGTTTGCGGTAAACTGAGAACTCGAGATGGTCTTTCTGCCTTTGTACAAGCACATCGAGAAACGGTAAGGTGTTGTTTTTTTCCCGTTCCACGGTGAATTGGATGTTAGGCTCGATCGAATTGAGGTGTGTCAAAAAGTTGTCTACTTGAGACTTCCTCATGACGCAGAAGCAGTCGTCCACATATCTTAGAAAAAACTTTGGGCTTTCAGCAAAGTACTGGAGAGCCTTTTGTTCTATGGCTTCCATGCACAGTTTTGCCGTGGCGACAGAGATGGAGGCCCCCATTGCGGTTCCACTGGTCTGCTTAAAGTACTCTCCTTTGAAGCTGAAATAAGTGTTACTCAGGCAGAATTCAAGGAGGCGGCAAAGTTCGTCCACGTTGAGCTTGGTCCTGTTGCTCAAATCGCTGTCTTTCTCCAGGGTGTTTCTAGCAGTCATGACTGCTAAGGAGACCGGAACGCTTGTGAACAGGGATATCACGTCAAAAGATACCAGAATCTCCTCGGCGCTTATCTTTAAATGCGAAATCTGCTCCACGAAGTCGCTGGCATTGCGCACATATGTCGGGGGTTTCCCAACGAGAGGAGAGATAGTGTGATGAAGGTAGTTTGACAATGCTTTGAGCGGAGAGGTGGTGAAGTCAACGATGGGTCGGAGGGGGACGTCAGGTTTGTGTATTTTTGGAAGTCCGTAGAAACCGGGGGTAAAGCCATTCCGGCAAAGAAGGCGCAGGTGAAGGCTCCTGGAATCTGGGTGACCTTTGAAAATATCCGTAAGCATCTTGTTCAACTTCGTCTGGACTTGTGATGTTGGGTCTCTCTTGAGTTTTTCATACGTAGAGCAGTCAAGAAGATCGCGGATCTTATGCTCGTAGGCATCCCGGTCTAGGACGACCGTTGAGTTGCCCTTATCCGCTGGCAGGATCACAATGTTGTTGTCCTCTCGAAGCTTCCGAAGAGCCTGCACCTCTTCTCTTGATAAATTGTGTCGGTGATGTTGTGGAAGTTTTGATAGCACACCAACTACTTTTTGTCGGACTCTTTCGCGAGCGTTTGAATCCAGCTGCGCGATGCCATCTTCTATTGTGGCAACCATTTTTGGTAAAGGCGGCTTCGTCTTTTTCGAAGCCGAACCGGCTTCGAAACGTTGGGCCCCTGATTTAGGGATTGGTTGGTCGTCGTATTTGAATAATTTCCTTTTATCCTCTCGTCGATTTCTACGCATAAAGGTACACCAAAGAGGGCAAATAAATAAAACAAAAGGGCACAATTAGATTGCCCCTGTATCGCTAAAGCTTAAATCTATAGCAGTTGTTTTGCCAGACTATAATGATATATAAATAAATTTGAAGTTTCAGTTAGAAACTTACTGGACATAACTAGTAACCTCTATCTGAACTCTTTTTAGACAAGTATAAAAATGCCAAGCATTTTACCATGTTTTGACAAACCCTTCAATTATGACGGGTACTCTGGTTTCGGCTTTTTATCCAAGCGCATCTTGGCGGTACCTGTCCTGCTCTCTGACGGCCGAAGCTCGGAACTAATCCAGATAATTCGCCAGTCTCGCCCGCCCGCCCGCCTCCCTTCCGTCTCTCGTAAAAACACAAAGAAGCGTAGCGCCCGCGAGTGGCCAGGCGATAAGGAACGCCTTGCTGCGCTAAGGTTCCGCGCTTTGGCCGTTGGAGGACAGAACAGCTGCCGTCAAAATGCACTTAGATAAGAATCAGAAACCAGAGTTCGCGGCAGAATTGAAGGGTCTTTGAAAACATGGCAAAATGCTCGGCATGCCTTATACTTATCTAAAAAGGGTTGATATAGGGATTATTGATGATGCTCAGTAACTTTCTAATTGAAACCGTGACTTTAACATTTACAAATAAAAAGTTGCTTTCTAAAAAAAGAACTATTTTTTCTAAACGTTATTATTTTTTTCTAAAAAAGCTCTTGGGCAGACACCAAGACGGCATCAACCTTTTTTAATGCGGAAACATTAACTGTCCCATGAAACAAACCGACGCCATCAGCTTTTAAAGCCTTGCAAGACAGCGACTTCCCCTGTCCAAATGAAGCGAAGCTTGTCGTCTGTAGCAGACATCTGGTGGATAGGCTGCCATTGACTGGCGCGCGTCATCAAGGAAAGAGGTTCCCATTGGCTCTCGCGCGGCGTAGTTACAAAAGGCTCGAGGTACGCCTAAGCACTTCTTATGAGCTGTGAAGCCGAAAGCATGAACATCATTCTTCCGCTCCTTTGTTTCGTCTGCAGCGTATTTGCGTCGACAATAGAGCGGCGCGCTCTGCCGACGAGGAGAGGGCGCCTCTCCTCGCCGCTCTGACCTTGCACTCTAAGAAATGCCTGTGTGTGTACTTACCCGCAAAACACTTAAAGAGCCAATCTCCGCGGTCTACAAAATCAGCTCAGCGAATGATGAGGCAGAACATCCGTTCAGACCTAAAAATGAAGTCTGCGCTGTGGCATTACGCAATGCAAAGCGTCATGCTTGCATTGCGCAATGCCACAGTGTAGACTTCATTTTGATGTCTAAACAGATTTTCCGCCTTAAAGGGATACTACAACGAAATTTCGGCGCTCATTTTTTGGTCTATATGTGTTCAAAAAAGTACCATCAAATCGAACATACCAATATCTTCTTAAAAAAGTCACGAAAAGGAATTTTAAAACGAATTAAACGATTAGCAAAGAG